AGCCCCTTGTACTGCTGCCACTTCTGGCCTATTGTACCAGCCCCAGAAGATAGGTGAGGGTGATTGTGGAGTAATTGGTGGAATGAAGATTGGCAGGGGAAACCGAAACTCGGATAAAACCTGCTCCAGCGCCACTTTGTCCACCACAAATCCCACTTGACAAGACCCGGGATCGAACCCGGGCCGCCGCGGTGGAAAGCCAGCGACTAACCGCTTCAGCTATGGCGCGGCCCTCACAAACGTAGGCCTAAGTAATACTCCTGGGCTGGGGACCGACCCATTGGAAACATGTTCTTGTTTATTAGTTCTGGTGTCATTAAATTTATCAGCAATAAATAGACACGAAAATTAATGTGAGATGGAAAATATCACATTTGAAAGTTTTTTGCTTCTGAAGCCCTGAATACAACTTCCCAGTCTTCATTTATTCTCGAATTCTAAAATCTTGATGAATGTATCTTAATTCCTATTAATATAAACATTTTGAAAAATTATTCCAAATAGACTGCTCTAGTAATTAATTTTTTTTTCCAACGCATTTGTTCAAGACAGAGTGAAAAACAATCGCATAGCACACAAAATCATGGCGCCCGGCAATGTGAAGACACTGACTGCCGGTAAAATTCGTGCCATCCCTAACAGTTTGGCCTATGAAGTATGATTGCTAATAGGTCTAAATATTACGAAAGTTTATTCCGATTTTGGAGAGTAAAGACGCGTAATTGAAGATAATCAGCAGTGTTTATTTGGCATCTCGGAGAGTCATATGCAGTCTCTGCAATTTTTATTGTTAACGTGAGAAAGGAAAGGAAAGAAAGAAAGAAAGAAAGAATGTTGAAGCAATTCGAGTCTCGTCATGTTTACATCGCATGTTTGTTAACGCAAATTCATTAATCTCAGTGAAGAAGCCCGTCATAATACATGGCATTTTCTCAGTAATCTGTCTTAATATTCATAAGCGTGAGAAACGAGGATACCGCTTAAAACTATGGAGAACAAAAATTACTTAATAATAACTTTACGCCAGTGGCATAATGTAGCCTCGGTTCCGTCCAGCAGCTTTCAGATGGGTCGTTAGAGAAACCGTTGCCGCCCTGCGTGGACTAACTTGCCTCATTAGAGATCCTTCATCTTTAAGCCGTGCTAAAAATAAGAAAGATGCAGGCCTGGAATTTGACTTTAAAGTGATAATATTACGGGAGAGACAGACCCGCCAGAGCTTGGCCCGGATCGAAATGGCAAAGGGCACACAATCCAATCTTCTGTTCGATACCAGTGTCTGACTGTCTCAGAATAAGGGTGACGACAGGAACAGACAATGGGGTCACTCGAAGTCGTCCAGTGTTGCATAGCAAATGGCGGAATATTTCCTACTTTTAATTCTGAGTCTCTTGATAAAAGAGTGGATCATTAAGTCTTTTCTTCCAGACTTTGTTTCCTCTGTCTTATTATGTTCTTCCTTCGTAGACTCGTTCTTATATTTTCTGTGTTGCTTTCATACTTCTGAGAGGTTTAGTTCAACCCGCAATGCGTGCCCTTTGCATTTGGGCGGAGAACCCATTCGCGTCTCAGCCGGGGGCCCAAATATTCTGATTGAGGTTTCTGTGGATTTTAGAATTCATTTATGGACCTAGACAGGTTAAGAGGCATCGGCATAAGGTAAAATGGCCTGTCGCCATATTTTTGATGAAAACCATCTAAAGTCAAGTACAAAGAACTGGTGTCCCCCCCCCCTCACCAAAATTATTTATTACTCTCAAATGGAAGAACATGTATAGGTTATGTGTGGTGTCCATGCTGTATTATATTCTGCATAAAGGAGGTCTTAACCGCAGCTTAATTTTCTACGGCCTAACGCAGTTTCAGAATCCTACACGCTCTAGTGCCTCGCTTAAAAAAATTGGCACCAATTTGGCATTGCTGGTACAGGGAGATAGAAAGGACAAAAACGAAGTGATCTTCAGTGGTATTACATTGTTGTAAAGTTTAAAGAAAATCAGTTAACTTGTCCGAATAAATTATTGTGGGGAATGCAGATACGTACCCGACATGTGATGTATGAGGTCTGAAAATGGCTTCCAGAATCGACGAATGGACTTTACGGACCGTGCTGCATCTAAGTTCGTTGAAAAATTTATTCAGCTGAATCGGATTGTCGTTCTAAGATGCCTTCATGGAACGGTTGCCACTTTTTGTTTTATTTCAATTTCCGTCATATGGCTTTTTCTACACTGCCATGTCACATCCAAAGGAAATTAGGCCAAGTTGATCAAAAAAATTAATAACGCAGTTTAAATTGCGTATATTACTTCCTGCAATGTCCGACCTTCAATTGAGAAGGTCATTCAAGCGACGAGACAACAGTCGAATGGCTACAGTCGGGAGTAACAGAGTAGAACTGTAGACAGTATATTTGGTACTAGTTCTTTCTTGCAGAAATGAAATGTGCCGAAAGGGATGTGGACTTATAATATTACAACTTTTTTTTTTATTTTAAGATGATTTGGAGGCCATCTATCGAACTGTATGTATCACTCATTTATAAAACTACTTAATATTTTTCGATTAAATTTAGCATATGATTCATCATCGAAAATTGTGGGCAGAATTTCATTTTAATCCACATCGCTTCGCTGTAACTCCTATTTTTCACGAAATTGAAATTAGCTGTATAGAAGATCGTTGTCTTCTGAGATATGTCGCCGTGTAGTTTGGTAGGTATGTACCAATGTGTCTGAGGAACACTGATACCTGTCTACAAAACTACAATGTATGATGACTCGTAAGGCTGTAATCTTCATAGCAACCCTCATGAGAATCTCATATCTCAGACTTCATAAATATTTTCAAAGACTGCTCATCGTACACAACACAGATATATGAATGAAGCATGGGCCTGATTAAGGTCTATAACTTTCAACAAAAAACGAACACAAAGCTACTCATAGATCACTGTTGGCTGCAAAATAGGAGGAATGCATTTAGAAAATCTGTACAGTTGAAAATCGGATACAGCTTTCGCTTTTCTTTTGCAGTTTTTTTCCTAGTTTTAGCTACTGTAAATTGAAAACAGGTGAGGATTACGGAAAAAGTTGATCCATAACTGCACTGTGAAACTACCCTGAGATAATGAAAAGTATAATTAATACAGTCTCCAATAGAAAACATAACCTCCTGAATAAAGGACAGCCACGTTTAAATTACTGCATTCTGCATATTTTGTTGCTGCAGTCGAATGCTGCATGCGAAGGTTCTGTTTATCTTCTCTGTCGTGTTTTAATTTCTAAATATAATGCTTATTCTTGGATGCCAAATGTAAGATGGTTCTGATGTTCCAGTTGGACAGCATCCAGGATTCCTTAGACCTTATTCATTGTAGTGCTATTTGGACATCTGAAATCCCCCATCTTACTGAAACGCTTTACTCAGCCTTAAAAATGATCTGTAAAAGACCATAAGAATTGTTACTGAATTCCATCTTTGTAAACATTTTTCAGGAAGAATTCGCTTCCCGCGACTTGTGTGTTATACTTCATATTGTAACGTGCAGACCCGTTACTAGGTAGTGACCGCGAAACCAACAGGTTCCCCACGGTGAGTCCAAGCGTAACAATAGAGGAACTGTTGGAAACGGTGTTTTCTACGCCGTCCGTGCCAAGGATTTATCAATGTGACAAGTTTAGTTTGCGCTTATTGCTGTAGAATTCCTATTCACATAATGTTTCGGTGTCACCATTAGGCTCACACGAATAGAATATAAATAATACAACAGATGAAGGAGTAGGTGTGACATCTTCAGGTTAGTCACTCCGCAACGTCAAGTAATTATCCACCATAGGTTCATTTGTATATTTATACTTTACTTCATTCAACTCCTTGCCGTGCCATTTAAATTTAGTTTATCAGCCAGAACAGTTTCTTACTTTCCTTTTATTAGTCAACTTTGCTTCCTTAAGGAGACAAAAGGTGTATGGAATCACCAAGCCGTGTGTGTCCAACCTCTTTTTAAATTCTTTCAATTGCTGACAACAATGTGGGAGACACACGAACTTGCGAGATGGGAGGGACAATAGCAATAATTGAAAAGATGTATGTTAATAAATATGCTTAAAATATGCTACTGTTTTCTATGGAATACAAAACAGCAGAATAGTGGTCGCATGAAGTCTGTATTTAGCATTCGGATTGGTGGAGGAAACTACTGAACTATGAGAAATTTGGTATAAAAATAGATCAAAATCAAACCTATAAATTATGTTTTAAATAGTCTTTATAAGTCAACAGCTATAAACATGGCGACGGTGCCATAATTTGACTTTATGTCCTACAATCTTAATGTTGGTAAAATCTGTACTTAAATAACAAGATATTATTAAGAGCATATTGTCACGTGTAGGGGTGACTATAGACGGATTCTGAATTGGATGATTGACTTTATTGACACCTTATACATTCACACAACTCTGGACTACACTCAATACACCGCTATCGCTATTCTACACACTTTGCGGTTTACCGTTACACTCGCATTAGGGTTCTCAGTCTTCACTAGCCGTATCCTGGCAACGGATTTATCACAGTCTCAGTGGCACTTCAAATCACACACGAAGTCTTGTTTTCACAGCCCAGTTCCTGTCTTGCCATTATTCTGCAACTGTCAGTTCCGAAGACTTGACTCAATTCCTCTGCTCCCAAGCTCATATCCCTCTAGGCTAGAGTCCCAAACCCGGCTCTTCACTTCACTGCTACTGTTCTGTACTACCGAACAATTCTTTATAATTATCTTGCCACGACCCCTTGGAGAACACATCCTCTATTGTTAAGGAAGCGCGTTGACTGGTCCGTTACATAGCAGTGGATGTCCTATTGTTGCGCGCCTACGCTTGCGCTGGAATGTGTTTACCGAGTCGTTGCCTAGCAGTGAGTCTGTACAACATAACATATATAATGGAGGTGACTCTAACTTTCGTGTTATTAAATAACGTCTGTTTCTTTTTCAGAAATACATCGTAACAACGGAGCGCTGTGGCGACTTGCACGTGCATGTGCAGGTAAGTCGAGGAGGAGGGGGCTGTAAGAGACAAGACCTTTAGTGGCATAGATACGAATAAAATGTCACATATTATTGCCTACCACAGCATATTCCCCCCCCCCCCNCCCCAATCGTGTGGTACAGCCTTTCTTCAATAGAAAATATTCTTTCAACTGGTCATGAAATTTCCTGTAATGGGACCGAAAGAGGAGAACGGACAGTACAAATTATGAAGATCTCTATTATGTTGCATATTTTCCTATTACTTCAACTATTTTCCGAGCATTTTCTTCCGCTGTTCATTACTTGTTCTCCCCATACAGTGCAAATTTCAGCCCACGTTAAGACATGGAGGTGGAAATCAAGGTTCGACGAGCATTTCTCTATAACACTTCTACGTGCAAAGTGGAGTTCTCTGAGTGTGCCCATTATAGCGACTGGCTACGGGCTGGACGTCCGAGAGGTCAGAGTTTTGGTCCCAGTAGGGTCAAGAATTTTCTCTTCTCCACGTCCTCCACATCGGCCCTGGGGCCCATACAATGGGTACCGGGGGCACTATCTCCGGAGGTAAAGGGGCCGGGGCGTGAAGCTGACCACTCACCTCCAGCTAGTGTCGAGATCAAGAAAACGCAGATCTAGACCTCCACTCCTCCATACGCCTTCATGGGATAGTGCTTAATTAATTAAGCACAGGGACAACTTTATACCTCCTTTGACTTTTTATTAAATTGCGGACTCTTGTGAACACTGACATAAACCTCTGGTTTTAGTAAAGGGTGGGGAGTTTCTTGATTTTCTGGGCGATTGTTAGCTCCTCATGAAGGACTGTGCTTCACGGAGTTAGTTATTGCATGTTGTTGGAATGTGGAGTGTAAGAAAGGACCGGAAGAATATTTGATATTTCCTGTGAGAAATGCGAGTAGTATTTCGGCTTGCGTGTTTTCAGTTAGAGCCGCATTCTCCAGGAACGCAATCAGAAAGCAAATGGTGTTCTCGTGTACTTTTCTGTCTTGTGTTTACTTGGAACCCTGACACGTTTGTATCAGAGAATGATAACTTGTTTTTGTTGACCAATTATTGAGCGTAGTTGACTATGTTACGCAATGGTGTGGTGCATTACACGCGTTTCATCTCTCTCTCTCCCCCCTTCCTCTTCTTCTTCTTTACTCACCCGTACTATGGGCGTGCCCACTTCCCACATGGCGGATTTCATGATTGACCATCATAAATATACTACCACGGAACTCAGAGCGGATGTTGGTTTTTGAAAGGACATCCGCTAGCCACAGTTTTAAACAGAAAGAGATGTCAACAATGCCAACAAATCAAGATACCACTGACATTTGTTATCACAGTATAGGCATTAAGCCTACTACAGCCTTCCGCCCTATTGTGTCGATCAGAAGGACACCTAAGAATCGCAGCTTTGCTTTCTACACAAAATTTGTTTGGAAAATATAAATGGAACAGACCATTTGCGGGATCTCTAAAGACTGTAGCAGGAAAACAAGTTATGAAGGTGTAATATGGGTTGAACTGCATCAGAACAGGGTTCTGTGTTGGAATTTTGTGATGATGGTGATGAAACATAGGGAGGGAAACTTTCTTGTTTAGTATTTGTGACTTACGCAACGACGCTGTCAGTATCTCAGATTATGTAGCGTCGAATGGTAGGGTGGTTAGGGAATGAACTCGAGGGACTGTGGAAAGTAGCTGTATTGGCCTAATTTGAGATATTATCTTGGCATTTGTCTAAAGGGACTGAGGAAAAACGAGGATTTTCAGCAAGGTTAGTTGGTGTCCCGACCAAGATTTGAACTTGGAATCCCGAAATCAGAATATTTTTGGTTAGGTTAGTCGGTGTCCCTACCAAGATTCGAACCGTGAACGTCCGAAATTGAAATGAACATGTATGTGTTAATGGAAAACTGTACCATGGTATCAGAGAGTTGGATGGTCTGTGAGATAATTGGATGGATGGAAGGCCGGGTAAACTGGCAGATAAACAATGGGTAGTATATGTATATTAAGTACGAATGTTGGCATAAATATAGATCATACAAAGATTAACACAGTCTATTTTAATTAGTGGAAGAGTAATTACGTTAAAATATCATTAATTATTTAATCGGTTTCACCGTACGTAGAGTAGCCGCTACTTAGGCTTCATTTCGGAGGGTTTTATTGTTGCTTATTGCTTACTGCTTCAGCTAGAACCACTGATTTCACTCAAATGTATTAACATCAGTTTCAGGGCCGCGCATAGCTCAAGCGGTTAGTCGCGGGTCTGGTCAAGTGGGATTTGTGGTGGACAAAGTGGCGCTGGGGCAGGTTTTCTCCGAGTACTTCGGTTTCCCCTGCCCATCTTCATTCCACCAATTGCTCCACAATCACCCTCACCTATCATCTGTGGCTGGTACAATAGGGCAGAAGTGGCCGCAGTACACGGGACTTAGTCTCACCCCACTAACATTAAAAAAAATCAGTTTCACCTCAGTCTCACCCTGTTATGCACTCCTATAAATCATCTGAAATCGATGATACTTGAAGTCGTCCAATTTAAGCTAGTGATTAAATTGGAATGTTAAGAGTAAGACTTGGTGTAAGCGGAGTATAAACAACTGACACTTATATCCCTGCGGCACGGAATAGTGGTGCCATAGTGTCAGTTGTTACGTGAAACCAATATAAATACATATATTATGAGCAAAGGATGCCGNATAATTTGGTGATTTCGACGGATAGACGTGTTCTGCAAATCAGATATTAAACCAGTAAGCAATTGTAATGTGTGCAGTCGTAATATCATTACCCTTTGTCTCATAATCCAAGACCCGTAAACGATCCTGAGGAAGACTTTCATTGCCACCGGAACCCAGCCAACATCAGAAACTAAAGGGCGTTAGAGCGGTTGCATACTTAAGATTGCCTAGTTATGAAAACACTTTTTCTTATAGAAATTGCTTTTGCTTTCTCTGTCATGATATAAACTTTTAGCGTGTTTTCTCTTGTTCTTCCGAAAAGTTTATTTTTCAGCACTGGAAATACTCGTATGTTTCCTGAGGAACATAACAATTTGCTTCGAATGTAAGGCAATCAGCCCCAAGCTGCAATCCTTCTGGATGCGTTCACAAGAAATGCGAAAAGCGTCTGTTAGCTTTGTCATGTCCGTCTGTCCTTCCGTTCGACTATGTGCCTCTCCGTCCGACAGTCCGCATGGAATTCCTCGGCTCCTACTGGGTGGATTTTCGTGGCAGTACATACTGGGTACTTCTACAAAAAATTTGTCAACAAAATTCAGTTTCGTTTAAAATAGTAGAAAAATAATGGACTCAGATGCGATTTTTAGAGTACCTGTCTCCTCCACTGACGAGAGCACACGGAGGCTGCCATGGAAGCGAAGCCATGACCATCCCATTCATTAATTTCGCAAATAAAATATCTGAACCTCCACCTAAGTATAATGTTATACTTACATTTTCTCTCTTGTTTCGTCCTCAGTTTTATTTCTTCTTCCATACCGGCCATTGACCATTTGGTGTTATTAATATGAACGATCGAAAGCAAATGATTTTTATTAGGTTTAACATCTGCAGAAACAAAGTGGCCTTTTTCACTTTCTTCTAATATTGTGTAGGTTAAATATGAAACACCCATGATGGATGCATTGCGCTTCCTGTGCATGATTGTTTGCTGTTAATCCAAGGACAACAACTTCAGAATTTCCCCATTTGAAAAACATTGATATCGTTTTCGGCATTTAGACTTAAATTTGCAGTCAGCAGTGTTTGGTATCTCAGAATTTTATGCCGTTAATTCACTCTTAGATTTACAAAACTATTTATTTTATACCTTGAAGATTCAAAGACTTGCTACTTACAAAGCTGTCTTTTCATTGTTAGATTGGCACACTTAGCTCATAATACCCTCCAGCACATTGGAAACTGTGCGTATACCAAGTCAGTCACAGAAGAGTAAGCAGTTACTACAGAATCAGAGTGTAAACATTGACTCACCTGCTATTTCAGACTCAGTAAAACAATAATATCGACTTGCTAGCAGCCGGAAAATTATGGATCTCCCCAGTTACTTTATTTTTGTTTTCCAACAGCACTGGCTATACAAGGCCATTAGGTGTAACCATTCAGTTGTGGAATTTTCTTTTCGATTGAAGGTGTACGACGCGAAACGCAAAATTTATCGGCTGATCATTACGCATTTCGAAGCCCGTTTGACCTTTTTGGTAAAATAAACAATCAGTTGTTAATGCATGACTTTAGTTCCCCCCCCCCCCTCAAGAATTAATGATGTGACGTTTCCATTACGGATTTCCATCAACCAAAATGTACGTAAGTTAAACAGATTTACTGAGAGTAAAAACTCTTCATAAGCAACCATAATAGCTGACGGTATAGGGACTAGACTACGGAGTGGACCACGGATGAATTAGGGTTCGATTCACGGCAGAGGCAAGATATTTTTCTCTTCTCCACATCGTCCACACGGTCCACACTCACTCTGGGACTCACCCAACTTCCCATCCAATGGGTACTGGGGGCTCTTTCCCTGAGGTACAGTGGACGGGGTATGAAGCAGACCACTCATCTCCATCCTCCATCTATTACTGAGGTTAGGTACGACTTCACTCTCCTATACGTCTTCGTGACGTGCTTAATTAAGTGCAGGTATAACTTTATCTCGCGGATTGTTATTATGTTTGTATACGCTTGTTTCATTCCGGGTGGGCATGAGAAAAATGTAGAATAATTTGCATTTTATTTTGTACCTAGGCATGTGATATTTGTTCGAATTAGTGTTGAGCCACTCCGCACAATGCCGGTGCCCTTCTTATGGGAGTCCGGTAGTCTGTTTTGTGGCGGGCACCATGCGAAACTCGAGGGCCGGACGCGGGAATCTATTTAGCTTCCTGCCGCAGTGCTTTGTTCAGATCCTGCGTGTTTACATTTCACGTGAATCGAAGTTAGTATCAGGCGTGTCGCCTAACGCTGTTCTGAAATCTTTGGAAGATGGTCCTGGCTATTGTCGAAATGAAGCCGACTGGGGAAGCCAGTCTCGTGGCAGGTAGGGGTCCATGACGTGCAGGACGTTGAGGACCGCGCCATCTCGGCTGTGCCCGGCCACCGCTTGCCTCGAGTCCGGCGTGTAGCCGAAAATCCGCAGGCTTCCGGTCGCCGGCTGGGCCGCTCTGCGTCTAGGTGGCTAGTACGAATTGCAGCAGTCTGGGCTGAAGGCCAGGAACGCATCTGGCCCCTTTCCGATCGTATTACAGGGCTGCTGGCCACACATACGTTATTGCTGTGAGATGGAAGGTTGTATGAATATCGTGGAGATCTTGTCTGGCAGCCATGAGAGATGCGTTTCGAGGATTTCCTTAGTGAGCTTGCATAGTTTGATATTGGATTCTGATGGTTGATGATGACCTGTTGAAAGACCTTCGAGTAAATCGGTTCATGTTGCTTCTTCCTCAAGCGAGGTCTAGCAAGGTGCTAGTTCTGAAACTGCGGTCGACGTGACCGTTCTGGTTATTGAATGCGGAGCGGTGCTGTCATGTCGGCATTTGAGCCTTGTATCTGGATTTAATTTCGAAGGCGTACAGAAGAAGAGATATAGCTCCACCATTCTTAACCTCGGTACTAGATGGAGGTGAGTGCTCAGCTTCACGCCCCCACTGCTTTATCCCTGGGGAAAGAGCCCCCCAGTACCCATTGGGTCCCAGAGTTGGTCTCAACCTTGTGGAGAAGAGAAGAATCTCTTGCCCCTGCCAGGAATTGAACCCAATTCCTTGGCCATCCAGTCTGTAGCCCGTCACTGTACCTAATTGATTTACACACTGTTTGTATTCCAAACTCATGTAACGGACCACCAGGGTATGTATACAACACTTGAGTTTTCCCTGTATTTCTAACTCTTAAGCCTGTTTCTGAGAATACATATTAGTTTTAATTACATTATTAATATATTTTAAAAATATCCTCAAGTTTCCTCTTTGGTCTTTCAAATAGAAGATTTCTAAGAGCTACCTATTATCTCCCATCCCAACTACATCTTCGACTTTTCTTAAAATCATAATTTCACCATCCTAAGGATACGTGGTAAGCTGCATAAAAGCTGAATTTAATGAGAGAGTAGCAATAAATAAATGATAATTTTATCCACTAGTTCCAGTATTTCACAACATGTATAGTATAACTGTTAACTAATTCTGATGTATGTTAGCCAGTATTCACTTTTTATATTTTTTATTTCTTCCAGGGTGATCTGAATCAACAAGGGAAGAAAGCAGTTTTCCTTACAGTTCACGACTTGGGGTGTAATCGTAAGTACAGTATAAACATATAATATTAGAGATATGCATGGAGTGACTATGGAATTCTTTTATAAAATTATTTTTAAGTCAGACACCCACTACGAATATTAACTGAAATACTCCTCCAACCACTGTACTTCAGAACTGAAACAAAAAGAAAAAATCGTGCAATACAACGTTTAGTTAGTATCAGTAGCAAATGGTGATATCTGATGAAGGAAACTTTACCTGATGAGTCAAACTGATTGACACAGGTGTCCTGTAAATTTTTCTTAGAGTTGCTTTGAAGACTCTCAGTTTGATTTTCTCTTGGAGTACAGTTTTCCTCTGTATCATAAATGTCTGAATTGAACCAAAAGCTCTCTGCTGCTGAAAGAGTTATCATAATGGACAATATGACTTTTAGGATAAAAGAAGCTTAATCAGTGGTGGAGTGTGATGTTTTCAAAAGTGGTAGGCAAATTCTAGGGCAGAGGAGGTCATAACAATTCTGGAAATTTAATATGTACATCATCCAAGGTAACTACACGTACATAAACCTGGGCTGAATGTTAATTAAGTTAAGGATGGGCCGCACCATAGCTCAAGTGATTGGTCACTGGCTTCCCACCGTGCCAGCCCGGGTTCGATCCCGGGTCTGGTTAAGTGGATTTGTGGTGGACAAAGTGGCGCTGGGGGCAGGTTTTCTCCGAGTACTTCGGTTTCCCCTGCCAATCTTCATCCCCAATTGCTCCACAATCACCCTCACCTATCATCTGGGGCCGGTACAATAGGCCAGAAGTGGCTGCAGTACAAGGGACTTACTCCCAACCTACTAGCATTAAAAAAAAAAAGTTAAGAATGAAAGGGGAAGGAAGTGTAAATGAGAAGAAAATTGTTAGCAGCTAACCTTGCACTTGTATTTGTACTAACGTTCCATACAACAACTTTTTAATGTATATATTGTGACATTACCAAATAGCTTAACAAGAGATGTCATCCATTGCTAGGCAATGAATAAAAATGCATCAATAGAATGAGGGCCAGTGAGGCGTTATTTGAGAACTGATAGTTGAATTAGTTGAATTAGCTAGTTGTGAGACAGTCGCCACCCAGTAAGGAAGCAAGCAGAAGACATTGCTGGGTTCTGTTACCAGGCAATGGCAATTGAAGACATAGAAGTCTTAGTGGATGTTGTAATGAGACGTTTAGTGCATGAATTAGTGATAGCATTGTAACTACTTATAGTTACTAGTTGTTTAGTGTTCAATAAATCCAATTACCAGTCCAAACCCCATGTCTAATCACTGACGTGTAACAATATTTATCACAGTCACAGAAATTTGGAAATTTTTCTATGTCTTGAATAATTTTCATCTCAGTTGTCATTAATAATAATAAATAATGGAAAGTTAACTTTTCAGAAGAACGAATAAAATACCATTTGTATGATTTTAATAATGATTCATAAGCAGTAGCTGAATATTTCCAGAGCAGTGTTTAAAGCTTCCAAAGTCTGGAAGTAGAACAAACTCTAGTTTGATAATTTTTAAAAATCAGTTGGCCAAATGCATTTTAAAAGTGTTGATCATTGCATAGTATAGCTGGCAATAAGAAGTTTTTCATCATTATTATTCACTCATATTTGTTGTCTCTTAACTCGAAATTCTGAGTGTTTTATAAAAACCCCTATGAGAAGCTCTCATTTTCTGACCAAAATATTTCAAAGCTCTTGAGCTTCTCAGTTAACAATTTGATAAATTATTCAATTTTTGGATCAGTAACTGATGTTTTTATGTTTGGTTTGCATAATTTCAGTATGTTTTTGACTTGCTGTAGCACTCCTGAAAATACTTTGAAAGGAAAATTATTGTCAAAATTATGAAAAATATTATATTCTTGAGCAGAAATACACATTTCACCATCCCATTCTTCCCTGCTTGCTTCTGTTGGTGGTGTACTCTGCAAGCACCAATCAACTGAAGTATGTTGGTATTTCTTATTTGGCTAATATAGCGAGTTTGTGGCAGCTGGGACTGTCTTGCCTTACCTACTCCCCTCAAGTTTGTGCTATATTTTATCTCTTCTAATTGTGCAAGTGCTCAGAAATGGCAAATGTAAGCCACAGGAAAATGTCTAATAAACCTATGCTTGGGTGCATGGAAGTGGTAGATGATGTAATGTAGTATATGACAGTTTTCCCCTGATTTTGAGCAGTACCACTGAGCCATGAAAGTAAAACTTTTATCTTTTCTTGCAAAGTGTTAGCCAGGCTAACATGCTCTGCCACTGTGCCTAACCACTGAGAGTCCAGGTCACAGATTCATAGTTCATCATACAATATCTTATAATCATGAGGAAGCCTAGCACAGTCAGTCGTAATTATAATTAATGAGCATTGCAGTATGCCAGTTAATATCATTCCTTCCAAGTCTTATGTTTGCACAGCACATTAATTTTTGTCATAGTTGCTGATGAAGAGTCACACTGTTAGAACAGCATGCCAATGTGTCCTGTGCACAATTACTTAAAATACAATATGAGTATACTTACAGAGATATTAGGTTTTCGGACTTTATCCATTGTCCTGGTTTTTAAGATAACTAAGAAAAACACGATGTTTCGGAAACTGTATCTGTTTCTGTCGTCAGGTTAGGGAAAACACCTATTCTGTTGGGTCCCTTAGAAAGAGCTAGCCTCAATCACTAGCTAGCTCTTTCTAAGGGACCCAACAGAATAGGTGTTTTCCCTAACCTGACGACAGAAACAGATACANCACTGAGTATACTTACATTCAGCAATGCAGATATGTTGAGGAAAATATTTTGATCGCCAAGGAAAACGAGGCACTGGCACTTTTTAAGAGTGAATGTATAAAAAGTAATATTCATAAGCTAGCAAAAATGAACACAAGGAGAAAATATTCCACATGTTCAGTTAATCTTGAAAGATGCAAATACTATAATCATGCTTAATAATATAAAGATATTTATGTAATAAAAAATTAAAATTATACCATCCCCAAAAGTATGACAGTAGGCAACAACAGCAGTAAAAAACACTTCTGCCATTACACAACCTATATTTTAGAAATAAGTGTAATATTCTGAAAAAATTTAATCTAGCACAGGTTAATTGTGTAAGTGCTGTGCAGTGGACAACTGAATTTTATTAATTGTACATCAGTAACCAATTACCTACATGTCTCTGATTTAATCTAAATTTCAGATGCATCATTCCATGACTTTGTGAACCATCCTTGTATGTGTGAAATCAAAGAGAGGTCTCTCTTCATCCACATTGATGTCCCGGGTCATGAGGACAATGCTCCAAACCTACCAGACAGGTATATAGTTGTATGCAGAAGAAAATGAAAACCAATAGTGTATCAAGAATTTCATTCAAGCCAGGGAATTTATTATGTAGATTCAGAAAGTAAGTAATAACATTAGCTTTGGTCTTTTCACCACAAAATCTTTGTTTTGTGATAAAAGTTTGTCACCCCTTCTTCGTATCACGTGAGATATTTTATTTGAGACAAGATTTTAACCCAGAGATCTCCACTTTACAATTTTAAAAAGGTATAAATCGCCAGGTTGTGATCAAAATCTGGCAGAACCTCTTCAAGCAGGAGGCGAAATATTATATTCTAAGATCCATAAGCTAATTACTTTTATTTGGCATAAGGAAAAATTGCCTGATCAGTGGAAGGAATCTATTATTGTACCAGTTCACAAGAAGGGTGATAAAACTGACTGTTGTAATTATCGGGCGATATCACTGCTATGAACTTCATACAAAATTTTATCCAATATTCTTCTCTCAAGGTAAAGTCCATACATAGATGTAATTATTGAGGATCATCAGTGTGAGTTTCGATGTAACAGATCAACTATTGATCAGATCTTTTGCATTCTTCAGATCTTGGAGAAAAAATGAGAGTACAATGAGACAGTACATCAGCTATTTGTAGGCTTCAAGAAAGCCTATGCTTGAGTTAGGAGGGAAGTATTGCACAATAACCTGATAGAGTCTGGGATACCCATGAATCTAGTTAAGCTGATTAAAATGTGTTTAAACGAAACTTATAGTGAAGTCCATATAGGTAAACATTTGTCTGATAAATTTCCTATCCAGAATGGTCTAAGACAAGGAAATGCTTTATCGCCACTCCTCTTCAACTTTGCTTTAGAGTATGCCATTAGGAAGGTCCAGGAAAACCAGGTGGGACTGGAATTAAATGGGACACATCAGCTGTTGGTCTATGCCGATGATGTGAATCTACTGAGTGATAATGTAGATACCATAAAGAAAAACAAACTTTAATCGAAGCAAGTAAGGAGGTTGGTCTAGAAGTAAACACAGAAAACTAAGTATATGTTGTTGTCTCATCACCAAAATTCAGGGAAAAATCATGACATAACGATAGAAAACAGATGTTTTGAAAATGTGGCACAGTTCAGATATTTGGGAACGACAATAACAAATCAAAACCTGATTGAGGAGGAAATTAAGAGGAGATTGAACTCGGGTAATGCTTGCTACCATTCAGTCCAGAACCTTTTGTCTTCTTGTCTGCTGTCCAAAAACATAAAAATTAGAATATACAAAACTATAACTAACTAACTAACTGAGGTACATTACAAATCCAGTTTTAAATACAAGTGACTGATGACATTTCCAAATACTTATACTGCAGATATTTCAGAACCTTCAGAAGCAGAGGTTTTATAATTTATATTTCATTATTCTGTAGTGTAGCCAATGAAGGCAGCAATAGCAGGAAGATAATGGATTTAGAATCAAGAAGAGAGGTATTGTGATCATAACATTCCTTTAGATACTCTACTTTCTTACTGCAGATTTATTTACATTATTCGCTTCATGTTCCTCAAAATTTAACATTTAAAACTGAGATGGAAAATATGAAATTAATTTTTCTTAAATGGTATAAACTAGTCTCCATTCATGAGAAATACAAGATCAGTTTTATGCACAGAAAAATATATTATTTTGTTCTTTTATGTTGTTTAGACTTCCTTATCATGACTGCATTTCAGCAGTATATTTCACATAATTTAAACCACTGAAACAATGCTGTTTTGGTAATGAAGGTTAGATTACACACTGTTATGTATATGCTGTTCATATCACAGAATATTTTGCAGATAAAGAAGATTTAGGCAACATACGTGACATACCATTGTTTCAAGTTGCTGAATAGAAGGGGTAGCCTCTTGAACTTCCCAGCTGGGTCTGAATCCCAAAATATGTTGAAGAGTAATGGAACAATATTCAAATCTGAAAGTATTTGACTTTTGATGTGATTAGCTTTCAGTTTCCTACACTGCAGACACTGGGAGAAGATCTTGTCACAGTGCTAGACTTCCTGCATGTGAAATATGTGATAGGGCTGGGTGAAGGAGCTGGAGCAAATGTTCTTGCCAGATTTGGGATTGCCAATCCCTCACGTGTACTTGGCCTCATTCTTATCAACTGCACAGGCAGTGCAGCATCTGTTTTGGAAAATTTCAAGAACAAGGTATTTTTCATTTGTATAATATTTTTAGTAATCTCACTGTTTCCCTAAATATGTTCATTGTTTGTGTGGTGCATTCAAGATTCTGAAAGATTAGATCTTACAGGTTTTATCTTAAATTTTTAACTTCACAAGTGAAACGCCATTCAGTTTTTGTTACTTTCAGTTTGTAAACTGGAAAGGAAGTGGGTCAGTGAGCCAGTCTGCTGAAGAATATTTAATATTCCACAAATTTGGACATGTAAGTAACCATAATTTTTATCAAAATAGTGAATGTTGTGTGTAAGTTTTAATGTCAGAATTATTAAAACCCATCACTGCTATTTTAAAATATTTCCAACTACACATATACCTTGATAATTCATTTACCAGTGTTTAAAAGTTATTTTTGTGCATGGCATATCTTTACATCCTGTAATGACCTGTGTTTGAAAGTTTAGACCTTGCATTATGATCCTATGTTTCCAGAATTTAAAAGTGGAACATCATTAGTTGAAAAGATACTCATCCCTGCTGCTTGAATGAATAAATGTGTATTCTTTAAATAGTGTCTGCCTCTCATCTCAAACCATAATTGAAATGTTAAGCAAGCATCAGCTGGGCTAGTGGGGAGTATGGCAGGTACAGCATAGCATTACAGGAAGCAGTAATCCGTACTTCAACCAAGGTCTATTTTCCAACATGCAGTGTTTAAGTGGTCACAGATTATAAATTTGTGGTGATTCCAACTCTATAGATATGCCTGCATTAGAGTGTTAATCAGTGTTTCATATGTAATTTGTAACTGAATAGTATTTAATGACATTTTAATAAATCTGCTTATAGGATTAGAGTCATTAGCATATGTAATCAGTTTCCTTCTGAAGAAAACAATCAGAAGGAGAGTCATTAGCATATGTAATCAGTTTCCTTCTGAATAAAACAATCAGAAAGAATCGGGGGGTATGACCTGAGCACAGATAAAAATATCCAGTTCAGGGAATAAATGTCTGCAAATGCAAATAGTGCTGAATTTGTTTAGTAGGAAACTACGGTGTAATTTATCATTTCCAATACCTGGTCCATTATGTTTAACAGTGAGAATTTTGTTGTGGACTGTTCGAAATTACTATCCTAGATTTCAGAAATCATGTTATCAAATGTCATTAGACTGTGTTTATCATGTTAAATATATACTTTATTTCCTAAAGTCACAATATAATTGCTTTCTGCATATTTTATTACCCAGGAATCAGCTGTTTGAATTGTTTTACAGAACACCAGAGGTGACACCCATGTTTACCCCGCCTTTAAAATTTAGCCCTAATCCAGTACCAAAATATTTCTTCAATTTGCTACTGCCTAACATTTCAGAAGCAGGCTGCATATCAATTAAAACAAACTATTTGCTGACTTGAAAATTGAGAACAAAATAAACAAGTTTTTTAATATATTTTTGGTTTGATGGTACCACAGATTTAGTTTGAATTGTCCACTACTCTCAGTGATATGTAAATCTTGAACTGATTGCCTAGAAATTACATATAACTATGCTAAAACTTTTGGGGTTCCAGTCACGATACAACCTCACAAACATGTGCACAGAGGGGTTAAACTCGTGTGTCATTAAATATAGTTCTCCTGACAACAGGCCAGCGAAAAATCTAACAATCTACAGCAAAACCATCAATTATTATGGGCGTTATAACATAGGTGTGCAGCTGGACGAAACATTGACGTCGAACCCCCCCAGACGATTTAAATACCTTGACGAAACATACACGTCAAACCACGCTGAACGGTTAAACACCCCACTGAAATATTTTACCTGGACTTTACAAGTATGAAACAACTTTACTGGCTATGAGTTGCCATGTTCAGTAATTAGATCACTACTGCATCCAGCTGTAAATAAGTTGATTTTCCATTAGTACATATGATACTTTAACATGTACAATACTTACATCTACTTAGAAACCACAAATATTTTTGGTCAAGGTTGCTGCATTTACCTGTGTTGAGAGGTTGTTTCATAGAAAGATCCTTTTACCCTGAAAAGGGATAAACTTTGTAAATGATACCAACAATACCATATCTAGGAATTAAATTCGGTTTAAGTTTAATTAGCAGAAGTCATTTTCTTTACATTCACAGATTGACTATGCTGTTAACGCAGATCTTTGCAACTTCATCGCAAACTCTTTTTATCCCTACATTTTGTTAAGAAAAAGAAACTCCTTACCATGGGATAGCTCAGTCTGTATAGCAACTAGGCTGTGGGATGGTTGACCAAGGTGTTAGGATTTGATTCCTGGTAGGGGCGAGAGATTTTTCTCTTCTCCATAATGCCCAGATCAGCTCTGGCTCCCACTCAGGCTTCTGAACAGTGAATACTGGAGGCTATTTTTCTGTAGATAAAGCAGCAGGGGCATCAAGCTGACACAACTCATCTCCATATAGTACTCTCTTATACATCTTCATGGCATGGTGCTAAATTAATTAATCTCAGGGATAAGTTTTTCATTAGAGGGTGGAGAGTTGAACCTCCAAACTCCCTCTCTTTAAATGTAGCCTTGGGTGTCATCAATGTGTGGCTTACTTGCAGATGATCTAATGTTATTTGAGGAAAAACATTTTCTGTGCCAAAACGACATGAAACAATGAACCTCTATAATACTAAACTGAATCATTCTGCTTTTTTATGCCTAGAAGTATTAAATGTCATGGTTAGCATTTACACCCAAAGTAAGTGATCTTGGATGGACTGAATATGAGTGTGGCATGTAACCAGATATTAACAAATGTGTATGTATAGTGCCTTATTTAATTGTATATACACATTGGTATTGTTGATCTCAGATTTTGTGATTAATGTTGTAATATTTTCTTTCATGTATTCTGTCTCTTTTTCTTTCCTCAATAATGCTTCAGATAATTGCTGAGGTAATATTTCACTCATTATTTGCAAACTTGATCACCAGTTTTCACATACACAGGCAAGACTAATAGTTATAGTGTGGAAGGTTGAAACCAGGGCTCAACAAATTTACTCATCTGCTTGTTCATGATAAATGAAAACTAGTGATTATTCTGTAGTCTTTTGTATTAAAGCATGTAGCATATAATATACTGTACAATCTAATGTATATGGATGTGTTATTTATCTGTGAAAATGTAAAAGCACATGTTGAGTGATAATTCGTATTTCACTGGCGAATTAGTGTTACATTTGTTGACCTCTGACAAGACGAGAGGATGAGACAGTATCAAAAGACATGTGTAGAAAAGGAAAGGTAGAGGAGTGAGATGAAGGAAAAGGAAAACTTATACTTACATATGTAAGGATAAAAGAGTGCTGAGAAACTGTTGAATTTGGACCCACATTGACTTTCTCTCTCTCTCTCTCTCTCTCTCTCTCTCTCTCACACACACACACACACACACATGCGCACACAAATGAGCATGCACACTCATACATGCACACAGAGACAGACAGACAGATTCTTTACTGATAAGATATATTTCAACCACTTAAAAGAGACTAACAGGAACTAATGCATGTCTTATTTTAACCCAGGGGCACTCCATCCCTAAGGGGCCAGATGGACTGGGCCTCATCTCCATTCAGTGCCTTGATGCACAAAAAGTAGTTTAATAAATTTCTAATTTGCTTGCATTTAGTATGGCATAAAAAGTAGTTTGATGGATTTTTAATTTGTTTGCACCTTGCATGGTATGAAACAATGTTTCAGAATCCACAGAGAAATATTTAGTGTGCAAGTTCATGGAGGGCCTTGACTCATGGGCCCTAGCCATAGCATATATTTCCATTCAAGTTCCTCTCACTTGCTTATGTATTTCCATTATGGAGCAACACAGCTTTCAAACTTAACTTCAAGGATACAATAAATAGACCCCATTCAGTCCAGTTATGTTGTCGACTAAAGGATTCCATGAGAGAGTCCACTCTAATAGAGTGCACTAAATTGCCTTCCTGAGAAGAAATGATAAAAAGTCTTTTTGACAATCACAGGACAAAGATATCTTAATGCATTTTGTGGAAGATCCAAACTTTTGAGTCTAAACACCAAAAGTTCAGGTTGATTTTGATAAATTCAGATTATGGATAAGATCACTCATATCTGCTTGAGATATTAAATGAGATTGTGTTGAGGAAAAGATGGCAAAATTTACCAGAGTTAAAAAGAACATAAAATACAAGATGTTCAGAGAATGATATGAGGTGAGTAAACTGGCAGATAAAAGACAATATATAAGCTGTGTAATAAAACTGGATGGGTGTGGACATATCCTGAACATGAACAGACACACAGTAATACACAGAAACTTACAAAACAGGAGATGAACAAGTGGCAGACACCTCCTCCTTTCTACTGTAATGTAAATACAAAGTAATTTAAATTCACATGTACCTCAAAAACTGTGGGTAACAGAAAATTCATGTTTTTATTTTCATAATAAGCATAAGAAAAGTTCATAGGTCAGCAAAAAACATCTGTGTGACAAAAACCTTGTTGAACAATGTTATCAAAGAACCTAAAAGAAAGATGTGAGGAGTGTAGTCAGTCTGGCCTTGTAAGTGATGGGAACAACAAATTTTTAGGTTTGTATACACCTGCTGAAACGCTTGTTAATGTTGTTTTGTCTCTCAACCTATACAATTGATCCATGGGCTGTAGAGAGCACAGATAAGCCTAGAGAGGTTCCAAGCAGTTCCAAACCTACCCTGCTGCAAGGGGAGTACCAAGAGTTGTAAGATATTCAGCCATAGGTTACAGGGTGGTGCAGCACTATTGTTTAAAATGTTAACACAGAATAAGTCTGAAGTTTCCAAGACAAAGGGTTCTGTGTAATACAAAACGTAAAATTTTAAAATATAAACAAAATTTTCTTTCTTTCCTTAACTATAGTTTTGGGAGGTGGTAAATTTTATTTGATTCTGGCCCTACTTACTCAGTCATGAGGCACAATACCTTCTTTTGAGTCTCTACATAGAGATCTGTTGATCTCATGATAAGATACTGGATCAATCGATCAGTCAGTCAGTCAGTCAATAATAAACCAATCGTTCACTCCATAATTCAGTAAATAACATTTTACATACATTCATAATCAGTTGTATGTTGACAGGAATGTGGGTCCATTTATCATAAAATCTTCCTTTTCTAATTGTTACCACAAATGTACCTTTCTCTGTCATTTCTCTCACTTCTGGAGGTACTTGAAGTCATAGTTCCCCCACAAACATTCTTTGCCGTAGAATGCGAGACTTTTCACCCCATTAGAAAGTCTGGAGCTTGTGAGTAATTTCCATACTGAATATTTCTAGTCACTAGAATACTCTTTGTCACAGAACTTAATGGTTCCTACTGCACATTTGTGCACATCACACCATGTGCTACTGCACATACATATTACAATTTATTGAGTTAATTATATATTATTGTAATTTATGCTATATGTTTTTTTAATAATTACCCCTAACATTGTTCAGATATTCAAATAAAGGTGTTGTAATGGGATGAACATATTGCTTGACTTGGAAAACAAGAGATGCATGCAGAACTTTGGTTGCAATGCCACTTCGAAGATTAAGGATATGGGGTAATAGTAAAGGGATGAATTATGGATGTGAGCTGAGTTGAATTGACTCAGAATGTGTCCAGTGGTAGGATTCAGGACCAACAATGTTACTAGTGCTAGTATATCATCCCTGATGGACGTAGAAAGTGTTTCCAAAATAATGTAAATTTATCCAAACATGACATCCTTTGCAGCTTGAGAAAAAAATGTTCATACACTGGAAAGTAAGTCTCTTGACTGCTGTACGTGAGAATCGTTCTGGTCTGAGCTTGTTATGTAACACAACTTGCATAATTGTGTTGCTCATGCTAGCCTTAACCCCCTGAACTTAAATGTTTAATGTTACTGAATTTTTATACATCCTTTTTATGTGTATGTATTATAGAACTCTTAGGGCAAAAACCTTTACTCCATAAACACCCAATTGCTGGTGCAGAGATGAAGCCCCTTACCTAAAGACTGAGGCTGTGATAATATGCTGCTTGTTCAGGGATATTGCATAACTCAGGGGGTAGTGATAGTTGAGTATGGAACAGTGGTAACTTGATGATTGAGGAAGCCGAAAGGAAAATTTGCGTAGACGCTAGTTCATCCACCATGACTATCACATGAAGTCACTCTGGGTTGGAGCCGGGCTTCCACAATGTGAAGTCAGAATCTGACTGTCAGAGCTATGGCACAGCCTCATTCTAATATGAAACTCCAGTTACATAAAGAGATGAACTTGTCCAGCAGTCCCATGCTTTTGGGCAGCATTCTTACAATCAGCCAAGTCCTGAAGCTATCAGACCATTCAATGTAAATTACTTTCATACACTGTATTCTAGTATGTGAGATGTTGCAGGAGATGTTTAATTATTATGTTCTACTGTTTTAGGACCTGACAAGCAGCTAATCTAGTTAAACTGAAAGCATATATTTATGCAAAATAATTCTGAGTATTAATATTTTGATGTATGGTTTTCAAACTGTACTGTTAATATTGTTCTCTAGTTTCATCAGTAAATGTAATAATTTTATTTTGTAGCAAATTGTGAATGATGCAAATTCAGACAAGGAGAAGGTGATGCAGGAGTTCCAAGAGCGAATAAGGAGCACTATTAACAACAAGAACCTTAAGCTGTATGTGAATGCCTTCCTTAAGTAAGTAGAATGTTGCATTACACTAAACATGTTATTTCTTTCAAACTTAAACATGAATTCAGTCACCAGGGATTTGCAATTTTATATTTTCACCATGTATGACTATTGCATTTTATATTTCTCTAACCCTAGAAATATATTGTACAACAGGATTTTTATTTCTGTCCCCTTGCTGGCACATGGAAGTGGGGTAGAGATAATAATGCTTTCTACTCCTTAAATAATAGTTCAATTATATTATTCCTTGCATTTGAATTTGTAATCATTAACTTTCTTGTGATTTGTCCTGCTCTATGGGTATCAGCTTTGTCGTACTGCTGTTACGCGCACCAGTTGCGTTAAGGACCTAGGCATTTTCTTTGTTTCTAAATTATATTTTCACAATCATGTTGATTTTTTATATTCTGAATGTATAAAGCTGCTAGGTCTTATACGCTCAATAACTTTTAGATTTTCTTCTCTTGACTGTTTATATGTGCTGTATCTTACACTAGTCAGGTCCATGTTGGAGTATGCCTTGGTAGCTTGGAATTCTATCACGTCTACTGACTCCGCAAAACTTGAGCGCATCCAGAAAAAGTTTGCATCTGTCTGTTTCTATCGCTGCTTCCCACATAGCTCCTGTAGTTATACATCTGCCTTAGAGAGACTAAGATTGCACCCTCTAAGTCTGTGTAGACATCTTCTTGATGCACTCTTCTTCATTCAGGTTTATCGTGGCCTTAAATCCTGCTCCTCCCTTCTGGATAATGCTAGTCTTCGTGTTCCTACTTGCCATGTTCGAGACTTCTCTACTTTTAGCGTTCGTCCCTCAAAAAGACACTGTCCCTCTTTCGGTGTGCCCTTGCTACCAACGTGGTGGGTAAAGATCTCAACATATTTGCAGATGGAGCAGTTTCTCTGAATCATATTTTACAAGCATGTACCAAACCTTTTACGGTGTTACTGGATTAGTGTTTTCATTAACTACAAATGTGTATACCTCAGCTAATGTAATTGGTTTTAACTTATTGACTTGTTATTAATTTTATGCTATCACTCCCAGTTGTCTTATCTTAGTATTTAGTTATTACTAGTATTAGCAGCACTCGTAATAATTCATAAATGTATGTATATATTTAAGTCTTCTTTAGATTTATGCTCACAGATTTATTTGTCATATTTGTATTTTGTTTTAATTATTTTCTGTACCTTATATACTCGTGCTAACTTTGTAATTGGCCCTGTGCTGTTAAGTTATTGCACGTAAACAAACATGAATTGAATTGAATTGAATTTGTCCTTATTTATATTTTCTCAGATTTCTATATAAATGTGTGCATTCTGTATGGTTAGGTAAAAGAAACCTTATAGAGGTTTATGCATATATTTTTTTAAGGTATCAGTATAAAGTGGTATTGGTCTGTTCACGTGTTTCAGTTCCAGAATTAGTTTATGGATTTCAGTGAAACTGGCTACTGGGAATGTATACCTTATAGTCTACGTTCCTAATTTTGACAAAAAGTGAAAGAAGGCTTATGAGATCAATTGTTGTGTGTGTGTGTGTGTGTGTGCGCGCGCGCGCCCCCCTCTAATTTTTTCGTTTTATATTTTGCCTGTTTTTCTTATTTTGAAAATAAGAAGGAAAAGGCAGAGACACAGACAACAAGGCGATCTCATAGGTGTCCTTTTATTTTTTCTGAATAAAGAAAGTAGGTTAAAAATAGGAGGCTTATGAGAGCACCTTCCTTCTGTGTGCCTGGGTACCTCCTCCTTAATTTCTGAAAGCCAGAAGAGACGGCCATTACAGTACCATATAAACACATGTGACATGACACCTGAAAGCCGTAACAGTGCAGTCAGAGAAGTGCTGAGGCGATGGCCTTTGCTAGTCATCAGCTCAGTAATTAGGTCTTCCAGCTCTCGGATTTCTGGGCTGTGTGACTGACTGCTAACCATGGGTTGGGTTGGGTCAGGTCGGGTTGGGTAGATTGCTGCTGGCCTTTGCCAGTACAGTCATTCTCAAGTCATAGTCTGATGGGACTGATGATCAAATTTTACTGACTCAAGACTCTGAGAGTTTTGTAGCTTTCCTCGTGGGAAGGCTTCTAGCCATGTTACTGAGTAGTCTTCTTTATTTAACTTTTTGGTCAGACTGCAGAGTAAACACCGTCTCAGATTCTCTTTTGAGAGCCTACTTTCCCTGTATGTCTGTATTGTATTCCTATTATCGTTGCTAGGCAACAGGACAGTAAAAACGTTCCTGCAGCAATGAATACACACTCAAAAATAGAATAACTTCTGTACACATTGTTTTCTATGCAGTCTTTGTCGTATAAAAGGAAAATCTGTGATTAGTCCTTCCTAGAACTTCTTGTATAGATTTTGGCTTCTGAGTTATGAAAGTCTTTATTTATTCTGGTAAGTGACAACATTTTGGAGGGACTTACTGCTTTCAGATAACCTGAAGATGGAAGCAGTAACTTCCTTCACAACCATGGTAACCACCATCTGGAGTATCCACTATTATAACCCTGACCAGTGTTTCCAAAACTTTTTCATTTTAAGGAGCACTTGAGCATCATTTTTCTTTCTGCAAAGCACTGAAAGACTGATTCTTCTGTGCCATCATTCAGATGAGAAACAGTATTACTAGTGGAAAATATGTGATATTATATCATGGTCAGCATACCTCAAGAAACAACCACCACCACCACAATGCCACTGCCGCCATGAGCAGCATCAGCATCAGCATCAGCATCAAAATCACAACCCTGAGAGAGAAAGATAAATAATAAACACAATTTATATAAGAAACCATAAAGAATACGAAAAAAAAATGAATAAAATCTGTTCATTAACTTCATATTTCTTCCAAGATTGGGAAAAGACTGTCATTACACGATTTCAGTCATTGATAATCTCAGTACAGCTCTCAGAATGATAATTCTCCACTGGCACATAGTTTTGAAACCGCTGGCCCAGATGGTAATCCAAATTTTCACTGCTGTGAAGTCCTCAAATTTCATATACCAGAAATTGGGTGAATTCTGTTTGGTCCATATTGGTCCCCACTTTGCATGAAGCTTAAATAAACAGTGGCCCTACAAAAGGCACTTTACAAGGAGCAGACTGAGGAGAGAGAAAATATTAAGAATGATAAGAGGAATGAGGGTGGCTAAAAGAGGGAAAAATTAATAATAGTGATAAATAAGGATAGCCCTGAAAGGAGCAGTTCACAGTGGGACTTAATGGGCCAGGTTGGAGAACCAAGTTATGGCATATCCTTAGAAGGAGGCCTCTTAACTGAGAGACCTTCATGACTTGATGACTTGCTAAGATAGAGACCATCCTCAGTGTTCATGCTGTTGGGATGAAGTTCTGTCTCTCACCTCTCTAATGTGTCTGTATCTGTTTGAGAGGATGCTGGTGTTCTGAAATAGGATGCTATGGCACATTGTGGTTCTGCATTCCACTGTGACTTGCTTGTTTAGATGGTACAGACAGGTATGCCAGTAATGGTCTTTGACCAAGGAATGTCCATTCTGTCCAGTGTAGATTTGGTGACAATTGCTGCTGTACTCGTATATGCCATTGTCTTACTGAGTACATAGGAAGACCGCACTAATGACACATACGACACACAAAAACTATGACAGCTGCAACAGAGTGCAACGACAGCATTCTAATCATGAGATAGAGCTAAATATTGACGTGCATGGAAGCATGGTGAACAAATGTACAGTGCAGTGGTCTCCTCAAAAGAAAAGGAAAATTACCTGATGATGGCCCATATGCAGCCAAAACATGTCATAAACTAGAAGAAATATATGAATAGAGACATTTTAGAAATTTGATAATCAATTTTAATATATAAAATATACTTTTAGTGTGAAATATATTCCTAATGTCTTTTATATTGTTGCATTATTGATGGATACTTTGATAATAAGGACAAATTGGTAAAGAATGCATTTGTAATTTTTCAGCCGAAAGGATCTGCCATTGAAGCAGTGCAAGACAGACATACTGCTAATAACAGGAGTGTTAAGCTCATATGCTAATGTGGTGGAGAAGCTGCATCGTGACTTGGAGAAGACAAAAGCCACTCTGCTCAAGATTGAACGGGCAGGGGATGTCCTCCTGCAAGCAGTGAGTAGCAAAATAAACTAAAACCTAAAAATGCTTACTTTTTAAAAAAAGTACTAAATTATCCTATATTACAGCCAGTTAGAAATAATACTCTCTCTTGAAATTCTTATTCTTGTGGTAAAGTATTGCTATTTTCTATGAAGTGCTACTGTTGGAAATTCTATTTACTACCCTTTAATTTTTGTAAACAAATTTTGGATCTGCACCAATTTACTGTCATTTTCTTTTCTTGGCACTACAGCCCCAGTGGGCCTAGGCCTACCTCCATGAACTCCATTCACTTCAGTTTCTCTCAATCTTACACATACGGTAGGACTCCTTGGGCAAGTGATCAGCTCGTCGCAAGGCCTCTACCTGTAGACAGACACAGAAAAACGCACACAAACATCAGTGCCCTGAGTGGGATTCGAACCCACGATACCGGCTTCCGAGCGAGCGAAGACAGTGCATGCCTTAGACCGCTCGGCTACCGTGACCGGCATTTACTGTCATTACTAAACTAGAAATACCAAATTAAATATATGATGACTTTTATATAAGTTTCTTCCATTTGTCTAAAGCAGTTCCTACTCTGTTAACTTCACAAATAAAAGTATCCATGGAATTAAGTGGTAACATTGTGCAAATATTCTGAGGATCTGAGTTTGATCACAGGGAAGTTTTTATACAGTTCTATTTCCATGTACCTTTTAAGTTGTGTTTAAAATATAATAATTCTAAACCTTCTTCAGAAAACATTTTCTCATTTGAGTGCCTCTTGACTTCAGAGCAGGTCGCCTGGAATGACATGAATATAATGTGGAAAGAAATATATGTATTACTAACACATTTGATCTAACTGAACTGAGTGTGTAAATTTTTCAAATGCTGAAGAATGCTGTCTTCTGGGATGGGGCGCCATGTAGATCTTGTTGGTTCACGCAAGATGTACATGGTGCCACATCCCAGAAGACAGCATTCTTCATAGTCACTGCTGTGAAACCTTGAAATCCTACATTTTCAAACGATCTTGAATTTGAATGTGTGCTTATTTTAAATCGATAGTTCCTTCATAGGAACTATGTTGGTAAAATGTGTGTATCTGACCAAGTAACTGCTCCCTGCTTACTTTTGAATATCAGTGTTACAGGCAATAATTAATTAATTTTCAAGGAATTTGGTATTAACTGTATACCACTGGAAACCAACACATCTTGGTGCTTTTTAATTGTTATCAACAGATCCTATCAGCTAACATATATAAAATTTTAATGCATTTTTTGAGAAAACGGTTTGAAAAGCACTACTTCCAGTTCCAAATAATTATCTACACACAGTGCTTCATTCTGTCCTGGCATATTTTTCTTAAAACATCAGTGACATTAATTTCTGTTTCTTCTTAAATGTTGTAAATAATTTTGCAGAAGTTATGTTTTAGACCCTAATAGCTGATCTGGGGCACGTGGTAGTGTAGTTGGTTGAGACACTGTGCTACAAGCCAGAAGGTTGCAGGTTCAATTTCTGATGAGGTCATTGAATTTTTTAAATTTACCCGATCCTTCCAGCTGCAACATGGCCCTGGGGTCGACTCAACTTCTAGCAGAAATTAATACCAGGAAGATTGCTGGGGAGTAAAGGATGGTGGGCATGTAAGGCTGACAACCTTACCGCCAACTGCGAGCTGATTTTCTAGAAGATGTGGAACCCTCGACCTCTCACACCCCTATGGGCCTTGACAGCTTGTTACAGGCTGTCCCAGCTTTAATAGCTTTTTTTTTTTAATTTGACAAGATTTTTTGAATTTTAGATTTTGCATTGAAAGCTTGACCATTTTTCTTCATGGTTATAGTACAGCTATTTAAGAAGTTCATCCCTCATCAGCACATATCACGAATGCTACTTGTTCTGTTATACTGCATCATTATATAGTAATCTTGTATACCTATATGTGGGTATACTGTACCATACCACCCTGCCAAGCCATAGCCTTGTTACTTGTAGGTGAGGATGTTACTTTGAGAGATGGGAAAACATCAAAATATACTTATTACACTGAAAAATTATTGTTCTGAGCTTCTTATTTGACCATATTTGTTCACCGAGTTGATGGCACATTAAAACAAAATAATAACAGACTTTTTGCTACAATTCATTTCACTATTACACACCGTTACTTTAGAAATTTATCACCCTTTCATTTCAAAAAGATCATGGGTGTCCTGGGAATTGAACCATTGTGAACCTTGATGCTGGCATCACAAAATCTATTTCTTTAACCTGTGCTTGCTGTTATTAGCATATTAATTTTTGTTGCCCAGTAAAATTTGATAGTTGTAGCTAAATATGCAATTTCCATCATCTTCCAGTCCATTCTTAAATAATAATATTAAGTACATATGGTACTTGAAAGATTCGTTTGAATCAAAGGATGTCTTGGATGAAGATGAAGAGGGATAGTGGAACATATCACTGGATCATTTCGGTAATTATGTGGATACAAATAAATAAATCTCTTTGTATTTTAAAATTGCTGTCATATGACCTGTTAGAACTGTTTAATCTCTGTAGCTCCTGCTGAACAAGAAGGAATGAAGGAAGGAGTTACACATTTGTCCACCTTATCAGGTTTCTGGATGAATGGCTTAAAATTATGGCAGTAATATTGTAACATTTTGTGTTTCACAGCCAGAGAAAGTTGCACACAGCATCCTTCTTTTCTGCAAAGGACAGGGACTCCTCACATCACTGACACTGCCTGGAGTAGAGAGGCAGAGGACATTCTCCAGTAGCTCAGGTGATGGTGATGGTCGACCACGTCTTTCTCGAGGCATGAGCATGGAGGAATATGACAAGCCTAATATTCGACGACTCTCCATCACCATTAACAGTGACCATGTGCCAAACAAGCACAATTAAACAATTTTTATAGATAAACTATACCCACCTGTTTCATAACGGAGGGCTTGGTCCCTTATGCTCATTTTCTATCCCTGGAATATGAGTTGGCTCATAGAAGATTATGAGCAGTGAACTGAGTGTAATTTGGCTCTTGTTTGTGGGGTCTAGATTCACACTGAATTCATACTACAGTAGAAAATATAATATTCTGTTCCTCATGCTAATAACACAACCAGCACAACAGCACACCATGATAGAGACCTATTTTTGTAAATCTGTGCATCATCATCATTTTTGGCACATTAAGTTACTGTGTTACAACGGAGTTATTTTTCATACTAATTCAGCAGACTCCTAGTAAAAAATGTTGAACTGGGTCAGGTCAGACAAACTGGGCTAAATAAACAACATTTGGTAATCAAAATTAATCAACATTATTAGCAGTTACTAGAATATAAAGACAAATAGCAAAAATTATTTCATCATAAATGCTGACAGTCTTATATAATTTCAGTGACAATCATAAAAAGAACAATAAGTTTTGTATTCATACAAATTACTCTCTACTGTGTTCTGACTTCAGAGGCCTTGATCCTGTTTGGTTTGGACTGCTACTGTTGCACCATAAATGGTCAAGATCCTCTATGATAAGACTATTTTACCTTTGGCCTATCTCTTGCATATGCCTCACTGTAAATGGGAGTCAGCTTCACACAGTAATTTTGTCAGATTATCAGACACATGAGAACTTCGCTGCAGAGTAAAGAGGAAGAAGTTACTAGATGCAGGGCATCTTAAACACACTTTCTGTTTTGCAGACAAGAAAACAGTTCAAACTGAGTCAAAAGCTTTTATAAATCACCTTATTAATAATTCAGCTGTAGATCTAATGTATATCTTACATATCTGAAACAACATTTGGTATAAAGATCTTCTGTATTTAAATTTTCATGTTGTGTCAAGATGGCAGAATTAATGAAAGAAGACAGACATGTTTATTTGTACAAATAATTTGAAGCAATATCCAGTAATTACATTATGCCAGATGTACATTATATTCTGTGATGTGAATTAGAAAGCAATTCAGAAATGGCAAGCAGCTAATACATGACCTTTCAAACAATTCTGCTTTTAGGATCAGAAAACACAGTCATAAAGAAATACTGAAAAATGCGTTTCCACAAACCTCATATCCCAGAAGAAAACTCAATACCTGCTTAACATAAGTAAATTATGCTTATCATTTTCATTACTTGGTATTAGTTTGAAATAACCATTTGAGCAATAAGACGGCTTTACCAAATAAGGAATTACTGAAATTTTCTGAAATATTGATCAAATAGCCTCAATGAAGAGAGAATACCAAAATAGATAAAACACATATAAACATATCTATGAAATAATTAGCAAATTGGAATTCTTTCACTCTTGAGATCCATGCTGTGCTGATTTCTGTTTCTAGGACAAATACGTATGTCAGTATTACATTGAGGTAGCAGCTCGTGTGTAAGATAGTGTAGAAATGCAGTAATGCAATTGTACCAGCTGATGGAGCTTGTTGATAGAGAGGTAGTCCTTTTATATTATACATGACTAGCAGCAAACATTTTATATATACCTTATAGTTACACTATCACACATTCATTTGCACACATAGCAAAAGAGTAACAAGTGCAATCAAGGAATGATGTGAAAGAAAATAGTTCGATTCTTAGTTTTGTACCTCTTTTATTTTGTCCAGGTACTCTGTATACTGTCAATGTTTGCTAAGTAAATAGTATATAATATATATTTTATAATAGATATAAGTGGAAACAAACTTTGTACATATAGTGGATTTCATCCACACTCGTATATACAGTACAACACTTGTCTTTAAACAGAAGTACATGAGAGTTAACAATATATATGCAGTATATATACATGCTGCACATTAGTTTATCAACTGCAAAGAAAGTCATCTTCAGACAGACGCAAGGAATACAGTTAGTCTGAAGTTATGAAATGAGTAATGTAAAACATGACTGTATTTAGAAGTACAGTATTTCATCAATGGATAAATTTGTTTTACAATGATACATTATTTCAGATGCCCAAAATGGTTTGATGCTGATGCTGATCCTGTTTTTGAGTGGACTGTATTGCAGACATTTCAGAGATTCTTACTGTCTCTGCCTTCAAGGTGAACACCATAGGGTCATCAAGTAATACTGAAGATGAAGCAGAAAGGATCTTCACAATGTTAGCAATACGTCCATTTCTACATGGAGCCATCATTCAAAAGCTAGATCAGCATTAATTTTAGAAGTGTTCAAGAAAACCATTATTCAGTGGAATGTATATAAATTGAGATGGACAATTAAAAAAGCCTAGCTGATATATTCATTACATATTCAGAAGTAGTCCTTCGGAGTCTTACTATGTAGAATTTAATTCAGGTATAAGAAAAACAAGAATTCTTTAGTCCAGAAACTACCAACTTGCAGATGCTGTGTTTTGAAGTTCAAGGAATATAGATGCTTTTTGTTACCAATTCGTATAGCTCATTGTTATTAAATTGTTTATTTTATCCAGTTAATCCTTTCTTTCTCTTCCTGAGAAAAAGTTAATTCTGGTGGTAAATTTACCAGATAATTTACTGATAAAGCATAAAGAAATGAAGTACAAACTTGGTGTTTCAGTCACAATGGAGAGGCAAGCAGTATAGCTCTAGTACTTAGAGGTGACAGTCCTCCGACGCGAGGTAGGAGAAGTATTGGTAGCGGCAGGGAGAGCTCCAGCATGCCGACAAGTGTGCCGGGGAATGCGGTACAGGCGTTCTCAAAAGGAAATAACGTCTTACCTCATTGTGTTGCATAGTGATGGTGGTTTATTCTCGTTGATGTTCACACATCCGATGTTAAGTTTTAAGTGCCGAATGGCAGACTGTTATGCACTATACACTATTATAGACTTTTCACTGTTATACGTATACATTAAGAGTTTATTTACATATTACACGGGTCTATTCTAAAGGGGCAACACTGGCAATGTCCGATTATTTTTTGTTTTCTTCCAGCAGAACCCCAGTTTCAAAATAATTTTCTTTAATGTGGAGATGCATCCCTGTAAATCTAACGTTTTCTTCAACTTTTCATGAACTTATTTTTTTCAGGGTAGGTCTCCGTTTTTCGACTATGTAGAGGTTATTTATTGTTCTTCGCACCACAGACTCGTTAAAGTTGTCCAAAGTGGCTAGTGGAGATTTCCTAGGTCTTTCTTTATGGGGTGTTGAAAAGGAAGTGGAAGCCCCAGATTCGATATTTTTTGCTTCTCTTACTATTCTTCTGACACTACTTCCTGATACACCTGTTGCCTTTGCTACTTCCACTCCTATGTTCTTCACTGTAATTGTTGGCCCAGCCTCTTTCATATACTTATATATGTTACTAACAATTTCTCTTGATTGTGAATGCAACACTTTTCCACTCAATTTACTTCGTGTAGGTGGCATGTTAAAGGAGATAGAAAAAAATGTACAAATATAAACAAACAAAAAAGAAAATCAACGAATAAAAATAAACAATAAAATAAAATATTGTCACTGTCACCACTTGACTTGTGGCCCAATACTTCAATGCGACGTCTCAGCTATCTTTGGCTGTGGTTGGATCTCAACTGTCTTCGGCGACTGCTATCCCAATACTGACTTCTTGCTGTCTTGTTGCTGTCTTCTGTCTCTGTGGCTCTCGGCTTATGTAGGTGTTCTGCAGACTGGATACCAGACACCATTCCTCACTGTTTCGTTTCTACTGTCCACTGTTACGTAACGGGTGCAACAAACTCTCTGTAGTTCATTTCTGGGGAGACGCGTTCGTTGCTTCTGCATTGTCTACGCAACAGCTCCCTGTTCTCTGCGTTACAATGAAGTGCCTATTCCAAACTCACGTGTTCGGCAATCCGTTGCCTTGGGAACGCTCCTTTGCAACGGTCTGTTTGTATTCGATTTGTCACTGTTGGAACTCAATTTCCATTGTAGCTGTTGCGCAGCGATGGAGGTAATGCGTCACAGTATTAATACAGTAATTAGAGAATAATACACTCAAATACGACTCCTAGATTCAAAACTTTTTAACTTGACTGTACAAGGAAGAATGCTCTTGAGACGATTACTCGCACTGAATGCAGATGAATGACTAATCACAACACCCCTCAAATTTCATGAATGGACCTGCCCATCCACGGTGCAGCTTTTCCTGGACTGTCAGCTCTAAGTAATAGAGCTTTACCTATAAATTATGAAGTACATGCTTAGAATTTTGAATACTTCTTGTAGTACCTCGTAGTTGTAAAATGCAACCTTAGAATTAGATTTCAGGTTCTCACAGGAGTGATGTTACATTATGTAGTCTAGTAGAAGTTCACCAACAGATGGGACTGCCTGCTTATTTTTTTTTAATTCACTTAGTGGAGGGTGGAGTCCAACTGGGTCCACTCAGCACAGCAGCCACTGATTGGCCTATTGTAGCCTGTCCCGGGAGATTATGATGATGGAGAATTTGGTAGAATGAAGATTGGCAGGGAAACCGAAGCACTCAGAGAAAACCCGCCCCAGTGCCACTTTGTACACCACAAATCCCACTTAACCAGACCCGGGATCGAACCCAGGCCGCCACGGTGGGAAGCCAGCAACTAACCGCTTGAGCCATGGCACAGCCTTGCCTGCTTCTTACTGATTACTTGTATGGCTTACTAATCAAATTTGAAAACAGAGGCAGTATGTTTGCCTGAAACATCAGTCAACTTCTACCAGAATGCACAGTGCTATATACCAGAAAATTATACTGTTCATAACCTTAAAGATTTGTGTCATGATCATTTAATTAAGAATTTTGACTGCTGGGATGTAACACCATGTAGTCTGGTAAAAGTGAACCAACCAACAAATGTATCGCCTCCATTGTCAGGGTTGAAGAGAAAGCCAAGCAAGAAATCAGCAAAAAGCAAGCAGCAGGCAGCTTTATGATATCAAACATTGGTAGTGGTTATGAAAAATGTAAAGCTATCCCTGTAACTGGCTGTGAAGGCCCATAGGGTTGTGAGATGTCGAGGCTTCCACATTTTGTCTAGACAATCGGCTCACAAATGGCAGTATGGTTGTCAGCCTTACCTTTACCCCTCTCCCTCAGGAAGATACCTGGTGCTCGTTTCTTTTAGAGGCTGATTCAAACCCAGGGCCACAGTGCAGCTATAAGGATTAGGTCAACTGAAAAAAATCCACCTCATTGGGACTCAAACCTTACAGCTTATAGCACAGTGCCTCAACAAACTATGCTATCGCGTGCCCCCAGTAGTTATGAAACCAACCAAGTTTGTTGTAAGACAGTCACTGGCCAGTAAGGACATCAATACAAAAGCTGAGGAAGCTATGGCATTGGAAGCTGATACCAGGCAACAACCAATGAAGATACAGCAGGCTGAGAAGATGTTGTACGTGCTTTAGTGAATTGTAAAGTGTGTCCATTAGCATTAGCACTATAGTTATTTGTAGTTATGTTCTGTAAGAGTTCAGTAAAACCAACTGCCAAACCAAACCCTGTTATATAGCTGACAGTAGGATATATTAACCACCTACAGATTGAATACACGTTTGGCACCAATGTTCAATACTTTCTACTAATAGCATTCTACAGAGTGTAACTGAAAGGTTTGGAAAAACTTTGGGAACAAGTTACATGTACCAAAACAATAAACATCTCGCACAGTATGGCCAAAACGTACCAGAACACTGCCAAGCATGTACCACATCTGTCCTCTGACTGCCAGTGGTACATTTTCCAGTAGTTTTGGCAGATCTTGTAAGAGGAAATCTCGGTATTAGTTGCCTGTAAGCCGATGTCCTCTGGCGACTGATGTTTGCCGTGAATACTGACGCTGTCAGTACTGAAACATGCCTCATCTGTAAAAAGCACTGATGAAACACATGCTCAGCACTTTGTTGAACAAAACAGCGACAAGTTCTCTCGCGCTGGAAAATCAGCAGGCGTGGGGCCCTGCACGGGTTGTACAAGGTAGGGGTGAAGCAACTGTTCCTGCAGTACCTTCTAATTGGTCATGTCCATAACATTAACTCCTTCCCTACTTGTCTCGTGCTGACAGCTGAATCCATATTGATTCCTAGCAACACGGTCTAGGACCTAGGATATCCAGGACACTACTGTGGACAGGTCTCTTCGCAACTCCACAGAAATTGGCTTAAAACATTCCAGTCTCTCCAAGCCCTCTGAGCCTGCAATCAATGGCGACAAATGTTACATGGTTTGGATCGTTTGGATGCAGTCTACCTGATTAATATTTATAGTTTCTAACACAACCGAATGGCCATTCGACGATTACAATCATCACAACTGTTATACGTTGCAATCGATTATGACCGATTATGACTGTAGGGCTGGGACAGCTGGGCATTAGTCACTTGAAGCCTCCGTGCCCGGTGAAAAGTTTGAAAATAATGAAGCATCCGATGTATTCGATGGTGGTCGCGATGTATAGCCTTGGTAGGGAGGAAGGGTCGGAGGAAATGATCTGGCTTGTTTTAGGTATTGTAGAAGTTTCATACTTTCTATCCTGAATGTGAATTTCTCATTCGGCGTCAGTGTTTTAACAGTGGGCAAAATAGAGTAGAAAAAAGCTAAATCTTCATCATCTTGTGGTGTTGCCTTTTTCATGCTGTGACTTTCCATAAATGTAATGAAACTACGTTCAACATCCGTTAACTTTCTTTTACGTGAAGATGGGAGCTGTTGAGGAAGAACCACTGTTTCATTGGCGGTAGGAGTATGGTAGTCTTCTTCAGTTTCGCGATTATCTCCATCACATTCATTTTTGGGTGAGTCCGGTTGAGTATCCATGGTACGAAATGTAGGTGTTGGTTCAGAAGATTTCTTTAGAAAGGATAATTGCTTGCTGTAGATGTATGTTCTCACTTTCTTGGCTCCGGAACCTGGTTTTATGGATCGTTGTTTTAGGTTTCTAACGTAGTTATCTCGTACTGTTCTCCATTTCGATACCACGTCTCGTACTAAAACAGCAGAAAAAAAAATTTAAATTGCTTATATCATACGTTTATTTTTAAATTAGACAGTCTGGTTTTTGATATGCGCTAACTTCATTTCTTCTCTAGTAGTTTCTCCGTTTCCAGGTACCTTGCAAGTGGAAGCAGTTTCAGAGACCCACATTACAGCTATCGAGTCGGTAGATCAACAGCAAGTCAAGTCGTACGAAGAGTTTGTCAAATTATCTGGCGTGTACTGAAAGAAGAACGCTTTCCTACTCCAAATGAGGACACGTGCTAGAATTGCGCAAGGTTTTCAAATACGGCATCTTTCCCCAACTTTCTTGGGGTAGTTGACGGCAAGCATACCCGTATAGTTAAACCTGAACGAAGTGGATCGTTGTACATGAATTACAAACATTTTTCCATTGGGTTAATGGCAATAGCCGATGCAAGTTACAGGTTCATTTACGTTGACGTGGGTTCTTTCGGCAAAGACTCAGACTCCATTATATTCAAGAATTCTTCACTTTGGAAACAAGAGGAGAACGGCCTTCTAAGAATTCCTCCACCTAAACAGCTGCCTGGAAATAATGGGCAGTATAGGCCGAGTATTTAGAAGTGACAGTCCTCCGAAGCGGAGTAGAAGAAGTATTGGTAGCGGCGGGGAGAGCTCCAGCATGCTGACAAGTGTGGAGGGGAATGCAGTACAGGCGTACTCAAAAGGAAATAATTTCTTACCTCATTGTGTTTCACAATGTTGGCGGTTTAGTCTCGATGATGTTCACACATCCAATGTTAAGTTTTAAGTGCCGAATGGCAGACTATTATGCACTTTATAGCTCTAGTACTTAGAGCTGACAATCCAGGAAAAGCTGCGCCGTGGATGGGCAGGTCCATTCGTGAAAGTTGTGGGGTGTTGATTAGTCATTCGTCTGCATTCAGTGCGAGCGGACGTCCCGAGAGCATTGTTCGTCGTACAGTCAAGTTAATAAGTTTTGACTCTAGCAGTCCACATGCCTGTCCTTCCTCGTCACCACCAGATGAATCGGCGCTATCATCAGAATTGTCATCACTATCACCGTCAACATGGAACGATTTCTTCAACTTTTCGTGAACTTTTTTCAGGGTAGGTCTCCGTTTTTCGACTATGTAGAAGTTATTAATTGTTCTTCGCACCACAGACTCGTTAAAGTCGGCCAAATTGTCTAGTGGAGATTTCCTAGGTCTTTCTTTATGGGGTGTCGAAAAGGAAGTGGAAGCCCCAGATTCGATATTTTTTGTTTCTCTTATTATTCTCCTGACACTACTTTCCGATACACCTGCTGCTTTTGCTACTTCCACTCATATGTTCTTCACTGTAATTGTTGGCCCAGCCTCTTTCATATACTTATATACATTACGAACAATTTCTCTTGATCGTGAATGCAACACTTTTCCACTCAATTTACTTCGTGTAGGTGGCATGTTAAAGGAGATACAAAAAAAATGTACACACACATAAATAAAAAAGAAAATCAACGAATATAAATAAACAATAAAATATGATATTAATACAGTATATAGAGAATAATACACTGAAATACGACTCCAAGAGTCAAAACTTTTTAACTTGATTGTACAAGGAAGAATGCTTTTAACTGAACTTGAGACGTCTGCTTGCACTGAAAACAAACGAATGACTATTCACGACACCCCTCAATTTTCACGAATGGACCTGCCCATCCACTGCGCAGCGTTTACTGGACTGTCACTTCTAAATACTCGGGGTGTACCATTTGCTTTTGTAGGGGACGAAGCATTTGCATTGTCTACGCATCTGTTACGACCATATTCCGGTACACATTTGCCAGCAGAGAAACGTGTCTCCAACTACAGATTAGCGCGAGCTAGACACTATGTGGAGTGTTCCTTTGGCATTCTGTCAAGTAAATGGAGAATACTTCATAAGCAACTGGATGTAAGCGTTGATTTTGCAGCTGACATTGTCAAATGCTGTTGTATTTTACATAGCTTTGTACGTAATCGAGATGGGTTCAATTTGGATGGTTCCTAGACTGTTTGTGGTTTAGAAGACAGGCCTACCGTTAGTAGTTTTGTTGTAAATAAAACCACCAATCGTTTTCGAGATATGTTGACTAAATATTTTGTTAGTGATAGTGGTAAATTGCCATGGCGGCTTGAGAGGATTTAGAAAGAGCCTAACTTCATATTCCCATGTAAAAGCATGTTAACAATAACATTAGAACAATACAAAGTACCTGCTATAAAATTGTATTGTACTCACCAATTAATTCTTGTTGATCTTGAGACTGGTTGTCATAATCTTCGAATAAAATCTTCGCTACTTCAACCCAAGCCTGGTGTTTTTTTCTTTTATCTTTGTAATCAGCGCTTGCAGTGTCCCATAACAGCGGATGATGTTGTACCGCACATATCAACGTTTCAATATCCATGGTAAAACGATGAAGCACAGTGAAAGATGAAACAGCAGTAAGTGAACAGGAAAACCGGATACGACAAGTGATGGACGTTACACTATGCGCTCGTCTGGCCGGCAACATTCGAGGCTACACAAAGCTGTGACGTCAGTCAGCAAGGCTCAATGTACGTTCGAACATAAATTCGTCCATCGAAAATCAACTCACGTTATGACGTACGTCAAGAAGTGCGCGCGTGCCTCGTATGATTGGATTTGATTTCTATTTCAACAACGGACGTCACGATGTGCGTTACAACGGAAGCATTCTGTGCGCTCGTGTGGCCCCAGCCTAATGTCTAGTACTGCTCGCATGTGGAGTGATGGAGTAATAATGCCTGTCACGTGTTAGTCGTTACTGAATCGTAAGGAACGTAAAGAACTCGTGTAATTTAGGTCTGTTATCTACGGTTATATATGTGCTTGGTTGTCACTTGGTCGGTGAAAGTGTTGTGCAGCTGTTGTTGCCGATTTTTTTTTCATTGCCCAGTGTTCGGCCAATTTTGTGAGTGGTACTTGTGTATTTAAGGTTATATTGGACGATATTACATTTAAGTAGTTTAAGACAAAACCTTTTAGTTGTTGTGTTTTTTGTAGTTAATTTAACAACGCGTTCATTATCGAGACACAATAGCGTCGACATTTTTATGTTCTTAGTGGTTTATTTCCTACATAAAATTCTGACGTTTTCCAATTAGAAATGCATGCCAGTTTGAAGGTTCTTTGAAAGTCCAGGTTGTTAGCCACAGCGCAAAGATAGCATTTTCTCATAGTGCCATCGATTAGCATTTGTCATGTTTCATTGCTCATATTGCCTTATCTTGTAAGTAATTCTTGTAAGAAATTGGACAGTCGCTTTAATACAATATCTGTACAACTATATACAGTATTTCAATCGGCCTGGCATGTTTTGGTCCCATTATGAAGTCATGTATTCAAGAAGATGTGGGGTTTATGTCTCAAATGACAGACTTAGTTTAAAGTAGTATTAACTGTTCAATAATTAAAATATTTTAAAAGAAAATTTGCTTCTCTGCTTAATTAAACACCATGCAATTAAGAGGGCTTCAAATTGTAACTCCATGCATTCTTAACCTTGGCATTAGAGGGAAGTGAGTGTTCATCTTCATGCCCTGGGATGGAGCCCTCAGAACCCACTGGATAGGAGACTCGGTGGCCTGAGGATTGGACTGAACATGACGGTGAAAAGAAAAATCTCACATCTGTTGGGAGTTGAGCACTGATTCATATTTGGCAGCCCATACTCACTGTACTGACTGACTTACACTACCTCTGGTCTAGGGTTTTATTCTTATGTGAGGATATCTAAAATTTTCATTTTTTAGTTTAGTTTTCATTCCATTATACCTTGAAATTTAGAAGTTCTCACATATGAGTAAAACCATGGACTGTAGCATTATATTATAAATGATACATTTATAAGAAAATTACCATATAAAAATTATATGAAATTTTATTTTCTACGTATCAACAGTCTTGTGGAGCCGAGATATAGTCGGTATAGTGACTGGCTACAGGCTGGATGACCGGGGGGTTGGAGTTCGAGTCACTGTAGGGTCAAGATTTTTGCTTATCCATATTGTTCAGACCAGCTCTGGGTCCACCCAACCTCCTATACAATGGGGGTAAAGCAGCCGGGGCGTGAAGCTGACCACTCACCACCAGCTAGTGCCAAGGTCAAGAAAATGTGGATCTATACATCCACTCCCCCATACATCTTCATTGCATAGTGCTTAATTAGTTAAGCACAGGGACAACTTTACCGTTACATATTAACAGTAATGACTGAGAAATTTTATATTTTGAGGCGTATTATTTTAGAAATATTTTTAATTACATACAGAACTGTTAAATGACATGGATATTGGTCAGAGGGTGTAGTGAACAGGGCATGAGATATGGTTATAAATTCCCAAATTTGAAGACACATAGTTTGCAAGAGATAAGGTTAGTGTTTTGGTTAAGGTTTTGAGAGGTCTCAGCAGCTTTAGTTAGGGTTTTAGTATTCACCAGTTCACCACTCGATGTCCCACAGTTTCAGGTTCTGCCATCTTTATGCCTTTTTGGAAGTTAGTCGTGTTACTATTGGAATTGTAACATTAAAAACATCAAAGAATAATCGTCATAAATTTGTTTACAGCGGTAATAGTCAAATGGATGAAGTTCTGATATGGAAGCTAAACATACTGAGAAGGAAATTGATGATGAAGCTGCCGATATCAACGATGTATTTCACTCCATAGCACTGAGTGAAGAGCGTCTATTGAAGCAGGGTTTTCAGGAAGGTTTCATGAAAGGCTCTTTGGAAGGAGAAGTGGAAGGATTCCATTTGGGCTATCATCGAGGTGCTGAGATTGGTGCTGAGATAGGGTACTATAAAGGTGTGGTAGAAACATTGCTAGTTATCAGTGACAAAAGGGAACATGATGTACCAGGTAAAGCAGTTAGTGTCCTCCAGAAAGTTTTAGAACTCATAAACCATTTTCCTACTTCAAATGCAGAAGATGTTGATATAACTGCTGCCTGTGATAATATTAGAGCAAAGTTCAAGAAAGCTTGTGCTTTACTAAAAATAGATGGTACATTTCCAGAATTAAGTAAAATTTCTTTTTGAATAATATTAGTGCCATTGTTAAGACAAAATGATAGCAGAGGTCATTGCTAGGCTTGAAGAAATTGTTAAGTACCTAAAACCATTGTTACCACTTGCGAACTGTCACATGGTGAACTTCATCACTAATGGGATGTGGGAAATTTATGTACCTGATGCTATAAAGAAAGAATTTTCATCTGTAAAACCAGAAGTCTTTAATACGATTTTCCTGCACTATGCAAAAGAGATTTCTATGGATAAAATAAAGGGAGAACTTGAAAGTGTCCCAAACTTTGCAAATTTTCTTGAGAGTGCAAGGAATATGTGTCTTCGTGGGATTTCAGCACAAGGAATAGTTGTGTCACTATCAGACCTGCAAGCAAAACTAGCTGCATGGGGCTATGAGTACCAGGAAAGTCTACACTTAGAACAGTTCATGACTCTGAAAAAGGTACATGAAGTTGAAATTATGAGTCAGATGGTGGCTGCTTTAGCTTGTATATCTCATGCCTCTCATGTGGTTGATGTTGGTGGTGGAAAGGGCTATCTCAGTTCTCTTCTGGCATTGCATTATGGACTTAGAGTTCTTGGAGTTGACTCTTCACATGTTAATACACATGGTGCAGCCAAGAGGACTCAGAAGCTAGAGGTATGCAACAGGTTTCAGTAAATGGATTTTGCACAACTGTAGTGATAAGGTTCTTTCAGCACTGAAGTACAGTGCTAAAAATGGTTTAATTGGAAGAATTGGCTATATTGCTGGGCTAAAGGGGTTGACAGATTACATTTTCATGTTCATACTTTGTTTTCTAGAAAAGATGGAATGGTTTATGCCAAAGGACCAACATACTTAAGCAAGGTGATGTTCCACCATGCAAGGGGAAACACCGGAAGCCCCACAATAATGCAAACAGCACTAAGGGCTGTGAATGTACTGGTGCTGAAGCTGATATCAACTGTAGACTCCAGTCTGAAAGCAGTGCTTTGTATAAACAGGTTACAATGTTTGTAACACAACAGACAGACCTCTGCAGCTTGGTTAAGGACCACTTTAACTCTGATAGGTGTGAGCACCTATCTATTACTGGATTACATACATGTGGAGATCTAGCTCCAGCATGTTTACGGATATTTGCCAATAAGGAGGAGTGTGGTTCAGTGAGCAATGTTGGTTGCTGTTATCATCTCATGGAAGAGGAATATGTTCGCAGTCCATTTTGGACTGATACAAATCCTCCATTACCTACAGGAGTACAACCTGGATTCCCAGTGAGCAAGTGCTTGCATATGCAGGAGTTCTCCTTGGGTCGTAATGCAAGAATGCTAGCTGCACATTCTCTGGACAGGATAGGAGAATACCATGAGGTAATCTTGAACATTTTATTGCATGGCACATTCAGTATCCATGGATCTAGTGAAAGGATGAATAAATTTATTTTATTTATTTATTTCATCTCTGTAGATCATTGTTACATGATATAGGACAAGTCAGTTACAGTACATTGGCTGATTACAATAAGAGAATAAAGTTACAATACTTACAATTGTTTACAATAGATTACAGTAGATTACAATAGTTAAGATTTCATATAGTGTGAGGTTGAATCCATATTAGGTCCCCTCGGCACATTGGCTTCCATATGTCCTATTGTACCTGTACNTCCTGGTGCAGCTTCTTGGTATCTGCAGTCTCTCCAGAATAGCCCATTCAGGTACATCTCCCACTGTGTTATCGTGGTTGCTGGAAAAAAGAAAGGAAAACTGCGCAGTAGGGATTCCCAAAACCGATTATTCATGAATTGTGTGATTATAATTGATTAGTGTTTGTCTCACACGAGAGAAACTTATCCACTTTATAAAATCAATGATCGAGTAGGTAAGTTTTCAAAACGTTTTTGAACTTATGTAGTACCGGTATTTCTTTAATATATCGTGGCAGATGATTTAGCAGTTGAAGTCCTACATTGTTAAAGTTGTTCTTGCATAGTCTTGTATTACATGGGACGATGTGCAAGTCATCTTTTTTCCTTGTGTTGTATGAATGTAATCCTGAGTTGGTTGTGAAATCATTCGAATTGGATTTTATGTATATTAGAGTTTCGTATATGTACAAAGATGGTAGAGGTAATATATGTAATGATTTGAAAATTTGTTTACAACTAGTCGCTTTTGGGACCTGGGTCATAGCTCTTATAGCTCTCTTCTGTAATTTAAAGATCAATTTTTCATTTACTGAGTTGCCCCAAAATATCAGTCCTTATGATANGATAAAGATTGGAATTGAGCATAATATAATGTGCAGACAGTCTCTAGTCTGGTCACTTTTCTAACTACCCTTAGGCCAAAACATACTTTACATAAGTTGTTCGCTAGCTTTTGTGTATGCATAGTCCATCTTAGATGCTTATCTAGCCAGACTCCCAGAAATTTTGAGTGATCTGTGTAGTTGATAACAGTGTCATAAATCCTTATTGGAGGGCATTCAAGTTGTAGTTTTTGAGGATGATGAAAGGCTATTGCTATTGTTTTCTCTTTATTAATAGTCAATTGATTCCTCTCAAACCACTCTGTGATTTTGTTTATTGTTCCATTCGTTTTCCTTTGGATTTCATTAGCACTATTTCCTGCTATAAAAAAGCTAGTATCCTCGGCAAAGAACGTAGGTTTCCCATATTCTGTGCTGGCCTCCAGGTCGCTTATGTATAACAGAATCAACACTGGTACCAGAACGGAACCTTGTGGGACACCATAGCTGATGGGTCTCTGTCGGGATAGGTAATTAATGTTTTGATTAGTTTTTTTGCATCTGTATGTAATTTCTACCGCTTGTTCTCTGTTTTCCGAGTATGTTTGGAACCACCTTAGTGTAACCCCTTGTATTCCCATTCTTTCCATCTTACTTAGCAATATATCATGATCAGGGCCCGAATTTTGATGATCTGAAAATATTTAAAAAATGGCCTATAAAATGGCCGAAAAAATCCAGAAAAATTACCTAAAATATGACCCAAAAATGTAATACACAGGGCCTGAATTTTGATGACCTGAAAATATTGAAACAATGACTAAAAGAATCCAGAAAAATGACCTAAAGGAGAAAAGAAAGAACACTTTGCTTCCATGTGATTCACATTTCAGAAAACATATGAAGAAAAGTCCCTAAAATGGCCAAAAATGACAAGAAATACCCTTAAAGGTCCAAAAAATTACCCACAAAATGAAAAAAAAAATGACCTTTAACCTACAAATGTCAAAAAATCACCTATAAAATTTACATTTCTGCAACCAGCAGCTCATATCAGATTTATATATTTAAGAGCATCACATAGGATACAAGGAAAAAAAGATGACATGTCATCGAAATCCGAGCCCTGATCATGATCTACTAGGTCGAATGGAATGATAATGCAGTCATGCACTCATGGACATACACAATATCTCTCTCTCTATCACACACACACAGAAGTGGGGGGGTGGGGTGGTAAATGTAAAGCTGCCATTGTATCTGTGAATCTTGCCATGTAGGGCTAAGGGCTATAGGGAGCATGGAGGTAGAGCTAATGCATTCCTAAATTCACATGAGATGGGCATGAGCTTGACACGTCTTTGCCCTTATTGAAAGAGGTCTGCATTCCTGTTGGGTAGCGGGCCTAAGAACCATTCTGTACATGATACTGCACTTGCACTTATAAATCCAAACATTCCTATATAGGACTCAAACACAGCCGTCATGACTTCAAATTTTCATGATTGTCTTCACTTGTAGGCAAAATTGATGTAATACATCACAGTTGGTTTTTCAGATCTCTTGAGATTGGCTGTTAATGATAATCTTACTTGATGCTATATAGTCTTATGTTGTTAAATAGCCAACACAAAAAGATTATAATCTTACATCTTATTCTATGCATTATAAGCTCTACAGCTGGTGCAGTATCATTAAATAACATGTATATTTAAAATATTCATGTATTTAATTTGGAGGACTTAAAATTACTTGACTCTGAAGATTACCGTCTCTTGGGTAGTTTGGTAGATGAATACCAGAGTGAGGATTCAAATCTTACCTATTTGGGTTGTTATGGAGGGCATGTGTAAGTAATATTTACAACATTATTCATGAATAAAAACTGTATGAAAAGACACAGATACACTGCTTGTGCATCATTCATATGCAAGAGAAACTCCTCAGAATTTGTTTGGAATCTTACACACATTCAACATGGGCTCAATTTGACTTACGTACAATATCCAGGGAATATTCAAGCTTCATCCATATACGTCAACAGCATGTCAGCAGCATGTCAACATCAGTTGCTGCAATAGAAGCTTGAATTCAGTTTCTTTGTGTGAATCATCAGCTCAGTCACCATGATCCTGCAGGAGAAGACAGCGAGTGGAGTGGTTTATCGAAACAAAGCTGGATAAGCAAGTCAGAACACATTTCAGCACACCATATCACAAGACTCGACCATCAAGACAATTCATATGTGTTTGATAAAACAGTTTAAGTAGACTGGAAATGTTTTGCAGAAGGAAGGTCAAGAAAGTGGATACCTCAAGGAAGCCATGTTCTGTGACAAGACTATATTCCATATTTCAGGGAAGGGAAACAAACAGTATCTACACATCTGGAGACCAGAACATGCTCATGCTACAGTGGGACACATTAGAGACAGCCCGAAAGTTAATGTATGGTGTGGTCTGTTGTATGATCATTTGATTGGCCCCTTTTTCTTTGCTGAAACCACTGTGACATCCAGCAGTTACTTGGATATGCTGGAAAACAGGTACAGGAACTGCAGCATGCTGTGTTCTTCCAATAAGATGGTGCACCACCACACTGGACCTTGAATGTGCGTGCATCTCTTAATCAGCATGTCTGAAACCAGTGGAGTGGACATGCTGGTCACATCTCTTGACCAGCCAGTTCATCGGATATCACACCCTGTGATTTTCTCCTGTGTGGATATGTAAAAGACTGTGTGTACCGGACTCCAGTGGCTGACATCAGTGATTTTAAAAATAGAATTCAAACCACTATTGCAGCAGTTGACATTGACCTTGTTGCAGCATACATGGATGGAGCTTGAATATCACTTGGACATTGTACGTGTGACAAATGAAGCCCATGTTGAGAATGTATGTCATGTTCAGAACAAACCCTGAGAGCTTCTCTCACAGATGATGCACAAACAGTGTGTGTGTGTCTTTTCATACAGTTTTATTTAAGAGTAAGGTTGTAAATATAATTCATATACACCTCATATATGTGTAAGGGTTGTGGCTGTAAATGTGTTGTATATTGCTGACACCCAGAAGCTTTTGAGGTAGAGAAAATAAACAAGCTAACTTGTCTTTTTTTTTAACAGTTGTCAAGTGAATCATTGTTCTTCCGAGCATTACTGCAGGTTCTGCTGCTCAAAAAGTGTGGTAATGATATTCCTTGGGGTCAGGTTGGTCGACTTAAATACCACAACTTTGTGGACTATGTACAAAAAGCTGTGAAGAAATTATGTCTCAGTATCGAAGTAAGTCTACTAGCTCTTAATATACAATGTGTGGAGTGACTGTTAATAGTTTTTAGACTTTTGAAAATGTGTTTTGAAAACTCATAGGCTCATATGCACAGCTTGTCATTGTAGTAGAACGTGAATTCCATTCAACTGTCTGCTGTATCTGTTTGCAGGTGAGTACAGATGAAATTGTGTCACTTTACAAGACACATTCTGTTGAACAGCAGCAGTTGCATGTCTTTTTTCTTCTGAGAGTTGCTCTAGCTCCTGTTATTGAAGCAGTTATTCTGTTGGATCGCCTTCTTTATTTGCTTGAACAGGTAAGCTATGAATTTGCATGTACTTAATCCATATACCATCTGTGATTTTGACATTCTGAACAGTTGTAAGAAAATCAAATTGCGAATAACATGTTTCATGCTTTTGTTGAAATATGTTTGGAATAAAATCTTTAGTGGAATTTTTTGTAATTCATTTCTTTCTGAGCTAAATGAGAGGATAATCTTATGGATAAGAGAACTGTAAGGAAGTTAGAACTCACCCTTCTAATATAAAAGAAGATGACATGTTTGTCTGATAAGTGTATGTAATAGCAAAACAGGTGAAACATTACACAGCTGTGCTAGTTCAACGTTTTTAGAAGTAGTACACAGACATCATCTGGGCCACAGGCAGAGGAGGAGGTCTGGACAACGTGGAGAAAAGAAAATTTTTGACCCTACTGAGACTCAGACTCTGAACCTTCAGTCATCCAGTCCATAGACAGTCTCTGTACCAACTCTGCTATCCTGGATCATAATTGTGGGGTACACAGTCCCCATTTATATATAACACTGCTACTGGAGAAACAGAATATGTGTTACATGACCACTTTTGAGAACACACCTATCACATAAGTTGGGGAATATGAAAAACTGCATTGTATAGTCAGTTTCTTTATTGACGTTTTTCAGGGCATCCAAGACTCCTATTTGGTACAGTTATTTGATCCAGTTATATCTCCTCGGTGTTACTGCATAGTTTCATTGAAGAATTATCCTGGGAAAGGAACAGATTGAGAGTTTTATATGGGTAATGATTTCTGATCTTTTGTATGTACATTGTTTTATTCAGTTACAAGCCTGAAATTTATATTCTTCTCATTTTGTCAATAAAGTATGTAAGTAATTTTAAGTATGGACTTATCCATACACAGTAAAGTGACAGGACATTGTAAATCCAGTGTTTGATCTTCATTGGAGTTAGGATTATTTATCACCATGTCATATGCATTGGATTGAAACAAACTTTCTCTTTAATGGGTGCCATGAACACTTTCATAGAGATTAAGAAAGCCAGTAACAAACCCAGTGATGAATGAACCTGCAGAGATCTGAAGGATGTGAAATGATATCTTCAATCTCCCTGAGCCTTGGTGGTATAGAGGTGGAATTTAACCTTTTACACATGGTATTTTTTTATTATATTATATTTAAGCATCCTGATTCATTCCACACTTCTATATGTATAATATTAACTCTGTCTTAAATGTAACACTTTATTGTAGTTCTTGTCCCCCTTCTTTCACACTACATGTTTCAACCGTAATCGGCCATCATCAGGTGTATTTCACTTCATGTAGCTGTCACACTGCACTTAATATTAACATTTAAATTCCAGATTTCCAATTGTTTATTTTCTGTCGTCAGTACCCGATATTCCAAAACTCCCCTTGTCGATTTTGTCAGTTGTGTTTTATGAATATTCACATGTCGATTGGTTTAAAATTTTAAATTCTCATTTAGCTTTAATATTTAAAATTTAAATTTAGATTTAAAAACCAAAATGACAGAGATACCTGCTCTATGCTTATATGTGCTATGTGCTTATACTTGCTAAAGATCATAATAAATTATACAGCCATGCTAATAAAATATGTTAAAATTGTAGATCTGAAATTTTAATCTGCATTACCATTATGAGTGTACAACTTATTGTCTGGAGATCCTCTGTCTTAAATTCTTAACTCTGGTTATAACTATTAGGCGGCTGTGATAACAGACACTGCTTTGAAGAGTTCTGTATTTTGTATCTGCGGTAACTGTCTGCCTGAGCATGCGTTACCGTGGAAACACCTCCAGTTCCGCAGTAACCTATATGCCTGATTGAGTGTTTCAATGGAAGTGCATGTATATTAGTCCCATGCCAAACCATTGTCATGGGAATGTGTTCTGTTAATACATTTTGCCTAGGAAATCAACTTTAATCTGACTCAACTATTCCAGCTTTCACGGGTCACATTACAATACAAATATAAAAACAAAAGTGTCCTATGGTAGAACAATAAAATATGTATTCAGTACATTTTCTAAGCTGTTCGACTTCAAATAAAAACTGCATTGTTACCAATCAATACATTTACCTGTGTATGAAACTTTGAATCAACCACCTTTTTAAATACAGTTTTGTTTATGTTTCCATGCAGTTAACACATTTCTGTAGTTTTTCAGTTGGCTATTTTGGGAAATATGTGCTTCAACCGGTAGAACTGGACTGCATATGATAACATTATGCCAAATGCTTCAAAATAGTAACTGCAGGAAACAGATGTGGAATAAAGAGGAGTCAAGTGTAAGATTTGAGGCTTTCACGGCGGTGACTATGAAGAAAGCAGTCTTCTGGGATTTGGCACCGTGTATATGTGGTGTTAACCGACGTTTCGGAGGAAACAGTCTGCTTTTACCGGTTCGCACGGTCTCTTCGCTTGCAGAATTCTTATATTTTTTCTTCTACCCTGAAGATGGAGGCGATACGTTCCTCCGAAACGTCGGTTAACACCACATATACACGGTGCCAAATCCCAGAAGACTGCTTTCTTCAGGAGTCAAGTGATTTATTACATTGTGATTCACATTACGTAAGCATTTCCTTGATGAGTTCTGCCTTTGTTTGCTGTCCTTGGAAGCAGGGACTGTAATGAAAACAACTTGCCAGCTGCATTTTTGGAATAGCTATGTGAAAAAAAAGGAACTACTTCTGAATTTGCTAAATTGAGATTAAATCACAGAAGAAATATTGTATACTGCCATTGTTCCTGTTTTGTGATCAGTATTCATGATCAGGAATTGGTAAAAAAAACAATTGCATAATTACTTATCTTCCATTACTTTGTAATTTTATGAATGCAAGATTTGTGTATTGTAATTTCATATATTTCTCTCCATCTCAGTGACATTGTTTCATGTATCGAGTCACACTGAAACCAAAGGAAGCAATGTTCTTGGTATTGTCAAGTGTTTGGCCTTTGATGAGGTTGTCTGCAATGCACAGTTACATTCCCAGTGACCTGCAATACAGTTCATATCCTTCCTTCTGAATTCAAGACTAAAAGAGAAGGCTTCGGGAACAAGCCCTAGCACAAAAACTAATTTCAGATCTGAGGACAAAAACATTTTTCCTTCTGTGACACAGACACTGACAATGACAATGAAAAAATGCTCTACAGACATGTTATACACAATGGACTAAATGTACCAAATGTGACCTTTGGACCTCTAATCGATAGCTTGACAAGGGGGTTCAGTGAGTTGAGACAAAATGAGGCACATAATATTGTGAATGACTGTACATGAATGAGTTTTTACATGCTCTTTTTCCTCGAAATTATACAATTGTTGGTGGAAGAGACAACAGATATTACCACCAGCATTTGATGAAGAACATGCTGCTCTGCCTGATATGACTTTTCTTCATGTGTTATTGTGCAAATGGGACTTACTGAAAGACTGGTCCTCACTTATAACAGTTCTTTTATGGCCTTTATGGAAAAACAGTGACAAGACACAGATTCTTTTGTGTACTGAGATTTGTGCACTTCAGAGACAACACAAATGAACCTGACAAAACTGATGAAAATTATGATCAATTATAGAGAGTAACTATATTTGATAAGCCCAATGATGCATATGCAACACCAGTTGTCGCGTGTTGGGTGTATATCGCGACAAATAACTTCACACCTTATTTGACATAGCGAATTTTATTTCACACTCGCTCGTACAGTCACACAGTTTAGAATCTCACAGCTACTGCTCTCAGCAGTATCACAAATACTTGACTGCAATTAACTGGTTACTCTTTCTCTAGTAACTGGCTCAATACTCGCTACTTACTAACTAATCACTCACTACTAACTACTGACTCACCATCCACTACTGAATGATGTTCGCGGCTCCTTGTTTGGTCTCGGAATGGACAGGACAGAGGGCAGATGCGTGATAGATACGGCTGTTGCCTGACGCAGTGTTTGCCGATTGCCTAGCAGCGCTGTAGGGAGTTGTTTACTGCTGCATGGCAACTGTGGCAATCCTTGGTCATGTCACCACGGGAGGGGGCCGGGTTTTGACTGGCCTATTACCGTAGCAGGGGCAACACGCTAAATGTGTTAGGTTACCGCTTGGGGGAGAGGGTGTCATGCATAGCGCAAATGCGTCACACTATTATAATCCAACTGAACATTTAGCAGTCAGTAAAATCGTTGTACTTTCCAAAGATAGAGTCATCTTTAGACAATACATACCAAAGAAATGCAAAAGGTGTGGGATGAAAATCTGCAAGCTGTACGATCATGAGGGATATACGTACAATATGACTTTGTATTTAGGCAAAGATAAAAATGCACGACTGCTACTGTGGCAGTCACACATCACATGCATTTGTGGCAGAACTGTATGCAAGGGGTTGAAAGTGTGGGTCATAAGCTCTTCAAGAATAATTTATTCTTATCCCTTGAATTATATGATGATTTAATGACCAAGAACGTAAATTGCTGTCGCACTGTGAGACCAAATCTAGAAGGAATGCCTAGGGATTCTGAAAAACTGAAAGTGGACGGGGATGACATAAAGATCTGAATTAGTGGTGACTTGACAGCAGTAATATGTCTGGACAAAATGTAAACATGTTGACAGATATGCACCAACCACAACCAGGCGGTAATTTCAAGTGATGAACATGGGTATGATCTGAATCCAGCCACAGTATGAGAGTACAAGACGTGGGGTATATAGACAAGTCTGGCTGACAAATAGTTGCTCCATCCATCTTCTTGATCTTTCAGTTCAAACTAGTTTTATCCCCCTCGCCCCTCATGATTCAGAATTATCACACCAGCGTTTCAGATTTGTGTTGGTCAGGGACGTAATACAAGAGGGGAAGGACACTTCAACCACAGGCAACCCTACAGGGAAGACAGACACCTTCCACCGGCCAAGTGACCCGAGTTGATGCACAACAGAGCAAATATTGGCTCTTGGAAGGAAGACTAATTCTGTGTCGTGTGTTCCATGAAAGATAAAGAAAGAGGACAAAATTGAGATATCCACACTGCAATATGGGGTTATGTGCTAGTCCCTGTTTCGTGATCTAGCATTCAAAATTTCATTTCTGAAAGCTGTCCGACATCATACTGGAATAAGTGGAACACAGAAGTGAAAGTAAAAACTACAGTACCATTGTACTGTCATAATATTTTTGCAGCAACAAAGTATTAGTAAAATAAGAGGCTAACCAGGTGTAGAGTTTATGAAAGGGTTGATGGGATATGCTGAGGCGCTTTCTGAAGCATCTTTACGATATTTATGGCTCGTTTTTTACATTAAAGAAAAAGGCAAAGTTGACCCTGTGCTTATTAAGCACTACTCCATGAAGATGCATGGGGCAGCGGATGTACAGACCCACATTTTTTCGGCCTCTGCACTAATTGGAGGTGAGTGGTCAGCTTCACACCCCGGCCGCTTTATCCCCGGGGAAAGAGCCCGCCGGTACCCATTGGATAGGAGGCTGGGTGGGTCCCAGCGCCGGTTTGGATGACATGGAGAAGTAAAAAATTTTGCCCATGCCGGGAGTGGAAGTCGCCCAGCCCTTAGTCAGTCGTTCTACCGGCTGTGCTATCTCGGCCGGTTTGAACGACATGGAAAAGTAAAAAATTTTGCCCCCGGCGGAACTCGAACTCCAACCCCTTGGTCATTCAGCCCGTAACCAGTCGCTGTACTGACTGCGCTATCTCGGCTCTTTTTTTGGACACTTTGTGAAACAAAACACTAAGAATAGTTGCGTGGAGGGAACTATAAATATTTCAAGACTTTTTCAAGTCCCAGGGGTGGGGCTCATAAAACATAACCCTCTTCAGGTGGGCGATTCAAATTCAAAATATTGTGTTGATCTCTGAGTCCGAAAGAAGCATTTTAGACACACAAGACCAATAACAATATATTCTTGAAAATATAAATAACGTTCATCCACCAGAAGTTAAACAAGATGGACAAATTTGTAGATGTTTGTCTAATTTACTGTTCGCACACAACAAGCCATGCTAGAGTAGACAGTGTATTAATGAAATAAAATTATTCTAAAACTGCAATTGCAGTTCTCCTCAGATCACTTTTCCTGTTTTGTTGGGCCAGTATCGCAAAAATCTTCCTCCCCTTCGAATCCATAGCGGTCATAGTTGTTGACAGACTTCACATTTTGTGTTTCCTTCAACGAGGTTTCATTATTAAACACAAGAAGCGTGAGAACATGGGAGCCACGAATTGGCCGCAAGATTCAAAATAGAGATGCGATAAGGGTCAAATAAATGTAAGAGCTCTTCCGCCTCCGTGCTATACTTATTTTACGAATGTTCTTGGCGTTGGAAAATTGACCAGCTTCTACGTCGAATTGACCCTTACTAAAGTTGGCAAATGCAGATACTTCGCCATCTAATTTCGTTACGGTAAGAGAGAGAGAGAGAGAGATACGCCTGTTTCACCCTAATATGGAGTTCAGTTTGGTGCCTCTCGTAGAGTCAGTAATTCATAAATGCTAAAATATTTGCAGTTATGTCAGTTTACCGAAAGCCAACCATTTTTCACTATTGTGTCATAGACGTGGATAATATCGTGGAATCTCAAATGCGTTTTATTTTGCATAACCGCTGAACGAAATAATATCGCATGCTCTGAGTTTATTACAAATTTGTGTAGAAACAGAAAACATGGCCATCGTAATGTCAATATGGGCATATCGTCTAATTCTTAATAGCTGTAAACAGATGGCGTTTTTAAGTTTTCAAAGAATAATGACGTCTCTCGTTGAAAGAAAAGGGTATCGCATGAACTTTGGCCAATGATTGGTGTGGAACTATGGTATTTAGTTTGCTGGTTTCACTAGCGGATGAGTCAGTTCGTCAGTTCGGCTGTATCTTTCAGTTCGTCGAAATACCCAGATTCGTTGTCATCTGCATTGTATAAGGGCCAGGTAATAATTATAATGTCTCATTTCATTTTAATGTTTTTATAATTTAATAAGCCGATGCTCAGTTTGCAATGTAAATGTGTACTGGTATTCTTAATAAGCGAAAGAATACAGTTAATGTCTCTGGAGGAGCCTTCTATAAGTTTGCTTTTAATGTGCTTTTTCATTGAGCCTAATATTCTGTAAGCGCATTATATAAGCAAAATGTGATGACATAACGGCAATTTTTGTGACGAATCTTAATTTGCTTCATGGATGAAAGCAGTAAATAATGACCGTAGACAATACAGGAAGCCACTTAACTGGCTGCATTTTCCTAGTGGCCTATAAATTATAGTTTTCTTAGCATATTTTGTGTTGCCGAAGGAAAAACTGTAGATGTATAAGACCAAATTGTACGTGGCCCTCTTTCAGCTTCTCAGCTGTTTAGAAATTTAATATGAACGATACGGAATTTTAGGACACGTCAGTCTTGCACAATTCAGTTTCCTGCAAAAACATGGTACGTTGTGAGGTGTAAAAAATTATCCGCAAGTACGCAGTTCTTGTTAAGGTTATAATTTGTAGAGAAATCTTCATGCGATACCTAATGAACTGTGTGAATTATTGTTACGAAATTTTACAATGAATTGGGATTATAAATTTTCTCAAGAATTATATATAAAACATTGTTTCCGAGTAAACAACCATAAACATTGCAAAGGCGCAAAACTTTTAAGTTAGTTATAAGTTATTCGATATATTTTACGTGGAGAGAATCTCTACTCAGTGGAATAATAATATAGTCTGTAACATATTTATAATTATATGTCATAAAGATTTCTGATACGAATAGGATTCGATCCACGGCCAAGCACGGCAACTTCTGAGGTAAATTTCATACTGTTTGATTGTGAACTTAGGAGTACATTGGCGATATCAAAATATAACATCAACCATAGTCACCAATTGGATTTTTCCAAGGTAGGCGGAAGCCATTTATTATAAACTTAACTTTATGCCGTTTAAGGCTGGTTTTTGTTTAATTTTTATTGTTAATATTTCGTATTTCCTCTTTTTTTTTCGATTTTGAACTCTACTCACCGCCGTCGTCAGTATTAACAGCAATAGATTTGTGGAACTGGAAGACAGTTCAATAGGAAAGCTGGCGTTATGGGTTCTGCCCGGAATGCCTTGTTCCTTTTCAGCTGCACTGAGAAGCTGTACTAGCTTATGCCCTCAGTAATGCTAGCACGCCGTTTCCCTTTAGCAAAGTTGTTTCCGAAAAACTGCCCGTATTTCAAGTGACATAGTTTCATGCAAGCTAAGGATCTTAATGCCAGGATAATAATTTGAAGCAGACCACAATGGATTCATCTCCGGTGCTCTTTGGTTTATAGTACATGGGCCTGTCTCATCTCAAGCATGTAGTTCTAAACATTCTTAACCCCAGCACTAGATGAAGGTGAGTGGTCAGCTTCACGACTCAGACACTTTTCGTCCTGGGAAAGAGCCCTCGGTACCCTTCTGTTAGAAGGCAGGATGGGCCTCAGAGCCGGCCAGGACGCCGTAGAGAAAGAAGGCTCCCTTGTCCCTGTGTGGGAATCTAACAGCAAATTTTCTATCATCCAGCCCACATCCTAGCTACTAATCTATTCCGGTTCTAATTGTAAGGTAAATGAAAAGTATAAATGAACCATTCTGAACCGAATTGATGTCAGTCCAACAGAATCTGCCCAAGTGAATGAAGAGGTACAAAACTGGAGAAGATAGTATTTTATCTCCAGCAGGGCCTGTTGCGTTGAAGTTAAGAGCCCAATATTTCTTATCACGAGAAAGAATCGCGTTTTATATATCATTTTACTACCTCAGTGCTTGCGCGATATTTTCCACTGTTATTTGTTCACGCAACCAGCTGCTTCTTTTGAACCATGACACAGGTCAAACTGCCTAGAAGTCACTCTCTATCAGGCTGTTTTTATGTACTATCATCTGTCATGTACTGAAGTGTGGAAGAGAAAACGGCATCGGCTCAAGAACCATACACGAAACAGCTGTCTGCCTCAATATATTAGAGTGAATTTGATAAAGATATTCTGTTGGAGGAGGGAGGAGAGTACTGGCTTAACAAAAGCCATCGGAATTCTCGATGGTAATGGCAGATTTAATCAGATATCTTAAAATTAAGCAGAGTCGGAGAGTAAAATAAATATATGTGGCATTACAGATAAAGAAGTATTTTTGTTTTCGTCCGCTTAATTGAGATCTTTTGCTGAAATTATTCGTGTGTAGTGATCTATTATGATCGAGAATACGAGACTTCGCCAGCATGATCAATTATATTTTAATTAATATGTATTTATATACTTACGTAAATTAAGGTGGGAGGAAATTTCGTTTGATTATTATACGGACTTCGGCAATTTTCGTGTGACTTCGGAAAGCTATAACTGATTTCGGAGTATAGAAGTCTGGAAATTTATATACGTGTATAATGTAACGATTCCTTTCTTATTATTACGAAACCTGCAAGGTTTGCTTTATAAGTGTATTTGACAAAAAACATGTGCTTCATTTTTCTTTAAATCTTACGTTCTACATTCCGACATACATGAAGAAATACACGTAGATCATTTCGACGATTTTAACAAGAGCTGGAAAATGTCGACAGATGAATCAAAACTCCTCATTGTTAAATTTAGTAAAAATTCGGTCACTTGTTGAGCATAGACAGACGGAATTTAAAAGTCACTATGTAGGATTTGGAACGCGCCTAAGAACTAATTCCCATTCAAAAGTTAGGAGTTATAATGGGCCAGTTATTACAGAAAGGACGTTCGTTTCATAATATACAATGTAGAGTGTAAAAGCTAAATAGTTCTGTTCGGTGTGACTGACCAGAATGAAACAAATCAAATACAGTGTACAGCTATATCAGTTTCACTGAACATCCATAAAATTGCTCTTGAGATGAAACACAGTATCCCCATACGATGTTTATTGTATGTGTATGTAAACTGACAGCTAGGAAGTGCCCAAAGTAAAAAGTTTCCTCCCGCAAGGAACAGGAAACAAACGAAACATTTAGGAAGCACTATTATGTCGGCACATTCTGTTATGATTGGTACCTACAAAATCCCTTCCTTGTGTTTTCTCGAGTGTTGAAAACGACAGAACAATCGAAAATAAGTAAGATATGCAAGTATTTTTTCTCTTCTCAGGTTTCCTCTTTCCTTAGAGAAATTGAAGAAAATGGAATGTGTACAAACGGCATGGGTATCTCTTTTCTCTTTGGCTCACATAAAAACGAGATTTTGTACAATTTAATCGAACAAAACGTAATCTGACCTAACATAACTGAGGTTAACATAAAGGAACCGAACTAAATTTAACCAATTTGTTTCACACCTGTCTTTTCGGCGCACCTTTCATTTTTGCTATGCAACGGTAAGGTAAAGGTAAAGTCGTTCCTCTGCTTAACTAATTAAGCACACTATGACAACGTATGAGGAAGTGGATGTAGATCCACAGTTTCAGCTTCACGTCCCTGCCGCTTTAACCCCGGGGAAAGACCCGCAGTACCCATTGGATAGGAGGCTGAATGGGTCACAGAGCCGGTCTAGACGACTTGGAGGAAAGAAAATTCTTGACCCTGCCGGGACTCAAACTCTGACCCCAATACCGATTACGCTACACCTGCTCGCTATGCAAACTCACAAAAAAATAAAATAAAATAAAATGGGATCCTGTACCTAGCTAAGCGATCACCCTAACGGGATCCCAACTTGTACATGGAGAGTAGGCCGACATGAGGTATATTGTACAGGGCGAAGCGCATGCCTTCTCGATCTGGAGCTTATTTTCAAACCTTTTTTATTGTGATTTAACCAACTGAAGACAAAACTGGGAAGAATGCAATGATGAAATTATTTCAAATTTTAATTGCAGCTGCCGTTAGCACAGATGTTAAGTTCTCGACTGCCATGGCTTGGAAACCGTGTGGTGGCTGCTCAACCTCATTTTCATGTGGCCTGTCAACTTTTCTGCAATGGTAATTGGAGTTGATTTATAAAGAATCATTTCCTCACACCGCATTGTGTTTCTGTTTGACCATATATTGAACTGCGTTTAGTGCAAAGGCACTCCATTAAATCGACATAGTCTCAGTCTATTTTACAATGGTAATTTATTTTTTCATGGCATATCTGCATATGTTACTGAACAAACCATTATATGAGGTCTTTTCACGCTGTTTGGGATATTTGATGCACAAACCTGTACAGGAAATATTTTCTTAAATTTCTAGCTATTCCATCCTTTACCACTCCTAAGTAAAATATTGCGTTCATTTTCCAGTCACTCTTTCATTCCATTCCTATATTTGATTTATTTAAAGTCAAATTAATCGCTGACATTACCTAAATCCTAGAAATTATTATATGCATAGAAATGATGCAGTCATGGATTTCTTATGTGATATGTGAGATTCTTAATGGCAGAGGTTATTAGGATTGCGGGCTACTGGGATGTGATGCCATGTAGTTTGGTAAATGGGTATCAGTGTTTCAGATGAAGATGCTGCCTCCATTATCAGGGTAGAATTTACCCCAAGGAGGAGTCAGCATTCCAGAAGGCTGTAATATAATAAACTACAAAGCTCCCAAACATGTTCTAACTTCAGTTACACGTCCAAATACTCGTATGCTTGCAGAGTTATGTGATAGCCTACTTGTGTTTTAGACAGCATTTCTTTTAAGAACCCATGAGACATTCCTCCTAAAGCCTTGTGATAAGTAATTCTTTGTTTTTTACTTTGTTTGGTGTCCTGAGAAATGCTATGTTACGTTTATCATGGCTGACACGCAGGCACGCGCGCACAAGTATGTATATGTGTATATACATGTCTAAATCAACAATTCGTTCGTATTCGTCTAAATCAACAATGTCCCCTTCGGAACAAGATCCATCTGATGCAACACATTTGGCCCAGCGGATTTACATGCCTCATAGCAAGATTGGAAATCAGCTTCTCGTAGGGTCTTGATGGCGTCAGTTACAGCCTTCTGAACTCTGTCAAGTGTTTGAAAACGATAGCCCTTGACTCTCGATTTTAATTTTGGGAACAAGTAGAAATAACAGGGTGACAAATATGAACAATAAGGAGCCTACGGAAGCATGGGAATGCACTTATCGCCAGAAATTCACGAAGTGACACTGCAGGATGTGCGGACGCGTTGTTGTGACGAAACTCGAAGGATCCAATCGTCTGCAATTTCCATTTGAACTCGCATCACCCTCTTTCTCAGACGATCCAGGATTCACGATAATATTTGTGATTCACTCTAGCACCAGGTGGTACAAGTTCTTTATGAATTACACCGCAAGAATCGAAAAAGAAATGGTGATCATTGTCTTGATCTACCTTGATCATTTGGTGACGCGAGATTTCTTGTGTATTGGAGACTGGCATATGCCGTTCCTCACTCTCCATCTTGGTTTCAGGGTCATATTCGAAAAACCGATTTTCGTCGCGTGTTGTGAGCAGATTAAGGAAATCTGGTTCAGATTCGAGCCGTTCAAGCATTTCTCTCGACATTTCGTTTCGATCCGCTTTTTGATCGTCATTCAGATTTTCTGGAACCATCTTTGCACACACATTTATCATAATAAAATCTTGCGTAACAATTTGGTGGACAGTACATTAATTAATATTATGTTAATTTGTTATAATTCGAATTGTCAAACGTCTATTTTGATGAATGAAAACCCTCACACTGTTGTCATTTGTGCTTGTTCTCACAGAGGTGGGGCGTCCAGATCGTGGTTCAGCCGCCGTTTCTCGCCAATTTGCGAATTCTTTGTGCTACCAAAAGTCTTGTGCACATGATGCAGAACATTACAAAACGCTCTCTGAATCTTTTCATATGTATCGTTAGCGCCATCCTCCAGTTTGACACGAAACTTGCTCGAGATTATGCTTCTCCATTTCTGTAAAGCTGTAACAAAACATATATCTACAAGAAAACAGAACTAACATATATACTAGTCTAACACAATTCCAAAAAGGAATATGTTACATGGGGGTAAAGATCTTTAATCATTTGCCACCAAAAATGAAATCCATGTCTAATGACTTGAAAATTTTTAAAATTCAGTTGACAACATTTTTATTGCAAAACTCTCTTTATACATGTGATGAATTCTTTAGTAACAAATTTGCCTAGAAATAAGGATAATAACATAAACAATTTTAATATTGCATAATTTTATGAATAGTGATGTAAGACTGTAAATTTAACACATGTTTTTTTATCTATTATGATTATAAACTGTACATATATATTTATAATTGTATTGTACTACAATAACTATGTGACTGGTTCTATATCTATGTATATGGATTTATGGAATATACAATAAATGAATGAACGAATACATGTCAGCAAGCTCAGACTTGAACTGAAGGTAAAGGAGGGATGTAGCTATCATCTCATAGTTGTCTCGGCATCACAGTATTCCCAGTCCTCGCATTACAAAATTAATTTCATTGCTTTGTTACCACACCATGAAAAATGGGGGGGGGGGGAATGCTTGCTGGTTCTTTTAGTTATTTGATTCACTTCATTTATAACTGTGATCTGAACAAATAACAGGTATATTTTACTAAAGCTTGTTTATTAAATAATATATTAAACTGTTTCTTACAAAACATTGTAACATAATTTTCACTGTTTCTTCAATTATTAACTCCGTAGTTGTAATTAATGTATGAATTCGTTTATTTAGATCTCAGAATGTTTTCAAAAGAAGAGCCCGGTCCATCTGTCCAAATAACTTCCAAAGAAGTGTTTGACAGAGAAGAGAAATATGGTGCCCATAATTACCATCCACTTCCTGCAGCACTTTGTCGTGGCAAAGGTATACTTAAAAATTTAACCTTGAAATGAAGCCTAGCGATTTTAAGAAACATTATAGCAGATACTGAGAAATACATATAAGCATTTTTTAATGCCACTGAGTATTTCTGAGATATCTAGGAAGTATTTCTGCTACAGGTGATCTTTCTTCCTCATTATGAGAGGACATGGAAGGGGGCCAAGTCTGGTGATTGAAAATGGGAAAGTTGCAAGCACCAACTACAGTACCATAATGTTTTTTGCACAAGTCAACACATGTATCAGGATACAGCACTCTGTTCAGGCAGTTGCCTTTTCTACTTCATGACTTTTACAAAAATTAATCTCATATGATGACTATAACTTTATTTCAGACTCTTTGCAAGCCAACGATCTCTGAAAACAATTTTCATTTCATGCATTCTGTTGCATACAATTCTTTATTGGAGTCTGTCGCAACACAACAACATAACAGTCAAGGTCAACATTACCTTAGCTACATGTTTCGGCTTTTAAAGCCATCATCAGGCAAAATACATGGTTACTATATTCACGCATTATTGAACTGCAATTTCATTGTGACAGTAGAGCTGGATACATGACAACTGTTACACTATAAAATACAAGGTATAAAAATAGAATGAATTATAAAATTATTATAAAACGAAAGTTATGTAATAAAGTATGGTTAAAGACTCTTCATGTGATATTTCATATTATTTTAACAATGATGTATTTAGTGAGTTGACTTGTTCAAGTGTTGCAGTTGTAACAGTATGAATGCAAAATAAATATGAAATATGAAATATGAAGTTAGTTGTAATGTGTATGTTATATTCCAGTGGACATATAGCGGTATATTCAAGACTTGGATACGTATAGTAAACTGCTTGGAGGCCCATGGTATAGGTGTAGTATTATTTGATATTAATTGTTTTGCAAGTGCCTCATTTTACGATGTGTTTTGTCTGCTCTGGTGGGACTACAGATTTCAACTCAATCAGTTTAACATGTGAATCATATATAAGTCCAGCTGCCTATAGAGCTATAAGAATTCAAATGTGGAAAGTACAGAATTCTTTATATGACTATACAATCAATCTTGTTTTCTCTTCACATTGAAAATAACTTCGGTAGTTTCTTCAGCATTTCAAACATTTTAGTAAGAGAACCAATAGGGAAGAGACCAGTTGGAAAATCTGAGCATAGATGGAATAAAATATTAAATCATACATCAGATATAAGGTGTAATACATGGACTATGTTTGTCTGGTTATATATGGAACCAGTTGTGGATTAGTTTGAACATGGTAATGAACCTTCAGGTTCCATCAAAGGTAAGAAATCGAGGGAACAGCAGAGTGACTGTTGGCTCCTCAAGGACTCTGCTCCATGTAGTTAGTTATAGCTAAGCCAGACAAAGAATTCTCATGGGTGGGGGTGATAAAAGAGTTGCTAGGAAGGGAGGGCCTTCCTACTGGCAGTCGTCATTTAACACTGCTGAACAAGTAATCCAAAGGAGTGCAAGCATGGGGGTAGAGAAAGGGGAACACAGGAAGAGAGGGTAGATGGAGTGAAGAATGATCTGTGGGAATTCTTCACTTGTCTCCACTGTAGTTATTTAAAATATTATCACATATTATTTGGTCTACAAACATCCTTTCATTGGCAATTATGACTAAGTTAATATGTGTTTACATATTTGAGTGCATGTTATGTCTGTGTGTGTGTGTATGTGTATGTCAGTGCATGGCTGGATATATGTGAAAATGTTGCTGAACTTGTACAAGCTTCTTTGCTAAAATAAAAAAATATTTTATTGCAATGGTTTTAATTATTTAGGTGTATTCATGTGGGATGTAGAAGGGAAGAAGTACTACGACTTTTTGAGTGCATATTCATCTGTGAACCAAGGTCACTGTCACCCGAAGATTGTTTCTGCATTGAAGCAACAAGCTGAGGTCCTTACTCTCACATCTCGTGCTTTCTATTCAGATGTCCTTGGAGAGTATGAGGAGTTCATTACCCGTTTATTTGGCTATGACAAAGTGCTGCCTATGAATACAGGTAAGGTTTTCCTCAACTAAAACTTAGTTCTTTATAAAGACTTTCTTTACTCCACTGCACCAACTTAGTCATCTCTATATATCAAATCCTAGGGGGTTGACACATACTGATATGTGTGTTGTTGCACATACTATGAAGTAGACTGTAGCCTGTGTGGAGATGTTTCAAGATAAGGTTTTCTGCATCAGATGATATCATACAGTTGCACAAATTGCTTTGTATCCTTTTTCAGTTTCTTGAAAAATTGTCCATCATGGCATGAATGGATTTTTTGGAAGAATGATTAAAACTGTATCAATGTCACCCATGTGGAATTTTTTAAATGGAATGAATGCTGAAGGAAACATCTATGGGAATATGCTTACAACATCTATTGTGACAGTATTCTTTTTCCTGCTCTTGAGGATATTAAATATAGGAGATTTTTTAACAGTTTGCTATCCATACATATGTAATTTTGGAAATAGTGTGGCTTCTTGATTTTAAGTTCTTTTAAAAATTTGCAACTTCATACGTTTTCTTCCAGCTAGTCATGTTTCTACCTTTCTATTTTGTTCCCTTTAATCTTTTAAACACATCGTGAAAGTGTTTCCAAGTTTATATCAGTATAGGGTTAGATAGGTTTGGAGGTGTAATTATACAAATTAATGTTCCACCCACTTGTTTTATCTGAGAGCATTAAGAATAATTATCAGATATGTATTAATACAAGGGAAAATTACATAATGTACACTGGTAAAAGTGTATGGAGTCACTGTAGCAGTAACAGGTATTACAGAAATTCATAGTGTCCGTGAGAGTTTATTTTGTGTCTGAAAGCCAGATCATTCATCCATTGACTGTTATAGTTCAAGTTATAAAAGGAAGGAATGCACCTATATAGGTTAATGGTTAACTAGACAATGTTGCTGGGCATGCAGTAGCATAGTTGGTTGAGACACTGTGCAACAACCCGGAAGGTCACAGGTTCTATTCCTGATGAAGTCATTGGTTTTTTCAATTGACCTAATTCTTCCAGCAGCATTGCATCCCTGGGGTTGACTCAGCCTGTAACAGAAACTGGTACCATGAACCTTCCTGGGGATAAAGGCTGGCCAGCCAATGCACAAAGCTGACAAACTTACCACTCCCAGTAAACTGATTCTCTAGAGAATGTGGGAGCCCCAACCACTCACAACCATATGGGCCTCCATGGCCTGTGACAGGAATAGCTTTATCTTTACATTTTTTTTAGTTACAAACATCCTGCAGGTATTTATCAATAAATGTTTAAGAAGAATCATTCGCATCTTTTGGCCAATGGTTGTTACAAATGAAAACCTATGAAAACTAGTAAAGAAAGAACCAGTACCCACAGCAATAAAAAGAAGGAAGTGGAAATGGATAGGACACACACTACGTAAAGATCAGAGTGCAATAGAGAGGTAAGCTCTGGACTGGAATCCCCAGGGGCAGTGAAGGAGAGGCAGACCAAGAACAACCTGGCGGAGAACTGTTGAAGAAGAGGCCCGAAAAGCAGGAAAGATCTTGAGAGGTCAAGAGCCTGGCTGGGAACAGAGTCCATTGGAGATGCTTCGTGGAAGCCCTGTGTTCCAAAATGGAGTAAATGGAATTGAATGAATTAATTACATTTTTTAACAGAAAATTTTGCAAGTTGAAGAAAAACAGAGATTAGAAATTTCTGATGAAGTTTTTTATAGACAATTTTTGCTGAAAGCTTTTCTTCCAGGTTGCAGCACTACCTATTGCATATTGTTATTTTATCAGGTTTCATATATTAACACTTTATGTTTTAAATTTCCCACTGAAATTTTACCAAGATTTATGCTAGTTAAACATTTTTTTTATATCCCTATAACAGACCGCGAAGGCCCATAGGGTTGTGAGACGTTGAGAGTCCCACATTATCTAGACAGTCGACTCACAGATGGCAGTAAGGTTGTCAGCCTTACGCACCGGCCGCGCTTTACTCCCCTGGAAAACATTTTTTTTTTTAAATATGTTATTGTGAAGTTGAAATAAAAGAAGCATCATATTCTGAATGCCACCATTGTCCCATCTGAACTTCAATACTACCATTAAATTCAGCTTACACTTTGATAATTCACTTTCAACTGTTTTCAGTGAAATTGACCTATACCTGTACTTATGGACTCCTGACATTTCATGTTACAAATCTCATCATGCCTATTTTGCACTGCTTACATGATTTCAAAGACTCTGTCCAAATCACGGGCACTATGTAAGATTCTGTAACACGCTACTTTTACAATTAGGAGGTGTTAGACCTCTACCCAACCCCCAAGATGGAGGACCAGCTATCTGCAACTCCTTATTCAGTATATTCACACCTACCCTCCATATCTGTAGGCCATTTCCTCAGTCCAAAACCTAAGGATTCGCCATGCCATGGAGATAGGGGACAAAAATAAAACACAATTTTGATGGAGACTGGGGAGAATATAATGAAACAGTATAGCCTTTGCATTAACTGCTTTTGAAACTGGATGGAATTTTCATTTTATGTTCAGATGTTACACGTTTAATTTTAAATTAACATTAATAATTAACTTAGACCAGCAGAAGAAAAAAGACAGCTCAGTTACAAATACATATATTTGAAACTTAAACCTGACACATATGAGTGTAATTTCGTTATTAACATAACTGTCTCTTCTCTGCAGGTGTTGAAGGTGGTGAGACTGCATGCAAGCTTGCCAGAAAATGGGGTTATGCTAAGAAACAAATACCAAAGAATCAGGCAAAAATCGTTTTTGTTGAAGGAAACTTCTGGGGTCGAACATTGTCTGCTATTTCCAGTTCTACCGATCCAAGCAGTTATGAAGGTTTTGGACCCTTTATGCCTGGTTTTGTCATCATACCTTACAATAACCTTGAAGCTTTAGATGTAAGTTTTGTTCTGTCATTCACTTAGTACTCTGCAAAGAAACATGGCAGCAGCTTTTTTCTTGGTTCGTTTATTAAAAAATCATCAGCTTCTTAGTTTCCACTGACAAGATAATTGACAATGACACGAAACCCAAAAGTTACCTAGAGTGACTGAGAAAAATTAAGAAGAACCTTGGTTAGGTTCATTTATGCTCTGGACTGGGATTTATGTCAAGACCTGGATGTAGAGCAAATGGGCTAACCTGAACATTATAGCAATTTGTTAACAACATTAACTTTTTATCAGTAAATCTCTGACTTGACTAACCCTGGAAATTATGATGGTAATGACACTTCTCTTCTTGTGTATTAATTCCAGAATTATGAGTGGAAAAGTTTACTTCAAATTAGAATATATGTATTTTCCAATGTGTGTTTGAGATTCCACATGCATTCTTCATTGAACATCTTTGCTTATTGCTAATACAGATATTACAGAAGCGAACTTTGAATTTGTTGCTTCTTCATATTATTATATGTGGAATCTCATTGACTTAAACAATGAACAGGATATTTCTCCAGATTTGTTCCTATACTTCAACAATCTTCTTTATTTACAGTTAGGTTATATCCTGTCACCATTTATACAATGTAAAATTTAAATCTATAATGAATACATGCTCTAATACATATTACATACCGATACTTTTATGTAATAATTTTAGCCATTTAGCATGATGGATAACTTGGATGGTGTAATATTTTCCATCATCTCAAGAGTTAATCTTTTCACTGTACAATTGGGCCAAGAATCCAAATTAATTGAATTCTGCGTAATGTAGGAGGCCCTGAAGGACCCCACAGTCTGCGCCTTTATGGTAGAGCCCATCCAAGGAGAAGCAGGTGTAGTTGTGCCAGATCATGGATACTTGCATGGGGTACGAGAACTATGCAGCAAGTATCAGGTGTTGTGGATAGCTGATGAGATACAGACTGGGCTTGGACGCACTGGAAAGCGGTTGGCAGTTGATCATGAGAATGTTCGGCCAGATATCCTAATTCTTGGCAAAGCCTTATCTGGAGGAGTGTTTCCGGTGAGTATGTAGCACAATGATTGAAGCATAGAATTAAGGTGGATCTTGGAGAACTAGAGTATATAACGGCATTACATATTATTAAAAAACCAGTATTCCAATATGTAGGAACTAGACGATGTAAGAATACTAGCAGACCAATACAGGTGTATGTAAATGAGTAAAATGAGGAAATCCCGGGAAGTCGATTTTTGTTTAACAGTTTGAAGGAACAATGAGATAAGTTAAAACAGAAATGTGGATTGACTTAAAAATATTCAGACTTCTTAAGAAAGAATAAAGATCCATCATCCACGGCAATGACCACTGAAGAAATGTATCTGGCAGGATTATTAACTGTAAAACACCTTGCAAATTCACTGGTTGCTACTGCAGCTATGGGAGCTGGAGTGTCAGATTTCTTGAAACGTGAATGTTTTTACGTAAGCATTTCTACACTTCAGCAATTCCCATCTTTGCATCTTGTATCCCACCAACCATTTTATCAAAAAATCGTAGTTGTAACACCTTAAAACAATGCTCTTTTCTTTTTCTTTCTATTTTTTTTCCAACAAGTGTATTTATACAATTCTATACATTTTGGTACCATATTAATTAAAGTTCTCACTTTTGAGGCCTCATGTACTGCCCAGCTGATTGTCAAGTCCTGGCACTGGGTCATGTCCCATTGATTGAGAAACATTGTTATACCAAGAAATCAGACAATGACTATCAATTTCTACATTATTTTACTAAACGTTTTATACATTTTCTCTATAAGAACATGAAATACATTAGCTTTATGCACATAAGATATCAGATGTGGAAAGTAATTTTGATTAAATAATAAGACACAGGAAAAATAAAATTAGTTGAAGATTTATGTATGTTCACTGAGTCCTTTCTCTCCATGGCTTGGCACATCTTCAAGTTGCAGCTAGAGGAGAGAGCCTGCAGATGTGGAGGGTAGCTGCAAATGTATTAAGTATGCTGTCATGGGCTGGGGCCCTCCAGGTTTGGCATGGGGCTAACAAATCCTCACAGTAAAAAATCACTTTCTTATGAAATGTTATACAGGGCCTTGGATGTGGATGGATTCTTTGGAATGACATAAGCAGAAAAAATGGATATGAGATTTGGCACATGGAAGGTAAAGAGGCAGATTCATTAACAACAGTTGTATGAGGAACAGTAAAACATAAGTTAGATTTAGAGGGAGTACAGGCCAGATGGGACAGGAGTGGCACCGAACCAGCAGGCGATCATAAATTTTTCTATGGAAAGTAAAATGAGAGTCATGAATTAGGGACAAGATTTTTTGTACATAAGAAAATCATATCAGCAGTTACAAGCATAGGATTTGTTAGTGATACAGTTTCATGCATATATACTAACAGGTTTCTGGTGTGATATCGTTGTTTTGAATATTCATGCCCCATCAGAAGACAAAACTGATGATACAAAGGACAGCTTCTGTGAGGAACTAGAACGTGTATTCAGTAAATTCTCTAAGTACCACATGAAAATGTTGTTTTGAGATTTCAGTGCCAAAGTGGGTAGAGACAATATTTTCAGACCAACAAATGGAAATGAGATACTTTATTTGAACTTTCAAGGTATAAAATTCGTAATCTTTGTGAGTTATCACAATGAGATGTATTTCAGAATTGATCCCAAATGGCTTAAATTGTGGATATCATTAAAATAAATAGAACACCTTTGCAAAATAATCACTTGCCTTCAGTAAGAGAGGCCATATTAAATCTTTCAAGTGCTTAATAAGTATTCAAGATACATGCTTGTCAACAGGTGTCAGCAGTACTGGCAGATGATGAGGTAATGTTGTGCATCAAACCAGGAGAACATGGCTCCACATATGGAGGCAATCCTCTTGGGAGTAAGGTGGCAATAGCTGCTGTTGAAGTCCTGGAAGAAGAAAAGTTAGCACAAAATGCAGAGAGTCTTGGCATTATTCTCCGCTCTGAGCTTTCTCAGCTACCAAAGGACGTGATTTCCTGTGTGAGAGGGAAAGGTCTACTAAATGCAATCGTCATAAATAAAGGTATTCTGGTGTTTTCAAGCTTATACAAGTTTCAGAAAATATACCGCTTCTGTTTTTTTCCAACTAAAAGCTCGGCTATAAACAAATTGTTGAATACGAGATTTAATATTCCCATGGCAGGGTCAATGAAGAATACTGTCTTCTGGGATGAGAAGCAAGCAAGCCTGCTTGCTAGATTGCTCAACCTATCTGCTTTTGGCATTGAATGTCTGATTGATTGACTTGCCCATTCACATAACACTGGTAAACATCTACCTGACTATGTGAATTTACATCCAAGAAAAGGAGCAAATTTATGAGCAATTAGAGAGAACATACATCCAGTGTCCCTAATATGACATAAAGATTGTTACAGGTGATTTTAATACTAAGGTTTGAAACAAGAGCTGGGCTAAAACATTTGTGGGATGCCACAGCTTACATGATGAAAGGAATTTTAATGGAGAGCAGCTCCTAAATTTTGCAGCCCAACAAAGAATGATGATAGGTGGAACGATGTTTCCACTAAAAAGTATAGATAAAGCAACATGAAGATCACCAGATAGTAGAATAGTTAACTAGATAGTTCATGTACTAATTGATCAGCAACATCTCACAAATATATTAGATGTTCTCTAAGTGTTAAAGGAGCTAATGTTAATACTAATCATTATCTAATAATAGCTGGGTTAAGAGGCTGCATAGCTGGTATACGTGAGAAAGGACAAGGAAAAGAGTAACAAAGATGATAGAGACCGGTTAAAAAGACCTGGGATTAAACAGGAATATGTTCATAATTTGTAAGTTTGGTAAGAATAACATTATCGGCAGATACTACAACACATAATTACAGGAACTGCAGCTGCAATTATTTGTAAAATAGAAAGAACTAAAAGAAATTTATGGTATGATGTTGAGTGTAAAGAAGCCACTAAAAGTAAGAATGAAGCCTATTATAGGATTATACAAAAACACTACACAATAGGGGCTGAAGAACGGTGTGAGGAAATGAGAAGAATATAAAAGTGAATACTTAAAGGGGGGAAAAAAGGACATTCCATGAAGAACAGAGAAAAGAAGCTGAAAACCTCTGTACACAAAGGGGAGTAGAAGATTTTATCAGCTAGTAAATGATATTAGGAAGGATTTTACCCCACACATTAAAGCATGCAGAGAGAGTAATCGACTGATTGTAAGCAAAAGCCCAGCGATAATGAATGTGTGGAAACAGTATTCTCATAATTTACTGTGATGATCAGAAATTGAAGTATGTTTTATGAGAAAGGGAACAGAAAATGAAACTAATAATGTAGAAGCAATTCGAAATGGAATGAATGCTCAACTATAGAAGATATCTAGGATGCAACAGAAAAGTTAACAAAATAATAGATTGTCTAGACCTGATAATATAATAGCTGAACTACATTTAAGGTATTTAAACTGTATTTAAGGTAAAAAGAACTGTACTGGATATAATTCCCTGTAAAGTGACATGTCTAATATGGAAAGCTGAAGTTATCCCTGAACAGTGGAAGAAGGACTTATATGCTCTATCTACAAGAAAGGGCATCAATAGCAGTTCAGCAGTTAACAGGGGTAAGATGCTGTTAAATGTGGGATATAAAATATTCTCTAATATTCTATATGAACAGTTACAAGGGTATGTGGAGAATATACTAGGTTACTATCATTGTGGCTTCTGAGTAGGTGAATCAACAATCAGGTACAGTTAATGAGGCAGATTCTGAAAATAAAAAAAATACTGGAATATGGAGTCATCACATTTCACCTCTTCATAGATTTCAAAGCCTCCTGTGACACCATAAACAGGGAGAAATTACTTGAGGCTATGAATGAGTTTAAAATACCCAAGTAGTTAATTGGACTCATAAGAATAACTTTGGAACATGTAAAAAGTAGAGATAATGTGAAGAATAATCTATCAGAACCATTTGGAACATCACTGGGCCTAAGGCAGAGAGAGGCCTAACACAGCATTAGAGTTAGTCAGAGATTTGAGGATAGAAACTAAACGAACAGTATATAACAAAACAGTCCGGACACTTGCATATGCAGATGACTTTTATTAGTGGGGAGAACCATGGGTGTGCTCAAGAAATCAATTACAAACCTCAGTAAAGCAGTGAAGGAAATGGGACTTAACAATCATTATGCAAAAAACTAAATACATGGAAGTAACCAAAATACAATCTAATTCAAGAATGCTTAAAGTGGATGACCAGGAATTTGAAAGGGTGAGAGATTTGAAATATCTTGGATCTACTCTGACAGAAGATAACATCACTATTGAAATAAAACAGAATTTTAATAGCAAATCGAGCTAGTTATGGGTTAAAAGGAAACAATTATATTCACTTTATTTAAGGAGACAGACAATGTGTGCATTATATAAAATGCATACTTACTTAAGAATGTGAAAGTTGGTCCCTGAAAAGGAAGGAGGAAAATATGCTCCAAATCTTTCAAAGAAGGGTATTTAGAAGAATCTGTGGCCCAGTCAAGGAAAATGGAATATGGAGATCAAGGTATATCCATGAACTTCATAACTTATATAATGAACCAGATATATACTGAAAGCAATGGCTGGAATACCTTTTTAGAATGCAGAAGCAGAACCCTTGCAAGAAATTAGCTCTACATAAATGAGAGGGTATGCAACAAGTAGGCAGGCATGGTATCAGGTGGCTGGATTCAGTTGAAAAAGATTCCGAGATAATGGGCATTAGAAATTGGAGATAAAAGTTACAGTATCAGAACCAATGGTGAGAAATCTTAAGAGGCCAGGGTTTATCATGGACTGCAGTGCCTGAAGAAGGATGAGAAGGAAAATATTCTTGAAATTGCTGAATATTTTAGTACTGTGTTTAAACATCATCTATGTCACAGTTTGGGCATTCATGTCTGTTCATTCCATCTCAGTGAATAGATTGATCCTTTCATCATAGTTCTGGACTTTCAATGAGTCCCTTTCCTTTAGGTATATACATAATTCTTCTAAATATATGATGAGGTGCCATCTTGTTTACCTGATGTCCAGTTATTTCTGTAATTCCTAATCTCATTATTTAAATTTGTATTCCTAATTTTGTCTGTTAATGTTTCTGCAGCAACAGTCTGAGAAATTTCATTACCGAAATTTCTGTCTTTTTTTTTTTTTAATGTTATTATTATTTCTTCTTCAGTGTTCATACTTTAGTGATGTTAATGTTGGGATGGCCATAGTTTTATACAATTTTATCTTTAACTTTCATTGCCTCTTTATTTAACACTTTTCTTACTGTCCCATACATATGATTAAATTTGCTACTTCAATTTTTGAATTCTTGCTCTGAAATACAGAGATATTATGACACAGACAGTTAAAGAGATTTGCCTGTTTAGTTGCGTTATCATGAGTACTAATTTTTTATCTGACCTAATCCTTCCAGCCGCACTAGGCCCTGGGGTTTACTCAGCCTCTAACAGCAATGAGTACCAGGAATTAGTTAAATAATTTTCCTGGGGAGTAAAGTGTGGCCAGCGCATAAGGCTGACAACCTTACTGTCATCTATGAGCCAGTTGTCTTGATAATGTGGGACCCTCAACATCTCACAACCCTTTGGGCCTTCACAGCCTGGTACAGGGATAGCTTTACTTTTTTATTTATTTACTTTACAGGTTGTTTTCTTTTAAAAGACAAACTTTAATTATATTTAAGATATTTAAGTTACAGTCTGCAGTTATAATAGCTAACATGTGTGCCACTCTCTTAAGATTGTCTTCATTCTTTCAAAATGTAACAATCAAATAATGAGTAATCAAGAAGCTCTGCAGAGGTAACAATTTGAATGTATTTTTCAGAGTTTGATGCATGGGATGTATGTGTAAAATTGATGGAGAATGGACTGTTGGCAAAGCCCACCCATGGGGACATAATAAGACTGGCCCCTCCTCTCGTCATCACAGAATCTCAACTGCATGATGCAATCAGAATCATCAAGGACACTGTATTGTCATTCAAGAAATAATACTGCTTAATTAAATTGTTGTGATAAGTTTAGATGAACAGTTACAAGAAATAATCTTGATAATACAAATATCACATTTACAGACTGATTAAGTTATTAATGAACATCATTTGATTCCTAGCTTTGTCACAAATATTTTAAATTTATTATAACTCTTTCAGAAATTACACTGGTGAGATCAGTATTATGACTCATATTTCAGTTGAATAAGTTAATGATGACTCATGTTAGTTTCATTATTGGGCACTTAATTTGCTGTTAAGTAATTATTGGATCTGTTTGTACTAGTAAAATATAAATAATGTGCGTGTATTAGTAAAATATTATTTGTGCATTTTCATTCAATGGTAACTGGAAGGACCTTAGAATATTATATGTTTGATTACACATGGATTATTATAAAACACAAGCTGCTCCTTATTGCAAGCTTGATAGTGTGGGCCACTGTTTACTTGATAATTCCACATCCTGAATTTAATAGTGCAGCATGCAATGCCAGATAATTTTTGTACCACCCTTAACAATTTTTACCAGACCTGTACAATTTACTGTAGTTAGTTAGTTAGTTAGTTAGTTAGTTATTGGAGAGGGTGGGTTTCCCCATGCACTGAGACCTGTATTGGTCCATTGTGCTTCCCTCTATGATTTCTACCAGTCTCTATATCCTACCGGTACTGGTGCTTACCATCAGTCCCGCCCAGCCAGCGAGACCGGCTCTACTAGCTGAGAGGTATCTATAATGCTTCCCCCATCTACCAGAGGTATTAGAGACTGCTGTTGGGCGGGAAACGTCCGATAATTTGACTCGGTGACCTCCTTTGGAGATATGAGGTTCTTTTACGTGCCGTAAAGCTACGACATGGGACCCACGGCTTAAAGTCCCTCCTGGAGGACTTGTTCCCTGAATTTTTCCGCCCTTAAAAATTCGACGACCTCCACCGGGTATTTGAACCCGCGTACTATGAGTCATGAGGTGGGAACGTTACCTCTAGACTACGGAGGCCGCTACAATTTACTGTAAATCTAGGAGCCACCTGCAAAATCCAGGGGCCCAATAGGCAACACTTCATCTTAGTTGTCTACCAGCTATTTAATAGCAATGGCCCATATGTTTACCGGCTATTGCATAGCTGCATCCAGTTCTTCTTGATTTGCTATTCCATTTTTCAGCCATTATGCCAGTTATCTCCACATTTGTGCAAACCTTGTCAAATCATGGTACATTCTGCCTTACCTCCCAGTATTGTAGACTGTCCTTTGATGAAGTTTTAATATTCTGTCCAGTATCTACTGATATAAGTACTTCCCAATGCACAAAACTACACAAGACTTTAACTTTATTCTGTTCCTTGACTTCTTTGATCATCAGCTCCTTGAAATTAAAGTTTTGCTATGCTTACTTACACAAAAGGAGAAGTTTAAGTATATTTATTTGTTACAGTTGAAGATGTTACATTATTGACTATTGAATTTCTTGGAGCAGCAAAACATGTGAACTCCATTATCATTACTAAGTTGATGTACAAGCTGGTTCAAGATTGGTTTGGACTTCAATCTTTTTACAAAAATGATATATGTTCCAGACTCACTCACTTTGGGTAGTGCTTGCTACCATTAGTTCAGAACATTTTGTCTTCTTGTCTGCTGTGTAAAATTATAATATACAGGGATGGACAAAAATATGGAAACACCTCGTGAAATGCATGCCTGAATTGAAGTGTTTATTTTAGCAACGTTTGTAGGACACACTGCCATATCTGCACAACACCACTACCTTTACAACCGCCGAAATATGTTGCAAGCTTCACTTGTTGTCGAGACAGTGTTCTGTGCATTTTTTTGTGCATCACGTCAGAGCTAACAGAATTCGAACGCGGGCAAATTGTTGGGGCCCATATGGTGGGTGCTTCAGTAACCAAGGTAGCCGAGGTTCTTGGTGTATCGCGAGGCACAGTATCCAAGATTATAACCGCATACAGGAGGGCTGAAAAAACTGCATCCGATAAACACCAGCGTGGATGGAAATGTGTGTTGAGTGATCGAGACAGACAAACATTGCGTAGGATTGTGACGAAAAATAAGACTACAGCTGCAAAAGTGACTGCTGAACTGAATGTCATGCTCACACACCCTGTCAGCACAAAAACAATACGAATGGAACTCCACAAGCAGGGTATTTCTGGATGAGCTGCAATTCCAAAGCCACTCATCAGTGATCAAAATGCCACTACGGGGAGAGTGTGGTGCCAAAGTCCTAAAACCTGGACTATGGAGCAATGGAAGACGGTCATTTGGTCAGATGAGTCCACCTTCACACTGTTTCCGACTTCTGGCCGACTTACGTCTGGAGAACGCCAACCCAAGCTTACGATCCAGATTGTTTGTTGCCAAGAGTGAAACATGGCAGGGGTTCGATCATGGTATGGGCAGCCATATTGTGGTATTCTGTTGGACCCATCATTACCCTGCAAGGTCACGATGGTCACGACACTGCCAACGACTATGTGACCATTTTGGGCGACAAGGTCCATACCATGGTGCAAACTTTGTTCCCCAGTGGTGATGCCATTTACCCAGATGACAATGCCCGTTTTCACACAGCTCACATCGTCCAGGACTGGTTTTCTGAGCACGAAGATGAAGTGTCACATCTGCCATGGCCCCCACAATCGCCAGATATCAATATTACTGAGCCTTTGTGGTCTGTTTTGGAGAGCAATCTGCGCGCGCACTATCCACCTCCATCATCGATAACAGAACTTACCATGTTTTTCAGGAAGAACGGTACAAGATTCCCTTGCAAATCATACAGGAACTCTATTTATCCATTCCAAGGAGACTGCAAGCAGTTCTGCTAGCCAGAGTTTGTCCTACACCATATTAGTCACGGTAATGTGTTTTTTGTTGGGTGTTTCCATATTTTTGTCCATCCCCTGTACAAAACTATAATTTTGCCTGTGGTTTCTTGTGGGTGTGAAACTTGGTCTCTGACGTTAGGAGAACATGGACAGGTGGGTTTCTGAGAACAGGATCCTGAAGAGAATATTTGGACTGAAGAGGGATGAAGCAGGAGGAGGATGAAGAAAACTCATAAGGGGAGCTTCATAACTTGTACTCGGTGCAAAGTATAATTAGGATGATCAACTCAAGAATGATGAGTTTGGCAGAGCATGTAGCATGCATGAGGTAAAGAGGAATGCATATAGGACATCGGTGGGAAAGCCAGGGGGAAAGATCCCTTTGGGAAGACTTAGACGTAGGTTGGAGGATAATATTAAAATGGATCCTAAAGAAGTAGGATGGAGTGGTCTGGACTGGATTAATCTGGCTCAGAACTGAAACCGGTGGAGGGCTCTTGTGGACATGACAATGAACCTTTAGATTGTATGAAATGTTGTGAAAATCTTGAGTAGCTGCATAACTGGTGGCTTCTCAGGAAGAGCTCAGCTCCGAAGAGTTGGGGGTATCAGTCAGAAACAATGTGGGGGTATTTTCTCTCCTTAATTTTTCTCCTTGAAATGTTGCTTATGTGGCAAAAAGATTTGACTCGAAGCTAAAAATGGAATATCAGATGTTTTATAAATGCTTACGAGGGCATCGCAATATTGAATATCAAAATGTACATTTTTCTATAATGTGACTGAAATGTTACGGACATTTATTTCAGTGATTTATTTCTCTGAGGTTGGCGTCCTGACGTCTATGCTCTGTGCTTTATTCTGCGACATTTGTGTTCACAGAGTACTGAAAAAAAATGATAATGATAGTGGTCCGTGATTTTAAGATTTAACGCGGACCTCACTGATACCGGGTAAACTCTCTAGTTGGGCTACACGAGAAGGGAAAGAGGGAAAGAATGAAGAGGCGGTTTGCTTTAATTTAGTCGTGATAGAAGGGCTACCACTAATAAAATATCGCAGGAGCTGAATTTGGTAATTACCATATTAGCGTACTATTCGTAGGCACTAACCAAAAAGAAACCCTCAGTTCCCAGGTATTGCCCCTTATTGACCAATTAGCTGAAACTAGTAGCGCACAATGGGCTTAAAGTGCATTTAAATCTTTGTCCCCTTAATCACGAAGATCACGAAACCTTCCTTCTCCACTTACAACCAAGACTGTCTTATTATTTCAGCGGTTTAAGCTGATACAATGTTGCCTTGTCAACATTTATTACGTTCCTCTTGCTTCTTATTTAATTGCTGGTGCTGCTCGTACTCTTGATTCTATTTATCAGCGTGGCCTAAAACGTATATACCTTTGTATTCTGGGATCCTCTGCCTTGTGATCCTTGTGATTACAAGTACTTAATCGCAAGTTCCTTTACGTCTGCTGGTAGATTTACCAACAGGACATGCATTCTCATGTTGTCAGTGGTGCAGGAGATGTCCGATATGACTGTAATTGTCAGGGATTCTGAGGCAGCTGGCTTGTAGTATGTTGGAACACCATAAATTTCAACAACATTACCGAGACCCATTCACATTGACATTCAAATTGGAATTCGCCATCTTAATAGTGTGATACTGAGGTGACGTGACGTCATTTCCAGGCGTGGTGGAGATGGTTTTTTCATATTCATCTAAGCGATCTAGGCCGAGGTGATAGGGAAGAAATGTGTAGTTGTAAATTATTTAATTTGTAATCTAATGGCGAAATACAACAGGCTTTGTTATTGCAGTATTTACGTTCCCTTGAAGATGTGTAAAGGATCTTATTCACGAGAAAGTGAGTGTTATGTGTTAGCAGATAACATGATACCCTTCACTGCTGATAGATTGTTCTTATCATCACTTGTTATCAGTTTGCCATCAGTGTACTTTCCCCAAGTAATTAAAGTGTGTTCGATAGGTACTATTAAATACAGTGCAGCGGTGTCAAATGTTTTTAATTTCCGAAACTTGCTGCCAAAAATATTGACTTATAGAATCAAATAAGGCATCTCATTTTTGTATTACGAGTTCATTGGCATTTGGCTTCATGAAATGTGTGCGTAATTAGTCTAAGTAGATTGTTTTGAATTGTATACTAGCTTTATGATCTCAATGAAAACTGCTCATAGTGACAGTTAATGTAATGTTGCTGAGAGCTGATGACAGTATGAGATAGTCAAGGTTAAGATGGTGGTTTACATCAGTGATTAACCAGTTAGTGATGGAATTATAACAGTTTTATTGGTGATCATTGGATATTTCAGTAAAGGTGTTTAATTTTTTAAGGTAGACTGTATAATCTTTTTGTTTGTTGTATAAGGGTAAGCATATGACCATTTGGGTACATGTGAAACATATACATCTTATCACAAATAGATGTCCTTGTGATAGTTTTGATTTCTGGCATCCCAAAAGAAGTTAAGTTTTAAGGTCACAACCAAAACACAAGATAAGCCTGAATTCACTGTACAGTGAATTTAGCTGCTCTGCTTTACTTAAGTTACACAAATAATAACCTGCGTGTCTGATTATTGCTAACATGTCTTATTTGTTCAGTCATGGGGAAATGATATATGAAAAACTGAATTTCTACCATTTACAATTATTTTAAAATCACATACTTTAAGAATACATTTTTCTTATTAGTGCTGCCACCATCACGACAAGGACAATAAGTAGGACTATTTGTTGACTCTCACAGCTTCAGGTTACCTGTGAGTCTGTGTTGCAGTAGAACTCTACTGCATGAAGTTGGGAGTTTCGTTGTCGTGGACTTAGGGGCATGATCGACATGCTCTTTTAGTCGTAACAATTTAGTTGCTATTTCAGCTGTCAGGTTTGCATTTGTATGCCTGCATGGAAGAGTTCCCACTAGTGCTGAGGTCAAGAAGATGTGGATCTATACATCCACTTCCCCATACGTGTCCATGGTGTAGTGCTTAATTAGTTAAGCACAGGGACAGCTTCACTTTTACTTTATTAGCTACCTTTGTGTGTGCTTGCATTCACTCATGTAGAGCCAGTAAAGAGTACAGTATTACAGGCATTGACTAATTGTGCTCAAAATCATGAACCATAAAATGATGCTAAGATTTAATGGGGTTTTGGACTTTGTCTATCATCTGGCATTAAGAAAGAACTAGAGAACACAACGTTTCAGAAACTGGATCTGTTTTCAGCCTCAGGTGAGTTGGGAGACACCTACATTGTTGTGACCCTTAGAAAGAGTCAACCCCAATCACTTGACAGCTCATGTCCGTATAATTAGAGCTATGTAAATACCTGAGACCAGGCTCTGTCGAAAGGAGACAACAGGAAAAATATACAGTAACAAGTATAATAAAGCATGCACAGACGTGAAACTAAGATAGGAAGGAAGGTGAAAAATTTATGCAACAACTCTAACCAACAAACCAAGTCCATGAAAACCAATGCATAGGATTAATTGGAGAAGTTTGTGACACCATTTAGTGCCTACTACTAGTGTCATATACTTATTAAGATGATGCTGACTGACAACACTAGCAAAATATTTTGGTGTGGGGGTGATAACTAATGTATCATTTAAGGTGCCATGAAGTTTATGTAGTAGTTGCATTATACATTACATGTACTGAATATTAGTGGTGTTCACACCAATAAGATCTAGTCTTAGATACCGTAAAATGCACCCGACCAGAGGCAAATGATTGTAGTATTTGATTTTATCTTTCAGTGATGGTGAAATATTCTCCTTCTGTGGTGTGGAGAAGTTTCACTGTATGAGAGTTCCTTAACTCAGCATATTAAAGCTTTGCTGCATGAGTTGAGGGATTTAAGTATACTGGCGGGTGACTCATTCAGAGGAGGGTCTGTATTAGTAATTATAAAAAAAGCAACAATTTACTGACGAAAGAAAATTGTCAGTTCATACCTTGCAGGTAAATGGATTACAGGTAATTGGTTTCCCTCTGCCTGGAGAGAGAGACTGACAGTACTACATGTCAGTAAATGTTGCAGTTACTATGGCAAGAGGGTTTGCAATGGTTTTGTTGATGTTTCTTTTCAGAAGACCAATAGTTCAAGGTTTAACTTTAAGTACCCTGCCTTTCAGCTGGTCCCAGATTAAGATTTTCAGCAGAGTCAAGACTGTAGACAAGGGCAGCCAAAGTTCTTTGGAGATAAGCTTGTCCCAAGAGAAACTGTTTATTTCTTCCAAGGCTCAGTTAAATATGACATGTTGCCCCACCTTCCTGAAAACGACCAGGTGTCAGCTTCCAGCCATCCATCCATCCATCCATCAGATTAAAAGATTTGTCAAAAATGTTGAGGTAGTGTTCAGGGTTAATGATCATGTGAAAGAAAATAGGGGAAGTTGTGTAAGTATGTCACTGAGCACAGCACACCACAACTCTGTGGATGGAGGGATTGCTTGTGAATGTTATGGGGATTTTCAGCAGCCTGTGTGCATATACATATTCTGTGAGTTGCTCTGTTACAACGAGCAAAACCAAGCTACCCCAGAAAATCATGTCATGTCCAAGATACCAAGGTTTTTGGCAACAAATGTTTGAAATCATTAGGCCACACGTTTCTGCATGTCAGGATGTTTGCGTTTCTGGGAAACTGGTATTACAGGTGAATCCACCTTTTCCTGTCTACTCTTTGACATGACAAACAGGACATGCCAATCTCCTGCAACAGCCAATGTAATGACTGCAGCTGAAACCAGGAGCCACTGTTGCTCATTCTGCACCTTATTACGAGTCATTGCAGGCTGACATCTGTGCCTTTAGCCTCCAGTTTTCATGCCATTATCTGTATAATGCTGTTTGGTGGTGATGCTTCTGTATGGAAACAGTTGTTGAATGATGCTTGACATTGTTTGAATGATCGCATAACCCAGTACAAACATGTAAGAAGAATGTGCTACTCAATTCTATGTATTATTCAGCCGCACAACATGTGGAATCTCAGACTGAAGGAAATGGTATGGATCAGGCTGGCAGGAATTGGGTAAAAGAAAAAGTAAAAGTATCAATAAGAGGCCATGGTGGCCCATAGGGTTGGAAGATGTCAAGGTTCCCACATATTCTAGACAGTTGTCTCACAGATGGTGGTGAGGTTGTTAACCTTATGTGCCAGCTGCCCTTTGCCCCCAGGAATATTCCTGGTACTCATTTCTGTTAGAGGTTCAGTTGACCCCAGGGCCATAGTGCAGTTGTAAGGATTAGTTCAATTGAAAAAAATCGGTGAGATATGTGGGAATTGAACCTGGGACCTTCTGGCTTGTAGCATCGTACCTCAACCAACTACACTACCACATGCTCCCCAGGTATTAGGTTAATGCTGCAAAGTACATAGTATTGCTAGGTTTTATTTTCATCAGTGTATAAGTATAGGCCTTCTCCCAGTGAATCGCCCAATGTTTTAAGAAACTGTGCAGCCATCTAAGTTCCCCATCCACACACTTGGTGGGAGGAAGTCAGTAAAGTGAAGCAGTAATTATATTTGTTTCAGGAGGATGAGTGTCGAGGTTCATATTTGCCGAAGAAGAGAAACTTCAGCTACTGATGTGCCTGACTGTGATGGAAATGTGACTCTATAGTTTTCTGTTTTGTGCTTTGGTGTAGATATTAATCTAAATCAAGCATGGCCTCTAAGAATTTCTCTGTTTATATTTTTGGCGGAAATGTTTGTTAAACCAGTTTATATTGTTATATGAAAGTAATGGCATTAACCACAGTTTGTGGTTTTTGGCAGGACCAGTGTTGTAACTATAGGCTGTATTTATTCAGGGATTATGATTCTTCAGTTGTGTTTAGGTGCTAGGACAAAGTGATTTACAGTTCCTCATAATTGGTGAAAATTCAAGTGAAACTCTTAAAATGTCATTCCTCAGCAACTTAAAGAAGGTTCTCCATCTGGGTGGAGCCAATGAAGCAAAGAAAAAGAAAGTGTTCAATAATATTAAGATGGACTGTAATCCAGAGGATTTCTGGGAAATGGTTGGTGAACTAGGAGATGGTGCATTTGGAAAGGTTTATAAGGTAAGTGTGTGGTTTTTGTTATGTTGCCAGGAGATGGTTTGGGTTTCTTGAGTAAACAAGTGTGGAAACATTACACTACTCTGTGATGGATTCACTGTATGGAGACTTATACATGTTTTATAATCCTGATATTCTAAATCTGAAAATAACATCCATAACTATTTATCTGTGCCCTGCTCACTTCTGCTCTTATGTTTTTAGTAGTACGTTTTTTTAACGGCAACACATTTTGTTATATGTGTGGTAGCTTTGTAGCAAAGAATTAGAGACAGTACAGTACGGAATTTTCCTGAAAGTGTAGTATATCTGTTTTCAGATGTAACTTAAACCAAGGTGAAAGATGGACCCCACACACATTTTGTTGGATTTATGTTGAATCATTGAGACATTAGACTTAAAGTAGGAGGAAACATTGCTGTTTGGTGCAAGGCTATACAAAATGGTATTGGAAAGTTCCCCTACTGTTGTTGTTGTTGTTGTTGTAACTGCTTAGTGAAAAAAGATGAGAGGGTAGGCCAAGGTCACACTTCCGAAAGCCTAGTGCATCAGTCTGCCAACTGACACCACTTTATGAACACGCATTGTTTTTACACAAGTACTTTTTCGACTTTGTGTTTCATTTTGTCTGCAATGGATGGCAAAATCCAGCAGTGTGTCTGCATCAGGTCTTGCCTGAAGCTCAGTGAATCCGCTACCGAAACCTTTGAATTGCTTAGTGAGGCTTTTTGCGGAACATTCTTTAAGCCAGACAGTGATTTTTGAAAGGCATTCATGTTTCAAGACCAGTTGAGTGTCAGTTGAAGATAATGAATGTTCAGGGCAACCAAACACCAGCAAAACGACAGAAAATATTAAAAAAATTTGAGAGCTCATCCAGGAAGACTGTCGCTGAACAATCTATGAGCTCATAGATACCATTGGGAACAGTTAGGAAGTTTGCCAGGAGATCTTAACAGAATATTTGAACATGCACCACATTGCTCCTTCATCATGAAAACCCACCTGCTCACACATCCCAGGAAACCACAGAGTTTGTGACTAATAACAACATGGTTATCTTTCCCCATCCTCCCTACTTGCCGGACTAAGCCCCCTGTGATTTTGCTTTGTTTCCCAAATTGATAATGAAACTGAAGGGATGATGATTGGAAACTGTCTGACATCCAAAGGAAATTGCAAGTGGTGCTTGACAGTATTAAGGAAAATGACTTCCATAGCGCTTTTGAAGTGTGGAAAAAACAATGTGATTGCTGTGTACTTTTCCAAGGAGACTATTTTGAAGGATATGGCAGCCAAAACTGAGTAAGTTAAGCCAGCATTTCTTTTTTACCTAGTCCGGGAACTTTCCGATACACCTTCTATTATTCCTTTAAGAGGGGCCTGAAAGATATTCTTCATCATGGTAACATATATGCTGGAATTCCATTTGCTTATTTGGTGCACTTCAGATACAAAATTAAATTCTTAGATTTTAAGGAAGTTAAATATAAAGTGCATACCTAAGTGGTATTCGCTAAAATAGCATGCTGTAGTTTACTTAATTTAAATCAAACAAAATCTATTAAAATTTTCTGTTAAAACTTGGCACACGTGAAGACAACACCATGCACTGCTAGAGGGAACAACGCACAAGCAAGGGGAAAAATTACAGATTGCAGATGTAACACAACAACGGGCTTACAAATAGGAAAACAGGCTGCTGCAATAAAACATCTGAAGAAAAGGATACAGATCTAAACAAGTGGATGACACCTCTTTTCAGGTGTAATAAGAATTTTACAAAATTTAAAGAAAAAATTAATATAAAATTTTAATATATTTTATTTGATTTAAATTGAGTGAATTACAGCATGTGCTATTCTAGCACATACCAGTTAGACCACGATTGTGATGGTTTGAATTATGAAGCATGCAGTTGCATATGTAATGAATGGACAGTATTAGTGCAGTGTAGCAGTTTTAGCATAGTAAGGCACCTGAAGATGGACATTTAGGGCTGAAACGTGTTATGTTGAAAGTGAAAGTGAAAGAAAGAAGGAACTATTTATTGCATTGTTGACGGACTGTGTAGTACATAAACAGTTCTAGATACAGTAATGCAACAAAAAAAAACTCAGTGGTTTTAGTCCGCAAGCGAACTATACTGACCGTAATGCAACAGGATGCTTAAATACAGGAAGGAAACAGCATTTTAAATACAGGTAATTTGTTGAATTTGGATAGATACAGTATTTATTCAAACATTATTCTCAACTGTTAACAATATATTTATTTATTTGGGTGTTTTAGTATGCAGAAACATTTGTTTGTTTAAATATGATAAAGAAATGCAAATGGGTCAGTCTTGTAGGATCATTGGTGGACAGGGTGGCTTTGGAGCAAGTTTTTTCAAGTACTTTGGTTTTCCTGTCAGTTTTCTTCCCACTGAATCCTTCATTGATGTCATCTGTCATTTGGGGCTGGTATGTGGGCGATTTAAGGCCTATGAATGAAGGGACTTTGCATTGTTTCACCGTAAGAGTTAAAATTAAAACAGAAAGTGCATTTTTACATTCATGTAATTTGGAGAGGCTTGGAAGAGAAAGTGGAATCCATATAGGAATTTGGTGGGAAAGCCAGAAGGAAAGAGACAACCAAAAGATATAGATGTAGGTCGGAAGATAGTATTGTCACATGTTAGAGTGACTGTAGACATTGTTCGGATTGGTAATTTAAATTATTGCCCACTTACAGATTGTAACAACAAGTAACTATAGCGCTATCACTAATTCACACACTCAGCAGTTCACTACAGCACAAGTTAAGTCATCTCAGTCTGCTGTGTCTTCACCAGTTGTTACCTGGTAACGGCTTCCAATGGCGGACGTTCCTCGTACTCTGGTGACTGAACTATCCCTGTGCCTCATATACCAGCTTCTCACAGCAAAGGCTCATGACTAAACTGCAGTTCTCTGACTAACTCAGTAACTCACCAACCAACACTTCACTTTCCAGCACTGTATTCACTAACTCCCAGGCTGGTGGCCATCTCACACCAACCTCCTGCTCTTCTGATTGGCTCCAACTCAACTGACTAAACTCTACATCTGTCTTGCCTATAACACCTCAGCATGTTGCACACCGCTTGCATCCAAAAAGGAAGGACAAATCACAAGATACAGTACACAAAAAATATAGGAAAAACGACTCCCATAGTGAAAGAACCATACGATACGCGAGTTTTAATTAAGATGCATAAGATGAATAATCTTAACAAGTTTTAGTATATACAAATTTTAATTATAGTTGATGAATGTACATTTTAATTTTATGAAAGACACATGATGGCAAGCAATGCAATAGCTTAGCGTAAATAAAGCACCTGAAGATGGCACAATGTTGCCAAAACATGTAGTGAAGTGACATGTTAAATTGAGTGCACTACAAGACGGCCATTACGTACATATCATGGATGAGAATCAGAGCAACAGGAAGCTAAAATACAACATTAGTCAAAATGACTGTAGGATGGGGAATATGTCATATAAATACAAAACATATGTACATTTCTAATGGAGTTCTCACAGAAGAGAAACCAAGAATGCACAGTGACTACACACAAGGCTATTTAAAGATACATAAGTTATTTTCTAGACAATAGGTATTCATCAACAGAGTAGAATGAATGTGTATTTAAGTATCATTTCAGTGCTATTTTAAATCATGCTTTTTCATTTATAAGATCTTTGAGATCAGATGGCAGGTTATTAAAAATGTTGATCCCAGCATAATATGCACTTTTCTGAAAGCATGAGAGGTTAGCAATTGGTTTATGAAGACAGTGTTTGTGTGTTGTGTTAACACTGTGTACATATGCATTCATCTGCTGTCAAGAGCATTGTTTCCTACTTCTGGAGGTAGCTTAATCTCTAAGTACACCACATCACTGTTAAGTTGATTGGTAACATATGCATGGAAACTACTTTTCAGGCCCAGAACCTTCAAAATGGCCGTTTTGCAGCGGCGAAGATGTGTGCCCTTGAAGGTGAAGATGATCTCTCAGATTTCATGATAGAAATTGATATTCTTTCTGAATGCAAGCATCCAAATATAGTCGATCTTCATGAAGCATTCTTCAATGATGGCAAACTTTGGGTAAGATGAACTTCTGTATTAGCAGAGAATCAGTTATATATATGCAGAGTATTTTAATTCTTGTGCATACCAATTAATACATGAGTTGATTATCAAACTTTCACCCTCCTGCTTTGTATTTTGGAGGTTTCAGGTTTGAATCTCAGCCTGAAGATTGGTGACGCAGAATAAGGTTTTGCTCTTCTGGGTCACTTCTGGCAAATGCTGTTACTCTGAAATGAGCCATGACTGTTTCCTTCCACAGTCTTCCCAATTCATCATTCACACCACCATATAACCTAACCAGTTGATAAATAAACCATGAAAGTAAGAAACAACATAAATAAACAGTTTATGTAAGCTTAGTGTATATATGATCAGCACTTTGCATTGGGTCTGATATCTTGATGTTTCTGATCCACTTTAGTTGGAATTTTGCACAGAGAATTTGGTGAACTATTTACAATTTGACATGCAGTTAATAGATATTATTTGTAATTGGTACTTACCTTTCTGCAAACACTGGTAATAAACATACAACAAAGCAGTTACACTTTGCAGGGTACTTGCAAACCTGGGTAACTCTTAGGTGTTGCGCTGGCACAAGGACATTCCTTGCTTTAGGGGGCCCATACACATACGAGTATGGCTCGCGAGTCCGACTCTCCTCGGGTTCCAATGAGCCAAACTTGTCCGTGTGTGGTGAAATTAATCCGAGCCGGACTCACAAGCCAGATTCATACATGTATGGGCCGCCTCATAGTAACTGGTTTACTGGTGTCAGTCTGCAGCAAGTGAGAGAACATGAAAACTGATGCTCATTGTTTGATCTTATAACCATGCCTCTCAAACGTGGGTAGTGTATTAGTCGCTGTGTCTAATCTGAGCTGCGAAAGCTGTTTCTTGCTTGCAGACACCATCTTCTCTGAGACATCACCCAAGCTTATAGATATTTTGCTCCAACCATGATTAAGTTAGTGTCAGTATTAGCAATTGAGCATTCCAGATATGAATATTTACACTTGGGATGAAAGAAATAATTTCCAGTTTTATTACAGTACCAAGAGTGAAGTGGGAGGGGCATGTGTTATGCATGGGCAAAACAGGTGTGTTCAAAATTTTTGTTGGAAATCTTTATGAGACTTGTGTTTTGAACTATGGTGAAAATGGAAGAATAGTATTGAGATGCATTCAGGGGAAATTGATTAATGAAATGGATGTTGAAATGGATCTGGATATAATCTAATGGCAACATTCCAGGGAAGTGGTAGTAAACCTTCAAGTTTCTTAACTCTGTAGTCCTTGAACATTCATATAGATTAGTTAGGGTACCATACTAAAGAGCTAGTGGCTTCTCTGCTAAGCATTTGTGGGGACATCCCACATAGCACACTGTTTCCACCGGTCTTTTAGACAACACTCACTCCTTAGTGAATATCGCATTGCCGGACGTCTCATTCATATTTATACCAGCACGCACTGCAAATTTCTGCTCCTCATTTTCGCTAGCCAATCAGCGCTCTGCAAATTGTTGCTCCTCAAATTCAAGTTTTGCTCCGCCCACTGAGCATGGTATAAAAGGCAGAGCGCAAGCTCGCAAGTTAGCAGTTCTCAATCAGTCAACGCTCAGTCAACATCAGCCAGCACACTTCGTCACCAGCGCTCAGTCTTCGGAGGCATCGGAGCTTGGCTATGCCAGGCATGACTGCCACGGCTGTCCAACAGTCGCACCCGACTCACTGGGAAACTAGGCTGCCTCGATTCGCCGGTAGTCATGTCCGACACACTGGGCAACTGGCGTAGCTACCGCCTCTCCGCTCCAGCGACCGCGCTCGACGACCAGACTTTCACCAGCAGCTGCCGCGCTGTGGCCAGTCCACACACCGCAACCAACATGCCTTCCTACCGGCGCACGCCGCTCTACCTCAACAACCAAGCATCTCAGCAACCACGGTCCTTTTCAGGACCTACAAACTGTTCCGAAGAAGTGGGTTGTCATAGAAGTAACGACACAGACAAAAATCCCACACATTTATTTCTTTGCCAGTGATATTTACGTATTTCTTGTGTTGCTTTGGTAGTTCTTAGTTTCTTACCTTTGTGTTTTCAGATGTTAATTGAGTATTGTGATGGTGGTGCTTTGGACTCTATAATGGTGGAGCTTGAGAAACCATTGACAGAGCCACAAATTGCCTTTGTATGTCAGCAAATGTGCAAGGGGCTTGGGTTCCTACATGAAAGCAAAGTGATCCATCGAGATCTCAAAGCTGGAAATGTCCTCCTCACTATGTCTGGAGGAGTTAAACTAGGTAAGAAATAATTATCCATGATAATATTCCTTAGTTATTCACATACGGGTTAAAAAGAGAGGCCAAGATGGCGTGACCTAGTACATTGGCACAGTGGTACTACTTTCTGGCAGGTCTTTGATGGGTTTTGTCCTTCCTGACAAATTGTGAAATAGGAATTTAAAATGCCATGACTTGTTTGTATTCCATCATGTCTCATTTGACATTACATGACCTCAGCATTTGAGTAACATAAAGTAACAGATATCAGTCAACAATACAGTCTTCATGATGAAAAAGAAAGGGGATTGATATTAAATCTAAGACCTAACAAGACTCCAAATTGTATGTAGGAATATTCCTGCAAGGCAGGAATATCTGAGTGTTCTGCTTGTTCATTGTAAAACAAAGAAGGTAAACTTGTACCTCTGCTTAACTAATTAAGCACTACCCATAAAGGCATATGAGGGAATGGATTTATAGATCCACATTTTCATGACCTCAGCACTAGCTGGAGGTGAATGGTCAGCTTCACACCTGTTCATTGTACCTTTTAAAAATTGTTTTGTGTCCTGAAAGTAAAATTGAAACTTGTGGAATCAAATAAGAATCCTCTTGTGTTTGATAACCACCTTATTAATACTGTCATGTGATAGGTAACAACTATGAGTTCATGTTGGTAATTGGATTTATTGTACACTGATTATTAACCCTTTCGCGCAGTGATTTAAATTCCGCGGCCGTCTCTCCGGCGGTAATATATTCAGCCAGCCATTTAAATTTTGCTCGAAAATGATTTATTCATCATTGTTCTTAAATTATATGAGATAGGAACATGAAACATTCACTAAAATGATCTTAAAAGGTGGTTTTATAACCTTACCTTATAATATGAGTGCCCTGTATCTCGGCAATGGAAGCAGGTTGTTTAGTATTTGAGCAGTGAATGGTACGCCTTGAAGCATGAAACTTTCACTAAAATGATCTTAAAAGATGGTTTTTATAACCTTACCTTATAATATGAGCGCCCGGTATCTCGGCAAAGGAAGCAGGTGGTTCAGAATTTGAGCAGTGTAAGGAAGGCCTTGAAGCATTCGTCTAACCCAACGGTGCCCCACATTCACCGCTCCAATATTGTGTATCTTTTCTTTTGCTCTTTTTTTTAACCACACAGCTTCTGTGCGGCCTTGCCTTCTTCCCCGTGAGGGGTATAGTTCAAGGAAATGTCTTTCCGTGAGCAGTTTAGCTAGTCAGGTCAGCTGCAGTAAATTCAACGTTACGAGTTATCATAACAAGGGGTTGTTGCTATGCCTTTGATATTCCATCCATTTTGGCGGCAGTAGATGTCGTAGGGGTGACCACAGAATTCATGAAGTTATTCTAAGAACTGGCTGGTATGTAGTGCACGAAAGAAGAGCTTAGCTGGCTCAAAAAAAATATTTATGGTCATCCCTCGAAACGACCACCAAGGTCAGTACGATAAAATGGCATCAACTGGAGCGATAATACATGAAGGAATGAGTTCTTTTCCCACCCCACACACACCAGTATCGTCATAGGGGGTGACCATAGTGTTCTGTCTTAATTCCTGGTGTTTTTCTAAGAACTGGGTGCTATGTACTGTGCAAAATCAATCGATCTTGCAAGAATAAATTTTTGGATATCCCTCTTCTAAGAATTCCAATTGAGTGTGTTAGTGTGGCCAGCTCAGGGCAATATGATATTATAAACACAGCACATATCACGTCTCTGCTGTTTATAACTTCATAGGAAAGAAAACACGCCATTCATAACAGATTGAATGACTAATCCTCTCCCAAGAGCAACAGGAAATTTGCTGCAAGACAGGCATATGTAATAATGACTTAGTGCACCTAAACAAATGCCTCATTTTATATAGTACTTGTGAAAACAGGTCAGCGAAAAATCTAACAATCTACAGCAAAACCATCAATTATTATGGGCGTTATAACATAGGTGTGCAGCTGGACGAAACATAGACGTCGAACCCCCCCCCAGACGATTTAAATACCTGACGAAACATACACGTCAAACCACACTGAACGGTTAAGTACAAGTATTCAGTATTGTTTTAGTCTGTTACATCACTCTTGGTTGGTTCCTTGGTGGTTCTGTCATCACATACATGTTATTAGGCAATGAGCTCAGATAACAGGGACTCCTTTGGTAACTTGTGGGCTCTTTGTATATTGTTTTGATGTGGGCACATGGCTGTCAGGGTTTGGTGCTTGTCGTTGTCTAGTAATGGGCACCTGATCACAAAAAAGTGGTTCTTGTATGCCATCTGCATGGATATGTGCCGCACTAGTGCTTGAATCGTTGGATGGATGTTATTCATAATTGTTATTTAAGAGTTTATCCAGCCTAGGTTGGTACCTGGTGAATCTGAACATTCCATCCCCAAAAGTGGGTGTTTTACAAGTGGCCTCCCAGTAACACAAAGTGGTGATTCTTTAAAAAGTGGCTTTAACAGTTTTGTTTAAATTTCAGTAGTTTTTGAGTACATATCCCTAAATAAAACTGCATGGGTGATATATTCATGAAATTCTCAATATGCACAATAGAGGCCCAAACATGAAATGTCATTTTTCTCTAAACCAGCTTTGCTAGTCATGTAGTTCAGTGTTATTCAGTGTTAAGCAACTAGCAGTGACCTGCTGAGCAGCAATCAGCTTCATTTACAAACCAAAGTACTCAAGATTAATCATATGTGAGAAGGTATGTGGAAAGTGTTTGCATCAGTTCCCATATGTATGTAGATGGACAATCTTCTTTGTGTTCATGTCTGAAGTCTTTTCTTGGCCTCATTAATCTTTTCATGGTTTCTTATATTTTACCATAATTATGTTCATAATGACATATTGTGCATATTTAGAATCATCTTTGTTTTGAAAACTTCTTTGACTCTTTAAAATTTTGGATGCTGTTGTACATTTTCCATTGTTTTATATAGTTGTCATCACATGAGCTGATATTTGTTGGTAAACTTCTGCCGCATTTCTACCTTCCGCCCAAAAGAATTCACAACAGCCGCTTGCTGTTTGACATAAATAGATACGATACTTGCCAAGTTGATATGTGACCTACTAGAGTAGGGACCTCATGGGATGGTGGGTGAGTGAAGCTCTTGCTGCAGAGAAAGACAGAGCTACATGTTGCAGTTCTGCAAGAATGCTTGCTCTAGAAGAAGATTCACATGCTTGCTTAAAGTTATCAATTATTGATACAAATTCTTACTGTGAAGACACTGCAAATACCTTAGCCATGTTCATTGCTGGATTTGGATCCTTCAGCATCAGAGATTCACAGCGATTGGTTCCAACATGTCATCTCTGGCAATCATTTTCTTGGAATCATATTCCTGCAGTTTTTCTGCATGTACGAGTAATACAACTCACCCATGCTGAAACCTGTATATTGTCTACCGCCACATGAGTTAGCCTTTGAATGTTGGCCATTTTAAGAATGGTGTTCTTTTGTGCCATATATGACTTAATTTATGCCCATATAAGTTCTGTTGGATTGTGACAGTGGTATGGTTTTAATTGCATTACTTTGTTTCCATGTTGCTGGACAATAAGATCTAATTCATGATCTCTGTACTGTGGTTGTACACTTTAACCATCTGTAACAACTCCACGCCTGTTTGTGAGACTGTGTGTGGTGTTTTTGCAGGATAACATGCCAATGGCAGAAACTGTTCTTCATACTAGTTGGTAATCTGTTGAGGCTTTCGATCTAGAGCAAAAGGTGAACTTGTTCTCTGCAGTGAATCCTCTGACTACTGAATCAGCATGGCATACTGACCACCTTTACCAACAGAAAACCTTAGGCCACCTGAACTATCACTCATCTTCCAGCACCTCTTTTTGGTATGGTTCTGGTTGGTTCATGTTTCAGCCAAGTAATAAATGCACGTTCTGCCGCTTTCTCTGATTTTGTGCGTTTTACAAAGAAACACTGCACTTACAGCTGTAATGTCACTCTTCTCCATTATAAACCTCCTTTCTTCATCGTACCTCTTTTAGGATTTGAAGTTCACAAAGCGGTGGTTATGAAGAATACTGTCTTCTGGGATATAACGCATGTAGTCCGTTAAAAGTCCACTGACGTTTTGGAGGAACATATTCACCAACCTGCAAGCAGGGCTAGAGCTCTGCTTGCCAGCTGCTTTCACGCTGGTATCTATCTGGGCTTATTCATTCACTCGGAAAGATGAAGGTGGTATGTTGCTCTGAAATGTCTGCCTACTTTCAGTGAACTATATGGAATTATAAGCCAGAAGATATTACTCTTAAATGTATCTCTTATATCTGAAGTCCCCCCCCCCCCATTGTGACCATGGACAGTTTGCTGTCATTAAGTTCTGCAGCAGTTTCTTTCCTTTCTACAATTAATTTTTTCCTGTGGGAAATTCTCCTTGCTGTACATGTTTAGAAAATTATGCACTGTAGCACATTTTTGTAGAACTGATCTAATTCAGGTACTGTTTTATTGTGCTGGTGATGCTTCCTTGGTGAACTAAAGGTCACGGTACTACCTTTACTAATCAGTTTCAACTCGCTTATTATTTTTTGAACACTTTGAAATCCAATACCATAAACCTCCACCATCCATGTTGTGCGCCATTTCCCTTGCTTGTTTATGGAGGACCTTGCATTCACTTACTTGCTTCCATTTTCAAAATCCCCTTGAACAGGGGTATTGAAATAAATGTCACTGTTTACATTATTAAGGTTATTGAAACTAATGTCCCTAATTTACTTACTCACGGAGCTGAGCTCTTCTGGAGGAGCCGCCAATTCTGGAGCTACTCAAGAATTTCCCAGCATTCTGTGGAACCTGAAGGTTCATTACCGTGTTCACAAGAGCCCTCCACCGGTCCCTATCCTGAGCCAGATCAATCCAATCCATGCCATCCCATCCTATCTCTCTAAGATCCATTTTAATGTTGTCCACCCACCCATGCTTTGGTCTTCCCAGTGGACCATTTTCTTCTGGCTTTCCCACCAATATCCTATACACATTCCTTGTCCCTCCATTTATGCTACACGCCCTGCCCACCTCATCCTCCTTGACTTGATCATTCTAATTATGCTTGAAGAAGAGTACAAGTTATGAAGCTCCTCATTGTGCAGTTTAATGTCCCTAATTACTTTATTGAAACAAGATCATCTCAGAATGCCAAAACATAAAGATAGTTTGCAGGCAAATGACAGCACTAGCTGACTAATGCAGATCAGTTCAATGACAGAGAGAGAGCACATGACAACATTGCTTGCCACATTGCATCCATCCTTTGCTCATCTTTGTGTAAGGTTTCCTACTGTGTGCCATGGGAGGTGTATAACAGGCCTTGTGAGGTTTTGTGCATACACAATGGTATCATGTATCATTCCATAAGTACAAAGTATGATGGATGCTGCTTTAATAAAATACAGAGGAATTGCCTTTACTAATTGACTTACCATAATACACAAGGCTTGATTGTAATATGGTTTTTCTTTTTTGTTTTGCAGCTGATTTTGGTGTATCTGCAAAAAATAAATTTACATTGCAGAAGCATGACACATTTATTGGGACACCATATTGGATGGCTCCAGAAGTTGTTTTATGTGAAACATTTCGGGATAATCCATATGATTTCAAGGTGAACAGTTTGTTGTAATTTACAGTGTTCACTTTTCTCATGAGTTTGTGTTACAGCATGATATGTGTCTAGATTGTTTTTTGATATTAAGTGCTGAAATTGTGTGGTCTCCCAGTCTATAAGTGTACTACTCAATTTGTAAAAATTATAATTTTCATTTTAGGTTGATATTTGGTCACTTGGAATAACCTTAATTGAATTTGCTCAAATGGAACCACCAAATCATGAAATGTCGCCAATGCGTGTACTGTTAAAGATTCAGAAATCAGATCCTCCGAAACTGGATCAGCCATCCAAGTGGTCAAAGGACTTCAATGACTTTATTGCAAAGTGTCTTACCAAGGATCCTAGTCAAAGGCCCACTGCAGATGATCTTCTAAAGGTAGTAAACCTTTTGTTAAAGGTATGAATTTGCTAATCTGGTCTCTTGAGGCTGTAAACTACAGGAAATCTGTTCTATGCTTATTCTTGCGGTAGATGAGCCAGATTGTAAAAATCAAAATATCTGTACCATTTTCTGAAATACACATTCTCCAGTGATTAATACAGGCACACAAACAGTAAATGAATAATAATTTAATCCTTTCACTGGTTATTATTTTATCTCTATTATCCAATTTTAAGGTAAATTATGAAAAATTTGAACAAAAATGGACTTTCATAGCCTAATAAGTGAAGTTGAGAGAGAGAGCAGGAGGAGGAGATTATTTCTTAATGTAGACTAAGTCACATGCCAAGTGAAACTTTGATTGTATGATCCTGCATTTTACATTTTTTATTAATTTACACACTTTTTGTATGGTTCCAGCCAAAGGTCCATAACAGTAATGTTAAACTTTAGTGGATTTTACATATCCATAACTTCATGTTCTCCCAGAATTTGAATTTTTTTTTTCTAGTCCTGACTATGAAGATTTACCAATCTACATTTTTAATTCAGTTCTCAGAATTTCTTTTTTTGAGGGAATGACCTTTCTTCCATATTAGCTGACACAAATGGTTCAGTCAAAAAGTCCATACTGCAAACTGGCTGATGCATGGCTGCAGTTGATTAGCTGGCTCCACATGACTCCAGGAAGGCCTATTGCACATAAGGCAATTTTTCTGCCACAACAGTCCAAACATCTTGCGTGCTAGGTCAGCTTTGATGTTTTGTCTTCATATAACTATAACTCAACGAGAGCAGTTTGGCTGTCCCTTGCATGTCTGATAAGTGTTCCAAAAAGTGACCATTGCAATACAGGGAGTGTTATCATAGATGAAACATTCAACAGAAATGCACCCAGGTAAAATTCTTCATGCAAGTTGATGCATATATTGGCACACATGTTGAACTGGCATCAAGGTTAAGATTTTAAGTTATCCCCGCTAAACGCTGTTGTCAAAACCTGTGATGAAATTGAAAGAAGTTACATCTGGTGTGGACCTTGCTTCAAGTAGCAGAAATCACTGAAATGGTTGCCACTGGAAAAACTGGAATCTGCATTTGTTGCATGGTTCAAGGAAGCATGTAAAAGTAATGCATCTGTAGATGACACCCACCTTAAGGAGAAGACCTTGCACATGGCCTCTCATCTGGGAATAGCCAACTTTTCAGCTTCCAGTTGATGGCTGGACAGATTTAAGAGGAGAGACAACATTGTTCACAGAACAGGTGGGAACACAAGTGTTGATCCATAAACTGTAGAAGACTGCGAAAATTACAAGGTGCAAGTAATTGAAGGTTATAATCTCAGATATATACTTTTGTGTGTGTGTGTGTGTGTATATATATATATATATATAATACCGACGACACTGATCTGTTTTTTTATCTAACGTAGCAAAACCTTCTCTTTTCAAGGAGATTTTTACTGTGGTGGTATAAAATCTGAACAGCCAGCTACTCCTCGCATTCAATGCTGATCATAGTGATAAACTGCCATCTCTTGTAACTGGATAATGTTGCTTCAAGAATGTCAAGAGACTACAAAATATGGAGCTAATACAGATTATTGGATGACCAACATATTTGAAGATCACTTCACACAACTAGATAGAAAATTGTTTGCTAAAAAAAATCACACTGCTTTTCATTGATCATTGTGCTGCTCACCCAAAGAACACATTTCTTAGCAACATCAAAGTTGTCTTTCTCTCAGCCAACCAGCTGTAGTCTTTAGGTTTGGGAATAATCCATTCAATCGAATGTCATTACAGAAACCAGTTGAATCCGAAGACTGCGGCCATTATAGATGGGGGACTGCAACAAGATGCTGCATAGATGAAGATGAATGTTTTGTCTGCATTGCATTTCATAGCGGAAGCCTGAAGATTGGTAACACCCACTATGATCAAGAATTGCTTTGTGAAGTGTGGTTTCTCTGTTGATCATGTCAGCAGCAATGATGACAGTGCAGTGAAACTCAGTGAAGATGAACAGGATGACTGAGGCAGTTTACAACCTCTTGGAGAATTTCAGAATCATTGACTTAATCTTTTGCCTGTTCCATTTGAAACATTAGTCTGGTTTTGGGTAGATTGCTGCTGGCCTTTGCCAGCACAGTTGCTCTTGGTTCCAGATCCCAAATGACCCATGACCATATTCTATTTGTCAGAGATCAGGTTGGGAAATTGCTGCTGGTCCTTGCCAGCATAGTCATGCTTGGTTCTGCGTACAAGGGTACTCATGGCTTTATTTTTCTATCCCTTGACTGGGAGTCATACAACTCGAACGAGCGAGCTGGTCCTTGTTATATGGCTTGTAACAGACTTCATAGGAAAACTGCCTTCAGTGGGTCCTCAGTTACTGTGTTCCTATCCACTGCTGCAAGAACATGTTTACCAAGACATTGCCTAGCAATCACTGTCTCCTCTGGCTCCACTCTTCTGGCTTTCAGGTGTTATGTCACATTGCTCCTTCATACAGCTATTTCGTTTCTGATCATTCTTCTGAATGTCATACATGACCTGATATGTCTTTCTTCAGTTTTGTTAGCATCAAGCCTTCATTCCTCATGGATTGTGTCTTGCGGTGTTGTCCACCGGCTCTTTAGGACATCCGTTACTCCTGACGTCCTTTAAGGTTCATGCCTCAATTAGTGCACTCCTGTTACTTGCAGACTCTGGCCATTGTTTTAGGCACCTCCCATTTGGGTTGAACTGGTGACCTTGTCTTACAAGAATATTAGAAGGGACAAGTCCCTTTAAATTAACCTACTTTCTATCAGATTAGAAGGATCAAACTGTTAATTTTGTATACAGATTTGAATGAGATCAGTATTCTGTACATTGCCATTTGAGGCCTTGATCTAGAACTGAACTGTGTTTGTATATGTGTGTGTATAAGAAACAGTGGTCATCCTGACTGTTTTCCTTCGTGAACAATGTAGCAGCAGTCTTTTAATGGTTAGGTCAGTTGGTGTTAAGAGGGTTAGGAAGCTCCAAAGCCTTGCTGTACCTGCATAGCTTCTAAGGAGCCCTCATCTTTGGTGGCACTGTATGGTCTGTTTTATGTGTTAGCCTTTTGTGCTTGCAAATCTGAAAATCAGTACAAGTCCATAGACTTCTGGAAATTTGAGCACCACATTGTTGACTGATTGGAGATTGGTGCCTGCTTCAGGCAGGAAGATGTATGGGTTTAATATTGTGTTGATTCAGAATTATATTGGTGTAGTTAAACTGGTCTTGTACGTAAGGGATGTGAGTAATTTACATAGATTCTACAGGGTTATATAACACTCAAGATAACTGGGTTTTTGGTCTTTGTCTGTTTTCCAGTAAAGTAAAAAAAAAAAAAGTAAAGGTATCTCTGTAACAAACTGTGGAGGCCCATAGGGTTTTGAGATGTTGAGGTTCCCAGATTTTCTAGACAATCGGCTCATAGATGGCAGTAAGATTGTCAGCCATACGCGCCGGCCGCCCTTTACTCCCAAGAATATTCCAAGAATATTCCTGGTACTCATTTCTGTTAGAGGCTGAGTCGACCCCAGGGCCATAGTGTGGCTGGAAGGATTAGGTCAATTGAAAAAAAATCCAGTGACCTCATCGAGATTTGATCACGCGACTTTCTGGCTTGTAGCATAGTGCCTCAACCAACTATGCTACCATGTGCCCCCCCCCCTATTTCCATCCTCAGGTGAAGGGGAGGGGACACCTCCTGTCTTGGATCTATTAGAAAGGGTTAACCTCAATCACTGGACCAGATCCAGTGGTAGAAGGCAAGAGCTGATCAAGTTTCTGAAACCAAATCTGAAAACCCAGTAATCCCTAAGTAGATGATATATGTTTTGGTTTTTCTTCTTGGTTGTTTAGTCTCTTGGGATGGAGTGCTCTGTGAATTTGACTGGAAAAATAGTAAGCTGTCAAATAGTACACAGTCTGGACATTAATAATCCCCCCTATCCACCTATCTTTTGTCTCAGTACATGCTCTACCCACCCATCAGAAGAAAACTGATAATAGATCCTGAAAGAGACTGAAACTTCAGTTATTTTTCCTGTTGGCTGCACATGCACCAGTGAGAATTTGAAATTCTGCACTGTCTTATGATCCAGAATTACACATATTGGTGCAAGGCTGCTGTTCAGTCACTTGGAATGTTGGATGGAGAGTCTAGGTTCTGCAAATGCAGCAAACCACAGTACCGTATAATTACGCAAGAACAGGAATGAGATAGGAAACCTTCAGTTCTTTTTGCCATGCTTCTGTAGAGTGACTATATGAAAGTTAACTGTATTCTGTGTAGGGACAGGTATTCATCACTTTTTATTGGCCATAATATATGAATATGATATTGATTTTCAGCATCCGTTTATAAACTGTACATTGGATTCAAAACCAGTTCGGGATTTGCTTCTTGAGTACAAAGCTGAGGTGGTGGAAGAAGAATTATTGGATGATGAAGCAGAGGTAAGATTCGTATACTTTTTCTTTTGTCCCTTCAAGTATATTAATCTGTCTAAATACAGTTCCTTTTCAGCCTTTAGTGTCAGAAGTTGAGTTTGTAAGCAGCTGTAATTTCTCTTGATGCGTAATGTTTGTACCTGTCTGTACATATCCATGACTCGCTGATGTTTCTTAATGCCTCTCTTAAAAGTAATAAAATTCATTTACTGTTTAGACATTCGTTTGAATTGTGTCCAGTGTGTAACGCAGACCGTCATAGCCTTGGGATCTTTTGTGTTTTCATACTTATGGGTTAAAAAAATAATTTATGGTGTGCAAGACTTAGAAAGATACTGGTTAAAGTAGAGGTTTAAGCATGGATTGGAAAGTACATCAGCTTCAGGTGTTAGAACGTAGATTTTCAGAGTTATTAAAACAGTGCCCACAATTTGACCCTGGCCTGAGTCCACTTCATCACAACTTGCACTTCCATGTTCCATTCAAATCTCCCTCTTCCTTTCTTTCTGTACAAGGCACCTTCCATGATATTTACAGTAAGAATTCTCTTTGCTTTCCCTCTCTGCACTACATATTACCCTCTGTGCCACCTTTGATTTAAATACTTTTAATTTTATTAAGAGAAGGTCATGCATGTGTGAATGTGCACACACCATTGCCCTGGTCTCTTGCATAATTCTTCCCATTCCCTGCCTTATCTCTTCTGTGCCCAAGTCCTTTCCATGTTGCATACCAAAAGAAAATAATAGGCAGTATAATTCAGTAACCTTTATAATAATTGTATAATTTGATGGCAGATACCTGCCAATATCAACAATTTTTCATGAACCATGAATGTTGTTATCTGTCAGAGTGCAGTGTTTACATAAATATAGTTGTTAACTTGACCTTTTATTGGCTTGTACATTTTCTTAAATTGGATTTGTATTAACACCAAATTATTTTAACATGTTTCATTAAAATCAGAAAATTTGGGTCTTTGAGGATAATTTATATTTATGTAATTTGCATTATTCTTTGGAGGTAGGGCTGCAAACATACTTCATGTGCTGTGACATACATTGAAGATTGGTGTATGTGGTAAATTATTTTTAACTAAGTAATGTAAGAAATAATGTGATTTAGTTGAAGTAGTGTCTTATGCAGTCAGTCGTAGTGTCTGCATTGATTTGGGCATGCACAATATTGGATGAAGCAAATGATGGTGTTTCAAGGGATGGGCATTTGTATGTATAATTCATCACAGCAAGTTGTTCAACTCATCAACATATCTTCCCAGTTGGGTGATGGGGGCATTTGCAAATAGAGTACAAGTGACTCTGAGGGCAAGCATAGCCTGGAAATCTGTGGGCAGTGGTGGTGGGAGCAGGTAGAAGATGCTCTGAGAAAATAAAGCAATTCTTGTGCAGTCTTTCAGATGCCCTTAATTGTATTATGAAGTCTTATTGCTTTCAGGTTTGTTTTCCTTTTAAGAGCCTTTACAAATTTGTGAATGTAGTAGTAAGATCAAAGACAGATTCACAAATATGAAGTGTATGTTGAACTTCCTGCCTGATCAGAAGCAAAGTTATACAATTTGAACTAGACAATATTGTGTCATGATGAGTTCTGTCTTGTGGGACATAATGTCGTGTGGTCCAATGTAAGTCAGACGACATTTTGGAGGAACATATCACCACTCATATTCAGGGTTGAAGATCAAGCTAAGCAAGAAACCAGCAAACAGAGCTCTGTTCCTGCAAAACATGGCCTGACTTTCATCATACTGTGCAACATTATTTTCCAGGAGATAGAAATCTTCATAGCCACTGATGTGAGAACTGCAACTCTGACATCTGACACAATAATGTATCTTGTTGATTTGAGATGACTGGATTTTTTTAGGACATTTGTTGCTAATTTCAGTCATAATGTATAATTGAAAATGTTGTTGCTTTCATTCTGTGATCTCTTTTGACTTGGACCTTTTTACATACCATCTGAATACTTATCTAAAGATAACATTTGTCATATCACTGAATGGATAGTTCAGTTTTAATATTGTGTAACTATTGTAAATTAATTTCATGCTTGCAAATATGTAGAGGGGTAGGAAACAGAAAAAACACAGAGAGCAATACCAACGTATCGGTAAGTTCCTTTACAGCGTTTCTGTGATGCTGTGTTTCCTCTTATGTGTATTTGTGTTAGTAGTTATAATAGATGCTTGGATCTGCAGTTTGTTAATTTCGTACTATTACATTTTGGTAATGGTTTATAGCATCCATTATTATTCATAATATTTCCAGATTCCCTCTCAGGAACCAAGATGGAACCATGTAGACTGAATAATATCAGTTCAGAAATTATTGATCCTTATGTCAGCCAGTTAGCCATATTAGTAATGTTATATTTCAGCATCCTTGTGTACTGTGTAGATCTGACTTACAGGTTTCTGTGCTTTCTAAGTGCAACATCGTTCGTTGTTCCTTTATTGGACACTATTTTACTACATGTTTCAGCCTAAATAGCAAACTTCAGGTGTACAGTTTGTTGTAGTTCAGGACTCTGCTGCTCACTGTAATACAGTTTTCTTTCCTCCTATGGTTATTGCCTCTGGTTATTTTTTGATTATATTGGTTGCAGATGGATGATTTTGGTTTACTGGTTGTGGCTGCCTTCAGTGTTCTTGTTGGGGCGGGAGTTCTGTTTTGTGCTGGTCGGCCATTGTTGTTCGAACAAATGACTATGATGGCCGACCAGCACAAAACAGAACTCCCACCCTACAAGAACACTGAAGGCAGCCACAACCAGTGTACCAAAAGCAACCATTTACAACCAACATAATCTAAAATAACCAAAGGCAATAACCATAGGAGAAACGAAAACTGCATTACAGTGAGCAGCAGGGTCACGAACTACAACAACCTGTATACCTAAAGATGGCCAATTAGGGTGAAATGCATAGTGAAATAGTGTCCAATAAAGGAACAATGAATGATGATGCACTTAGTTGGCGCAGAAACCCTGAAGTCAGCGATATTGGTTTTTATTATCTGAAGATAGGGGATTTTAAATTTCCTAGTACTACAAGGTTGGCAGCTGGATTTTAGGTCAGAAGTAACAATGTATTGTCTGGGAATAAGAGATTTTGAATTTCCTTCTACAGTGTGGCTGATGGTAGCAGTTGTAGCAGTATTAGTGTTGAAAAAATGTAACCCTCAGCCCATAAGCTCTGCATTCTTATAATACACACCAACACTTCACACATTCACACAAGCTGAAGTGCCATTGGTATATGAAAATCATGGATATTTGTTAATGAAGCAGTGAAGTTAATATTCATTCATTCATCAGTAATCTGTCAGACGACAGGTCCACAATCTCTTCCAAAACAGTTCCTCCACTTAATGCGATCTTCTGTTTTTGGAAAGAGACTATCCAGGAAAAGTGATAATGTGGTAGTTTTTCCATTTGCTTTCCACATCGCAGTACAGCAGCCGTTCAAACACTCTGGTCACGCCTGTTGCTATACGAACTTGAACCATCTCGAGCATCATTTGTTCTGTGCTTCAAGTCGCTACTGATGACAAAGTTAATATAGTCCACTGAAATGATGTGACATCATTGCAGAACTTCATTGTTATTCCTTTGTTTGCTTCTCAACTCAACTTTCTTGTATTGAACACTATATTCACCCTTATAAACTGTTCTATGTTGCTTCGATACAAATGAACTGAATTGTTTTCATACTGTGTGCAGATTGCACATTTTTATCACACAACAGACTATACACTCTCAGTTGAAATGAGCAAAATATGTTAGGTCTGAATAGTTAAAACTTTGTGGCTGTCACTGCGTTTGTGTTATTTCATTAAGATTACAGTGAAATGCTGGTACAATAAAATTCTGGATAATGACAAACTGTATTTTTTGTATTGAAATTTGAGTATGTTGAAATGTGATAAAAAATAACAGATTATAAAGTTCAGTGTTTTCGGCTATATGGTGGCAAATCACGTGTTCCTAGTGATGCTGGCAAGTGAGAATGATATGCCGCAAAGCAGAATGTGCACCAGTAGATCGATATTCGCATTGTAAATTCCTCAGAAGTCAGTGACCTCCATAAAATCACCTGTTATTCATGCAAATTAGAAATTTTAGAAATAATATAATTTGTACTGCAGCTGTATCTAGGTAGGCATCAGTTTCCGTAACAGTGTATGCCTCATGTCTTTAGAATGATTAGTTCTCATCCTTTTATCATGTATATATGAAAAGCTTGCTCTCAACTACTCAGCTGCCACATCCTTCATTATTTCTATATTTTCTTTTGTGCTAGTCACTTTTGTACTTGCCCCAAACGTGTAATTATTGTTTTTAATAAGCAGTGAAACTGAAGTAAAATATGAAGTTAATCCCTTGATGAAATGGCTGCAAAATGAATATGCAGTTAGGTGATATCACTTAAAGATTTTATAAATATGTTCATATGTTCTAGTCTGGTGTGCAGTTGTTGATTAGCAGAACAATTTTGCATCTTTCTTTTTTTTTTTTCCCCCCCCAATTTGCCAGCCGTTCATGAAATATTGCACCTGTCATCTATGCTTTCATATTATAGTGATGTTGTATAGTATAAGCTGTATGCCTTTAAAGTGCCAAGGGCCCATGAACTTCCTATAACAGGAGGTTTCATTTTGTCTTGTTCTACATAATTTGTACACCACATCATCTCTCTTTAGAAAGCTTCCTGCAAGTGTATTTTTCACCTTTGAAAGCCAGTGATGTATTGGGCATTGTAGAAGAATGCCATTGGATCACCTGCTGTTCTTTTATCTGTGTTTCTGCCATTACTTCCTCAGAATTCACTGAGCCATCAACTGCTACCCTTAAATTGCATAATTTCAAACAAGCACATCTAGTATCTTGGGTGCATCACATTGGGCAGTCAACTGAGGTTTTGGCTTTCATGTCAGTAAATTTTTGTATGCAGCTTTGCCTGCTTTCTCAAAATCTTTTTTCCATAT